CCCCCCCCCCCTACCCCTGGACCACTCTGTCTCTTTCCCCCCCCCCCCCCCCCCCCCCCCCCCCCCCCCCCCCCTCTCTCTCTTTCGTCCCCGCGCCTCTCGAGTGCTCTCCCACCGCATGCAACCCAAAGAGTCTTGACGTTCTCTCTGCGCGAGCCTCTCGAGAGCGTACGTCGAGACGATGCGAGTGATACAGGCTCGAGAGAAGGCAAAGGGGACCGACGAGAGGACAACAGGGCGGGTGTGGACGTGGGCGGTCGAGGGGGGGCGAGAAGAGGACGGAAGGGAACTACGCCATGAGGTACCGGCGGGAGTACGCCGTCGCGCTCGCGACCGCGAGGTTGACGAACCCGAGCCTGCGCGCGGTCGAGCTCCTTCCTCGTCAGTGCCCGCTCGTTCCTCGCGCTCGAGAGAAGAGAGAGAGATCGAGAGAGAAAGGTAAAGGCGCACCTGAGGTCCTTGTTCAGGCCGGCGAGCATGACGATGCACCACACGAGGCCGACGAGGCGGTCGAGCGCGAGGCCGACGGTGCGCTTGAGGCGGTACGACGCGAGGTCGAGCGCGTACGGCGCGGCGTGCGGGATCCGGCTCGTCACGGCGTGGGACGGGATCGTGATCGTCGCGGCGACCTGTGGGCGGTGAGGTGCGAGCGTGAGCAGGGCGGCCCGGGAGCCGAGGGAGGGAAGGGAGGAGGACGAGGGCGACGCACCGGCTTGTGGTCGCTGCGGGTAAAGTCCATGACGGACCGGTAACTCTCGACCTTGGCCTCGTCGCCCGCACCCGACGCAAACAGGACGCGGTCGCACCACCCGGGCACGCGCTTCTTAAAGTCCTTGTACTCGTTCACCGTGCCCGGCTTGAACTTGTACGTCGGCGGGAACGTGATCGGGCCCTCGACGAGGTGGTGCAGCGTGCGGCCGGCACGCTGCTCTTGGCGGAGCTGGTCGTGCGACAGGAGGGTCGAGAAGGTCGACGGGTCCGAGGGCGACAGCGACTGGATCGAGTGGGTGAGGAGGTGCAGCGGTAGCTTCTTGGGCGCCGTGAGCGAGATGCGGTAGTTGAGGTCCTGCAGGCGTGTCCGACGATCAGTTGCTGGGGGCTGTGAGAGAGAGAGAGGGGGGGAAAGGGGACGCACGCCCGAGAAGAACAGGTGGCCCGTCTCGAACAGCCCTCGCTGCCCACCCTCGTCATCCTCGAACACGAGCCGCCGGCAAATCTCCCGCCAGTCGGCGTTCCTCGCCTCGCACTCGCCCTGGTGCGCCGCCAAGTGCGCCGTCACGAACGTCCACTCGCTCTCGCCCTTGTCCTCGCCGAGCGTGACCCGGATCCCGACCGCGCCCTTGTTGCCCATGAGCCCAAGCACGCCGCAGCCGACGGTCGATACGGCGACGCGCGAGATGCGCTGGGCCACGCTGCCCGAGCGCGCGTACACGAGGAGCGCGATGCCGCCGATGGCTTTGCGCGCGACGAGGCGGTACCCTTTCGACGAGGGGGACGAGGGCGCAAAGCGGGACTCGATGGCGGCGAGGAGGGCGTCGTCGTGCAGGTCGAGGGCGGTCTTGGTGAAGCCGGCGAGGGCGAGGTGCTGGAGAGGAGAGGGGAGGGGAGGTCAGCTCGCTCCTCCCCCTCGAGACGGGTGAGAGACAGGGAGAGGCGGTGCGCACCAGAGGGATCATCTCCTGGAAGCCGACGGCGACAAAGTCGGGCGCATCGTCGTCGGACCCGGGCGTGTCGCCCGTCGACGAGAGCCAGCCGGTCAAGTCGTCGGAGCGCTCGCCCGTCGTGAGGGCGCGCACCTGGCCGCTCGCGAGTTTGCCGTTGTACGTGGCGCAGACGACCCTCATCGCAGAGTGGTAGCGCTTGGTTGAGGGCGTGGTGAGGTCTGAGGGAGGAGGAGCTGATGAGGATTCGAACGATGACGGGCGATCGAAAGTGTGGGGCAAGCTGCGGCGACTTGGGGTGCGAGCGACGCGACGACGAGGACAGGCTGCAACGGGAACTGCTTTGCATCGACAGGCGCACTACGACAGGAGAGAACTCGAGAGAGAGAGGGCGGGGGGGACGAGAGACGCGCAACAAGGGGAAGGGGGAAACTCGACGACGGAGGGACGGGCGACAACAGGAGGGGCGACAGAGGCGATAGGTAAGAGAGAGTACAGGAGGTGAGGGCTCTAGCGGAAGCCGAAGCTCGAGCTGCCGCCCTGCGTCGCCGAGACGTAGCGGAGCGACAGCTCCTGGTACGGCGACGCCGAGTGGTGGAAGTAGAACTGTGAGGCGCCGAAAGCGGTCAGGCGTGCTCGCAGTAGAAGGGGGGAGAAAGAGCGGACGCACCCCGGTGATGGTCGCGTCGGTCCAGCTCCTCAGCCCGCGGTCGTCCTCCTCGTCGTCCTCGGCGACCTGCTCGACGACGCTCCTCCTCCTCCCGCCCGCGCCCGTCGCACCCGAGCGACCGCGCCGCGTCTTTGCGAGGACGCTCGCGACGTCGGAGCTCATGCGGCGCATCATGGCGCCCGAGGGACGGGTCGAATCCGAAGTCGACGAAGAGGCCTGTGTCGGCGCGGGCCACTCGGCGTCATCGACGCCGGCGAGAGCGTCGGCGGCGGTGTCGGCAGGAGGCGCAGGGTGGAGCGGCGCGAGCGAGCGCAGCTGCGGCGAGTTGGCGAGCGCCTGCCACATCGGCGGCAGGTTGACGGCGGGCGATGGGGCTGCCTCGGCCGAGGCGAGCGACGGGAACGCCGAGTCGAGCTCGTGCTTCGGCGTCGGGAGGTCGGCGGACGGCGGAAGACCGAGCGCAGACAAGGTCGACGAGGACGGAGGAGAGGACGAGGAAGAGGCGGTCGGGGAAGTCGACAAGGCGCCGTCGACCGAGCTGTCGCCTCGCAGCGCCGCCGCGTACGAGAAGCTGCCGCTGCTGCCGCGACGAGGCGGACCAGGGCGTGCCGTCGCCGGCGCCGAGGCCGCCGCAGGGAGGTTGACGGTCGGCTGCGGCGGCGAGACCGAGGAGGCGCGCGCGCCGACGGGGCGAGTCTGCGACAAGAGGCCCGTCGTCTCGCTGCCGCGGCTGTACGACGAGGTGCGTCGGGTGCGAGGCGCTGGAGGGGAAGGACGGGGAGGGGCGGGCGAGATGCCGCGGTGCGGGACGGTGTCGGGCGTGAAGGTGGACGGGTCGCAGTCGAGGCCTGCAGGTTCTAGCGAGTCAGCGACGGCCCCGGACCAAAGAGAGAGAGAGAGGGACGCACAGCAGTAGTAGAAGCCGGCGTAGCTCGCACCGTGGATCGCCTCGACCCTGTGCGACGTGACGAACTGCTCCTTCCAGCGCATGAAGACGAACGGCCGCTGCGCCGCGTTGCGCAGGTGCAGGCCGGGCTTGACGAGCTGGTTCTCGAGGCGGTTGCGGGTGAACGCCGGGAAGCGGCGCCAGTGCTTGAGGTCGTCGACCTCGGTCGCGCCGTACTTGGCCGTGCGAAACCCTGGGCCGCCTGGCTCGCCGACGATCTCGCCCTCGAAGAACGTGACGAGGCTCTCGAGCTCAGGCGTGAGGCCCTTGATCTCGAGCGTGCCCGTGAGCGAGCCCGTCGTCATGTCGACGCTGCGCGAGGGGGACATCGAGGTGGACGATCAGCTCGGGGTCGAGAAGAGGGACGGTGAGAGTGAGAAGGAGGGGACGCACGTGTCGAGCTTGACGGTGACCTCGTACGAGTTGCGCCCGCTGCGCTGCACGCCGGCCCACGTCGATCCAGAGTGCAGCGGTCCACGGGACGACAAGGGCGGAGCGGGAGAGAAGGCCTCGCTCGACAGGAGCGGGTCCATCTGCGACGCAAAGGCGGCGGCGTCGGGCATGGTGGTGCGGTGCTGGTGGTTGACGAGGTGCACCGGACGAGGCCGATAGCGCGGGCGAGGGTCGTGGAGGGCGAGAGGGGAGCGGGGGGGGCAGATGACGATGAGGGCGAGCGGGTCGGCGACGTCGAGGACGGGCGTGCGAGCTAGGGGCGGGCACCGCCTGTGAATGCGAGGAGCGGGTCTCGCAGACGCAGGAGGTGCAGCTGGGCAGAGTCGGTCGCGGCAAGGGAGAGCGAGGGAGGGGCGACGAGGCGACGAGGGCGAGAGTCAAAAGGCGGGGAAAAGGTGGGGGGACGTTCTCTATCGCTCGCTCTCTTGTGAGCGCGCTCGCTCTCGCACACGCCGTTGACGAGTACTGCAGGCTTGCGACGAGAGACGTGAAGCGAGGCGAGCGCCGACGCGAGAGCCGGACGTCGACTCTCTCTGTCGCTCGGACCCTCTGCTTCTCAACTCGCGCTCGATTGCGCCTTCTCTACGACGAGCTCAGAAGTCAAGCACGTTGAGGCTGAGCAAGCCCGTCGAGCCCGTGCCAAAGTACCGGTGGTACACGAGAAGGACGCCGTCGTCGTCGTCGAGGAGCGACTGTCCGCCGGGCCCGTACACGTCGTCGTGGCTGTCCATGAGGAGCGTCATGTGGCCCTCGAGGGCGGCCTTGCCGTGCGAGTCGAGGTAGGGCCCGACGAGCGACCGAGAGGTGGCGACCCGCATGTGGTACGTCGACTTGGTGCCTTCGCAGCATTGGTCCCACGAGGTGAACAGGTAGAAGACGCCGTCGCGCTGCAGGAGACGACGAGTCAGTTGGCGCTCGGCGAGACAGAGAAGAGGAACGAGCACGACGCACCTCGTACAACCACGGCGCCTCGATCACGCCCGCCCCTGGTCGTGCGGCGAGGTTGACGAACTCGTCGGACGTGAGGAGGCCCGTCTTGGCGTCGACGTTGCCGAGGAAGATGCCGCTCCAGTACGAGCCCCAGACGAGATGTCGAGAGCCGTTGGACGAGACGAAGAGGCTGCACACACGGTGCCGGGTCAGGCTGCGCCCTCGAGGTCGAGACGAGGGAGGAATGGAAAAGAGGACGCACTGCGCGTCGATGGCGTTGTACGGGTCGCCCTCCTTCGACTCGAGGACCTTGTCCTTGTCGGTCCAGCTGCCGGGCAGCCCGGTCGGCGACGTCGCGAGCCAGATGGCGCTTTTCTGCGTCCCGAACGTCGACGTCGAGTAGTACAGGATGTAGATGTCGTTGACGAACGAGATGTCGCTGCGCACACGAAGCGTCAGTGAGAGAGAAGAGAGGCCGAGAGGAGAGGCTCGAGGGAAAGGGAAAGAAGAGAAGTGGCTCGAGGACGCACGGGGCCCAAACGTCCTTGTTGCCGGCGAGGGCGAGCGCTGCCTCGGGCGCGCCATCCGGGAACGCGTCGCCGACCTTGGTCCAGGAGAGACGGTCGGTCCTGAGTGCGGCAAGCCGAGGTCAGTCCTGTACGAGTGGGTCGAGGAGGGGCCGGGCGCACGAGGCAAAGGTCGGGATCGCCTTGCCGCTGCGATACAGAGCCCTGGTCAGCTGTTGCTCTCGACAGGTCCAGGCAGTAGGGTTGACCTACGTGCCGACGAGGATGTAGGTGCCGTCGGGGGTCTTGACAACGCTCGGGTCGTGCTGCGGGCTCGTGCGGCGGGTGAGCGAGGCCGCAAGGGAGGGCGACTGGCACGCCGGCTCACGATCTGCAGGTCCGGCGAGGGTCAGGACGAGTCTTGAACGTGAGAAGGTGAGAGTCTGACGTACCTCGATGTCCTTTGTGAGCTTTGCCGGCTGAGGGAAAGCGAGCGCGAGTCGGACAGCGGCGCACGCGAGGAGCGGCAGCGAGAGCAGCATGGCGGTGCGCTCGTGGAGAGCACGAGGAGCAAGAGAGGTCGGCGGTGCACCCTGACCACCGTCCGCGCGCCGCGGAGAGTCCGGACGCAGCCCGACGCCGAGCACTGTGGAGACGAGGCGAGGAGGCGAGGGGGGTGGAGCACCGTCGCGAGGGCCGCTCCAGACGGTGCAGCTAGGCCGTGGCAGCAGCAGGGGTGCACGGAGCGCATGCAGCTCCTCGCAGCGGATGCAGGCGGTGCGGCTGAGGTCGACGAGGGCGAGGTGAGATGAGGAACTGCGCTCGCTCTCGCTCTCGTCTCACCACCGCTCCTGGCATGTCTGCCGCAGAGCCCAAGCCCGAGGTCCTGCCCGTCTTCGGCCCCTCCAGCCTGTCGCCCACCCGCATCTTCCTCTCCCTCGTCATCCTCCTCGGGTTCCTCCTCGTCGCCCGCTTCTCGCCTTCCCGCACCCGCTCAGCGCACAAGGTCGCCCTCAAGGCCCGTCGGAGCGGCGCCAGGACCGTCCTCCTCGTCGGCCCGCTCGCGAGCGGCAAGACGAGCCTGTTCTCCAAGGTGCGCCCCCTCGTCCTCCCCCCACCCTCCTCGACCGACCGCGTGCGCTGACCCCGCCCCTCTCCCTGCGCAGCTCGTGTACGGCCATGCGCCACAGACGCACACGTCGATGAAGGAGAACGAGGCCGTCGTCAAGGCCAAGTGGGGCGAGGGCGGCAGCAGCGCGCACGAGCTCGTCGACGACCAGGAGGAGAAGGAGGGTCTTCTCGACGCAGACACCGACCAGGTGCGCGGTCGCGCTTCCTTTCGGCGATAGAGTGCGATACCGTACTCTTGTACTGATACCATGGCGTTGCTTCTCGCAGACTCGTGCCAGCCCCCTCCCGACCCCGCTCCACCTCGTCGACCTCCCCGGCCACGCTCGCCTGCGCACCCGCGCCCTCGCGCAATACCTCCCTGCAGCCGACGGTGTCGTCTTTGCGGTCGACGGGCAAGGCGGCCTGACGGGCAAGAACGTGCGCGACGCCGGAGAGTGAGTCGAGCTGCTCGGCTTCGTCTTTCGGGTCGGGCGCGGCGCTGCTCGACGCAGGGCCCGCGCAGACTCGTCGATCTCGTCGTCTCCTTGTACTCATACCCTCACATTCGCTCGCAGACACTTCCACATCCTCCTGTCGCTCCTCTCGCTCCTCTCGACCTCGTCGAACAAACCCGCGCCTCCCGTCCTCGTCCTCCTCACCAAAGCCGACCTCGCCCCCTCGACCTCTACCACTTCAACTTCGAACACCTCGTCGCCCTCCTCCCCCGCCGCCTCGACCGCCTCGTCTCACCTCGCCCTCGACCGCGCCAGGCAGCTCCTCCTGCGCGAGCTCGAGCGCCGCCGCCTCGCGTCGTCCGGCGCCGGCTCGGCGTCGGCCCTCAAGGGCGCGAGCGGCGCCCCTCTGAGCGCCGGCGCGCGCCTCGACGGCCTCGACGCGATCCCCTCGGGCGCGCCGTCGTCGAGCAAGGGGCCCTGGGCCGCCCTCCTCGGCGCGCTCGGCCTCGCGTCGTCGACCTCGGCGACGGGCGGCATCGGTGCCCTCGACACGTCGTCGTCGTCGGGCGGCGCAGGAGCAGGCGGCGCAGGCGGCGGCCTCCCGAGCGACGAGTCCGAGGCGCTCGCGCTCGCGGCCGACGACGTGTTTGCGTTCGAGGGCTCGGCGACGTGGGACAAGCTCGAGCGCGCGGTTGGGGTCGAGCTGAGGTGGGCGGTCGCGAGCGTGCGGGGTGGCGCGGCGGGCAAGGGCAAGGGAGGAAAGGAGGGCAAGGGCGTCGACGAGGTGTGGGAGTGGGTCGAGGCGTTGTGAGTGACACTGCAACGACGGCTTCCTCGTGTCTATCCTCTCTTCTCGCTGTGTGTCTCTCTCTCTACGACTCGCAGAGACGCGAAAGGCGAGGAGCAGCACGTTCCGGCGAGCGCACGGACGGCGCACAGGGTTGGTGATAACACGGGCGAGAAGAATCATCGAGACTATCCGGGAGGGACGGAGGGGAGGAGACGGATGCGGATGCTGTGAGAGGGAGAGAGAGAGAGAAAGGCGAAGGGATCCGGGGAGGGAGGGGGCACAGAGGAGGACGAGAGGCGGGAGGGTGCGAGAGTCGGCGACGACGGGCCGTGCGGCATCACCGCGCGTTGCCGTACTTGGACTGGTAGTCCTTCTCTCGCCGGAAGAGGAGCTGTGGGCGGCAAGGGAAAAGGCGGTGTCAGGAGGAGCGGACGACGTGCTCGCTCGAGGAGAGAGGGAGGAAGAGGAGGGAAAGGAGTGACGCACGACGTGAGGCTCTGGTGCGTGCACCTCGTAGTGCTCCCACCCGAGCGACTGAGTCTGTGGGCGCGGGATCGGATTGAAGGTCAGCGCTCGCTCGCCCTGCACGACGAGGGCTCGCGGCGAGACCAGGAGGAACGAGTCGGCGACGCACGATTCCGATTCCTCGCCACTCGTCCTCGGACAGGAGCCTCATGACGTTCGTGTCGGGTTGAAAGTACTGTGGGGCGAGCTCGAGCGTGAGTGTGGCGGCGAGAGGAGGTGGGGAATGCGAGAGAACGAGGAGGCGCACCTCTTTCGGGACTGTGAGGGGCTCGAAGGGGCGCAACTCGTCAGTACGTGAATTGGACTGTGGCTCGTCAACGGCCTTGGCCTGACGCCGTCGAGCGCGAGCTTGTGCACCCCCTCGACGGCAACCACGGGCGGGCTTTGACGAGCCAGAGGCGGTGGGAAGCGGGAACGGCGTCGACTGACCGAGCTTGAGCATCTGGCGCGGGAGAAGGACATGCCTGTTGGCTTGTGCGAGAGGTGTCAGCCTGGGTGCGACGAGGGGGAAAGAGGGCGAGGGCAAACAAGCCGGGGGAGGGGGACGCGCCTGTACTCGTAGAAGTCGTCCGAGTAGCGGTCCGAGTAGTGGATGCGGTCGACGAGGTCCTGATCTGCGGTCAGGCGAGCGTTCGAGGCGAGGTCAGGCGGGAGATGCGCGAGGAGGAGATGGGGGGGGGGGGGACGAGGAGGAGATGACGGCGACTCGGGACGGCGGGGGATGTGGGAGAGGGTGGACTGACAGTCCTTGTCCTGGTGGGCCATGGTGGCCTGGTCTGTGTACCGGTAGCTGGCGACGAGGACGAGGACGAGGGCGAGAGAGCTGGCGTCGCAACGCGCTCTCGTCCTCGCCCTCCTGTTCCTCGTCCTCGCTGCGCTCCTGCGGGCACCTGCTGCCACTCGAGACCACCGCCTCACCATGGACTTGTGCGTCCCCTCTTCATCCACCCCGTCCCCCGCGATCTCCCGCCTCGCCTGACCTCATCTCCCTCCTCCTCCTCCCTCCTTGCAGCGCCAAGTTCCGCGCAGGCCAGGCCCAGCAGATCGGTCCGTTCCACTCGTCTCTCTCTCTCCATCGACCGTCGCAGCCACTGACCCCCGCTGCTCGCAGCCACCCTCGTCGGCGACGCCGCCGAAACCGCCGCCGCCGTCGTTCCCGTCGCCCCAAAGCCAAAAGCCCCGCCCAAGGCCGCCTCGCACAAGAAGAAGGCCACCCCGGTCAAGCGCACCGCCGCAGTCGCCGACCTCGACGACGCCCAACCGCGCAGGAGCTCGCGCCGCAACCCGGGCAGGGCCGCCAAACTCCAAGAGGACGACGAGGCCCTCAAGAAGCACCAGGAGGTGCGCACCCCACTCTCTTTTGCCTCGAATCTAGCCCCAAGTCGCACACTGACAGGCCGCCCCATCTCTGCAGGAGCAAGAACGGCTCGACGCCGCCGAGGCCGAGGAGCGCAACCGGCTCAAGCACGGCGACCGCCCGATCGAGGCGCGCGAGGGCGGCGTCAACGACGCCCTCGGCCAGGACTCGCTCGACGAGCTCCTCGACCGCCTCGCCGCTTACGACGTCAAGGACGAGGACGCCGAGCTCAAGTGGAACGTCGGCGAGCGGCCAAAGGCCGAGCCGGACAAGATGCGCAAGGCGGCCGCCGGGTGGGACCTGCGCGCGTGCGTCCTCCTCTCCCTCCTGTCCTCTCTGCGCGTCGTCGTCGACAGCGCACGAGCTCACCGATGCCTGCCTCCTCGTCACAGCATCGTCAAGATCATCCCTGACCGCATCTACTCGATGACGGTGCACCCGGACCCGTCGCGCGACCTCGTCTTTGCCGGCGACAAGACGGGCAACATTGCGTGCTGGGACGCGACCGACGCCGGCACGCTCCGGCCCGACCTCGACGCCGAGACCAAGACCAAGATCCGCGACGGCCTCAAGAAGGAGGACGGCGACGACGACGATGACGAGGTCGACGAGGACGAGGCCGAGGAGGACGAGCGGCAGTGGGGCAAGTGGTGGCACTGGAGGGCCCACGCCGACCAGAGCGTCTCGTTCCTCAAGTTCCGCCCGGGCGAGCGCAAGTCGGTGCGTCCTCGCCTCCTCCTCTCTCTCATACCTCTCTCTCTCTCTCTCTCTCACCCGCCCTGACTGACGGTCCTCGAGCACGCACGCAGATCTACTCGTCGAGCTACGACGGCACGATCCGCGCGACCAACTTTGAGACGAAGCAGAGCGAGGAGGCGATCGACGCGAGCGAGTGGAACGGCGACACGCTCGTGCACTCGTTCGACTTTGACGCTGCGACCGGCAACGAGCTGTGGGGTGCGTCGCCCTGGTTCTCCCCCTCGTCTCGCGTCTCGGTCGAGCCGGCGCCTGACGCTCGGGCCGCCTTCCCTCCTCGCGCACAGCTTCGGACGACGACGGCGGGCTCCTGTTCCGCGACTTGCGTGCGCCAAAGTCGACGACCAAGCGGTGGGAGATCGACGGGTACAAGGGTCCGTCTCGCTCTCGCTCGTCCTCCTCGTCCTCGACTCGGACTGACTCTTCGACGGGGCCGTGCGCGCAGTCGGCTGCGTGTCCATCAACCCGGCCAACTCGGGCCTCGCAGCTACGGCGCACCTCAAGCGCTACATGGCGTGCGTCCACCTCTCTCTGCCTCGCCTGCACGTCCTCGTCGACTGACTTTGCCCTCGTCCTTCTCCCTCTCCCTCTCCTCCTCCCTGCTCCTCCTCCCGCCTCTCCCTCGCCGACACCTCGCAGCCTGTGGGACCTGACGACGCTGCGCGGCCTGCCCGAGGACACGGACTGGCGCGACGTGCGCGAAAAGGCGCTCGTGACCGGGTTCGAGTCCAAGTACGCGTGCTCAAGCGCCTACTTTGACCCGACCGGCACGAGGCTCGCGACGACGAGCTACGACGACAAGATCCGCTGTGCGTCCCGCGCGCCCTCTCTCTCCTCTCGTCGTCGACGAGCCGCAGAGCCTGACGATCGCCTCGAACGCTCGCAGTGTGGGAGGTCGAGCCCAAGACGGCGATCCAGGACCTCGCCAACGTCGAGACGTTCAAACCCAAGCAGGAGATCCTCCACAACACGCAGGGTGCGTCCTCTCTCTCTCTCTCTCTCTGCTTCGCGAACGAGCCGCACAGACCCTGACTCTCGCCGCTCGGCCCCCTTCCCTCCCTCTTCCTCTCTCTCTCTCGCAGTCGGCCGCTACGTCACCGTCTTGCGCGCACACTGGTCCCAGGTCCCGACCCTCCCGCCGCACCTCTTTGTCGGCAACATGCACCGCACCGTCGACCTGTACTCGCCCGCCGCGTCGAAGGCCGTGCGCCGGTTCGACAGCGAATCGCTCACGGCCGTGCCGGCCGTCACGGCGGCGCACCCGACGAGGGAGGGGCGGTACTTTGGCGGTGCGGCGAGCGGCAAGGTGAGCTTTTGGACCGAGGACCTGCCCGAGGACGCGTAGAGCGGCGGGCGGCCGGGGCGAGGAGGGGAGGGGCTCGAGCGTCGTCGGGGCTCGAGCGACATTCTGCATCTCTAGCTTATTCTCTCTTTCTCTCTTTCTCTCTTTGTGTGACGCTCGAGAGACTGGAAAGGCACTGCTTGAGTCTCAGAGAGTGAAGCTACAGCATGGACAAGGCGAATGAATCGAAGGATGATGCGAAGCGGTTGGCGACGGCGGTACGGCCAAAGTCGTCCTTGCGCATCGCTCCATTAGCGCATCTGCTGGTCCTTGACCGGGACGTCCTTGCCTGTTGTGCCGAGCGAGGGTGGGAAGGAGGAGGAGGAGAGTAAGCGCCCGCGCCCAGTGGATGGAGGACAAGGAGGACGCACCGGTGAGCTTCTTGAAGCCCGTGCGGATGCCGTCCGAGATCTGCGAGGTCGAGACTGTCAGCGACCTGCGAGAGGGCAAACCGGAAGAGATAGAGAGAGAGAGGGAGGCGCGAGGCGCACCTTCTCGACGGTGCTGCCGGACTGGCCACCGTGGCCGCTCTTGTTGAGGATCGTCTGGACGCCCTTGTCGAGTCTGCAGACGAGGGGAACACGCGAAAGAGAGTGAGCACGCTAATCTTGTGGGAACGCGTCATCGAGAAGGGCAGGAGGAGAAGAGCTCACGCGTCGCCGTTTCCACCGCCCTGGGTGGACGAGACGGGGGCACCGCCGACGTTCTGGCCGGTCGACTGGCCGCCGGTAGGAAGAGCAGAGTTCTGCGAGGCGTCGAGGGCGAGGGAGAAGGGGGAGAAGTCGGCGAGGTGATGTGAGTGCAAGGTGGGGAGAGAGATGGGCACGGAACGGGAGAGGGTCAGCGCGGCTCGCAGTGGTCCAGAGAGAGACAGAGGAGACGCACCATGGTGTGCAAAGGTGTTCGAGTGGGGTGGGAGAGAGGGAGAGAGAGGACGAGGAAGGAGGAGGAGGAGATCGACGCCCAAGTCTCGAAAAGGCGGCCAGCTCACGGTCGCCGCTCACAGCTCTTCTGCGCGGTCGTTGCGCCTGCTGCACTTCGTACGAAGTAGTCGCTCTCCGCTGGACGGACGCTGCACCGCTCGTCGAGGACGGGCGAGATGCGCGTGATCTCTCTCGAGCAGAAGGCCGAGCCAGGTCGCGACGAGCAACTGCAGCTCTTTTGCTTTGCATAAGATACACACAGGGAGCGAGTCTACAGGATGCGAGAGAGGAGGGAGGGCAAATCTACATGCGGGCGAGCCGAGGAGGGAGAGGAGAGGGGGGAAGGAAGGGGAGGGGCGCAGGCTCTAGAGCTTGGCCGGGAACAGGTCCGAGTACTGTGCGACGAGTGGGTCAGTAACAGGTCTCGACGAGAGAGAAAGAGAGAGAGGGGGCGCACCTCTGCGACCGGGTGGGCGTGCGGCGCCTTCTCAAGCCCGCTCCTCCACTGCTCGCGGTCCTCGATGAGCTCGTAGCCCTGCGGCACCTCGAGCGTCCTCAGCTTCTCGACCTCGTCGAGGAGCTGCTTGACGTCGTCGTCGCCGCGACCCTTGGCGCGCAGGAGCTGCTCGGCGGCGACCTTTGCCGCGTCGACCGTCGGGCGGCTCTTGGCGAGCGCCGCCATCTGCGCCGGGTCGGCCTCGACGCCGAGCTTGTCGAGCGCGGGACCGAGCGTGCCGAGGGCCTCGGGCGTGAGGCGCTGCGAGTCGAGGTGGATCGAGAGGCGGTGGAGCGGGCGGTCGGCCGAGTCGAAGAAGTAGGTCGAGAAGAACGAGACGAGGTCGGCCTTGGTGAGCTTCTTGACCGTCTCGGCGTCGCGCCACCGCTGCTCAAAGTCGTACCAGCCCGAGTGGATGTCGACCCAGAGCGCGCTCGACCTGCGAGCGGGTAGAGAGAGTCAGGGCGGCTCCCTTGTCGAGGCGACGAGACGAGGGACAGGGAAAGGGCGAGACGCACTCCTGCCACATGTTCTTGTGGTCCTCGAGCTTGCGGCTGATGACGGCCTCCTTGTACTTCTCGATGTCGGCGTCGCTCATGGCCTCGAGCTTGACCTTGAACTCGTCCCAGAAGGCGTTGATGCGCGACTCGATGAACGGGCCGTCGCGCTCGCTCTGCACGATGACGCGCAGGCCCATGAACGCAATCGACTTGCGCGCACCGGACGAGACCTGCAAGAGAGAGAGGGTCAGTAGGGGCTCGTCGAGGAAAGAGAAGGGGGAGCAGCTTGGACGCACGATGTAGCCGAGCTGCTGCTTGGCGCGCAAGTCGTCGAACAGGGGCTCGCTCATAATGGTGCCGAAGACGCTCAGGCGTGCGCGCAACTCGTCGTCGTACAGGTCGCCGACGTAGGTGAACTGCTCGACGGCCGTGTTGTTGTCGAGCGGGTTCGGGACCGGGCGGCGGGCGAGCCACTTGCCTGCGCACGTGACGAGTAGAGGCTCGTCAAGTCGAGGGACAGGCAAGGAGGATGAGAGAGAAGGCGAGGGACGCACCTGGCGGAACGACGAGCGCCTGCCGGCTCTTGAGCTCCTCGGCCGTGAGCGCCTTGGGCTTGAACGTCTCCTCGACGCTCGCCGCCAGGCGCAGCGCCTCGTCCTTGGTCACGTTGCCGTGCGTGAGGCTCTCGATGTGCATCGTGCCGAGCATGCGCGCGACGTGCTCGCGCAGGTTGGCCGGCGTCACGTCCTTGAGCGCCGCGAGCTTGTCCTCGAGCGGGTACGACACGGCCGTCGTGAGATGGGCGCCGTCCATGCCGACGTGCTGGTACGGCTGCTCGAGGCGGAAGTTCTCGTACATGCGGACGAGCTGCGCGCGCGAGGGGTAGAGTCAGTGGCGGCTTGAGAAGGTCGAACGGGCTCGAGGATCAGGGACGGACCTGGTCGTGCACGAGCGCAAAGCGCTTCTCGTCGACCTCGTACTCCTTCATGCGCTTGACGACGACGTCGACCAGGACGGCGAGCTTGTCGTTGTACCCGTCGAGCGACAAGAGGATGCCGTCGGCCGCCTGGTCAAAGTTGTAGCTCAACCCGGCGAGCTCGGCCTCGTACGAGTACTCTTGGAGCGAGTCGCGGATGAGCTCGGTGAACATGCGCGTCTGGACCGACGACAGGGCCGAGGCGTCGATGTGCGGCCTGCGGGCGAGGGAGGGAAGGAAGGGGCGTGAGCGCACGGTCCGCCACGACGAGGATGGAGAGGGGGACGCACGAGCGGAACAGGAAGAAGGCGCCGGCGCGAGGGATGAGCCACCGGTCGTCCTGCTTGTGCCAGACGCGCGAGATGGGCGTGTTGCGCAGGTTGAGCGGCCGCCGAGCGGGCTGTGGGTGGTGACGGGCGGGCCCCGAGTCAGTCGCTGTCGTCGAGACCGAAACAGGGAGGCAACAGAGAGAGTGGGAGCGCACCTTGTCGACCTTGACCTTGTTCTTGACCTCGAGGTCTTGAGGAATGAGCGCGTTGGGGTCGGGAAGCGCGAGCTCGGGGTACTCGGCGGCGTCCTTGCCCGGCTGCGGGGTGCATGTGGGTCAGTCGGGCGTCGGCGAGGACAGGGAAAGAGAGGGGAGAGGGCGAGGGACGCACAGCGAGGATCTTGTCGGCCATGGGCTCGATCGTGAACTCGGTGCCGTACCACTCCTCCTTCTCGGCGTACGTGCGCCCGCCGATCTCGGCCTTGCTCCCGACCGTGATGCGGCAGTTCTGCGGCGTCATGGTCGCGACGAGGTCGGCAATCTTTTGCGGGTAGAACTCGCTGCAGATCCACGGCGCCGACAGGACCTTGTCGCGCGGGTAGGGCCGCGACATGGTCATCGACAGGCGCGACGCGCTCGACGACGGCGGCGACTTTTCCTTGAACCGGAACGCGAGCTTGGACAGCTGGGCGACCTCGAGGAAGGCCCACTCGGCGGGCGGGTGCTGGCGCAGGAGGGCGATGTAGGCAAAGATGACGCTCGCGACGTCCTCGTAGTGCGCGAGGCCCTCCTTGGTGAGGTCGACGTGAATCTTGAAGAAGTCGAACCCGCTCGCGCCGTTGGTGCCGGCGCCGGCGCTCATGCCGTTGGCCCAGCCGCGCTGCTTGAGGTAGCTCAGGACGCTGCCCTTGCCCTCGTGCCCGACGAGGTGGCTCAGGAACTGGCCCGGCTTGGACGCGTACAGGTCCGACTCGTCCTCCCACGGGAACGACAGCTCGAGGAGGCGCGTGTCCTTGACCGTCTTGACAAAGATCGTCTTGCCGAGCTCGGCGGCCGTGAGCGGCGAGCCGGGGAAGGTCGGCGGCGTCAGGGCGCGGTTGACGACGGGCGAGAACTGCTTGACGACGAGCTCGGTCGTCGCGTCGAGCGAGTCTGCAGGCGAGCGAGAAGAGAGAGGGTCAGGCTCGAGAAAGAGAAGGAGGAGGGACCGGCGAGGGCGAGCGGACGGACCCTTGGTGACGACGGCGAGCTTGCACACGTTGGCCGAGTAGTGCTTCTCGCACCACTCGATGAGGCGCTTGCGGACGTCGAACCCTCGCTCGCGCGGCGTGTCCCACAGCGTCTTGCGGTCGCCCGTGCCGAACCGCCAAAACGCGTGCTCGCGCGAGGACGTGCTCTTGTCGAGCTGGTACAGGCGCCACATGTCGCTCTGGAGGTTCTTCGAGTTTTCCGAGTGGACGGCGTTGGCCTCGCGCTCGGTGCACGACGGGTCGAACACGGGCGCGATGAAGAACTGGGCAAAGCGGTCGAGCGCGGCCTCGAGGTGCTGCGGCGCGACGTCGAAGAAGTAGTTGGTCTGGTCCATGCCCGTGAACGCGTTCGACGAGCCGCTGTGCTGCGTGAGGAACTCGGTGTAGTCGTTCTCGGCGGGGTACTGCGGGCGGGCGGACACAGCGTTAGGGTCGATCCTTCTTCTCTACCGCCTGTGGTCAGGCTGAGAGAGCGTGGGCGCACCTTTTCAGTGCCCATGAACATGAGGTGCTCGCAGAAGTGGGCGAGGCCCGGGATGTCCTCCGGGTCGCTCAGGTGGCCGACCTTGACGTCCATGGCGGCGGCGGCCTTGTCCGTCTTGGGGTCCGACACGATGATGGCCTCGAGGCCGTTCTCGAGCATGATGAGGCTGCGAGTCGGGGTTGAGGAGGGTCAGGACGGGAATAGGGAGGTGAGGGAGAGAGAGGAAAGGGGGAGCGCACCGGTACTCGCGGTCGTCGTTCTGGCTGCGCTCGATCTGCTGGGTGAAGTAGGCGTAGGCGGGCACGTCGCCGTTGCTGTCGACGCGAGTCCAGCCTGGCCCAAGGTGGTCGAGGGCGTTGCCGGGCTGGGTGATGAAGGCCGGCGGCGCGTTCGGGCGGTAGTCGGGGTCGGTGACGGTCATGATGGTGCGGCGGTGGAGCGGCGAGGGCTGGACGAGGCTATAGGCGGTGTTGCGGGATGCGCCGGGGTGCGCGATGCCGAGTGGAGCTGAGGCGGACGAGGCGGCGGCGAGAGGCGATGAGGAGGAGAGAGTGGCGAGGGAGCCGCGGCTGAATCTGGTCGGGGTGCGGCCTGCGAGTCTGGCGAGTGCAGGACTGAGTCGCGCAGTGTGACGGAGCATCAGGCGAGGTGCGAACCGACAACAGCCGCAACCACCTTGGCTCGGACAAAGGAACGGCGACCGGCCCTCGTTCACAGCCACCTCTCGCTCTGTGGAACAGCTGAGGGACTGAGCTGCTTCTGTACCTCTACTCGTGCCCACCCAGCTCGAGAGAGCGCTCCCGGCTGTGCCCGATCAGCGTCTTCCTCATCAGCTCCTCGTCAACCTCCCTCAGCTCTCCCTCCTTCCACCTGCCACCCCTTCGACCAGAGCGCATCCTGACGTCGACCCACGAAACTGCGTCCTTCTCGCTCCTCCCACCCGAGCTCGCCCTCGCCGTCCTCGCCCACTCGCTCCCCGACGAAGCTTCCCCCCAGTCGGCCCTCGCCCGCTTCGTGCGCGTCAACCGCGCCTGCCACGACCTCGCCACCCCGCTCCTGTACGCCAGCCCCTGCGCCACCTCGCTCGACAGCCTCGAGTCACTCGTCGCCGCCGTCACCGCCCGCGCCCCAGCCGGACATGCTCACGACGTCAGGGCGCTCCGCGTCGCAGGCCGCGTCTTTGCCAGCAAGGGCTGGGGCGTCCGCGTCGGCAAGGCCCTCAAGGCCTGCGCGGGCGTCGAGCGTCTCGAACTCGTCGGCGTGGACGACTTGCGCGCAAAGCACCTCGTCGGCGAGGGAGGTGCGCCCCACTCTCCCTCTCTTTCTTTCTGCAACACTGCAGCTTGCGGCACAACACGTGACTGACCCTGTACTACATACACAGCCCTCACGCACCTGAGCCTGCTCAACTCGTCGTTCGCGGCCCACTCGCTTCCCTCGCCGCCGACCCTCGTCCCCTTCCTGTCGTCCCTCACGCACCTCACGCTCGCCAACGTCGGCCTGCCGCACCCGTCGACCCACCTCACCGACATGCTCTCGATTTGCGCCCCGCACCTCGAGTTCCTCGCCCTGTCGAGCCTGCGCGACGTCGAGGAGCGCCAGTTCCGCCGCGCCATGGCCGTCCTCGTGCGCCAAGCAGGACGGCTCAAGAGCGTCAAGCTCGGCTTCCTCCTCGACGAGCAGGTGCGCGCCATGTGCGCCCCTCTACTCGTCGAGGACGACGCGGCTTCCTTCCCGACCCCGCCACCGAGCCCAACCTCGCCGCCCGCCGCCGCCGCCGACCCCGCCGCCCCGGCGCTCTCCCTCCTCCCCTCGGTCACCCACCTCTCCTTCACCCTCCCACTCCCGACCTCGGCCCTCCTCCTCGCGCTCCCGACCGCGCTCGAGATCCTCACCGTCCGTCCGCCCTACTCGCGACCCTCGTCGAGCAACCCGACCCCAGGCGGCGCGCGCGGCACGCCCACCATCTTTGGCACCTCGCGCGAGTCGCTCCTGCGCGTCCTCGACCGGCGCCCGGCCCCTGCCCCTCTGCCGGATGGGCCGCACGCGGCGGCGCACACGGCGACGCCGACGCCGTTCGCGACGCCCGCGAGGGAGCGCTCGCAGCCCGGCCAGGCGCGCCGCCCGAGCTCTTTCACGCTCGAGCAGCTCGAGGAGGAGGAGCGCGTCGTCGTCGCGCTCGAGGACGCCCTCGAGGTGCGGCCGGGCGAGAACGGCAGGGGGCCCGTGAGCATGGTCGCGCCGCGGTTGAGGGAGGTGAGGTGGGAGGGCCGGGCGCTCAGGAGCGCGAGGGCGAGGGTCGCAGAGGTGCTCGCGAGGAGGGACAGGGTGCGAGAGCGCGGGGCCGCCGGTGTGTGAGCGAGCGAGGGCGTCGGGGGTCCGGGCGCGGGCGAGGGCGAGGACGCTCTCGATTGCTCGCTCGCGAGCTCTCGTATGTGTTCGACGGGCGCAATGAAGACGATCTACATGCTCGATACAGCTAGAGCAGCGTCTACAGAGAGAGAGAGAGGCGACGAGGATGGAGATCTAGAGAGAGAAACGGAAAGCGGCCCGCGCTTGGTCTACATCGGCAGCTTCCTCACCTCGTCGAGGGTCCAGTCTGCGCGACGGTAAGGTGACATCAGTGCTGCACGAGGAGGACATCGTGTGACGGCGAGAAGACGGCGAGCGGGGAAGGGAGGAGGGACGACGAGAGGACGAGAACGCACATCGCCGCAGCACGTCCGGCTTGAGGCTCTCAACCTCTTCGTTGAGGTGGTAGAAGAGCGTCGGGCCCCAGCTGGCCAAGTTGGCGCGGAACTCGTCCGGCGAGTAGGACGACGGGTCGGCGCGGTACTTGGCGATGAGGGCCTGTTCGACGTAGGAGTGGAGGAGGTGGGAGAAGGAGAGGGTCAGTGGAGGGGCAGGACAGAGATACAGAAAGAGGTGGGGCGCACCTGGAGCTTGTCCATGCCTGTGCGCGTGAGGGCGAGGACAGGTCAGTGAGCGACTTGAGAGGTGACGAGGCGTCCGGCGGACGTGCGAGCGAGAGGACGCACCCTCGTGGATCGCGTTGTGCTCCTCCTGGTGCTCGACGGCGAACTGCGGCATGCGCTTGGCGAGTACAGGGAAGATGTGGCTGCGCGGCGAGAGGGTCCGAGAGTCAGATGCGCTCTCGCGAGCGAGACGACGAGAGAGAGACGGTCGACGCACCGCTCCTCGATGCCGTGGTGGAAGCCGAGGTGCTCGTGAAAGTCCTCGGCGACGCCCATAAAGTCGCGGACCGACAGGCCGCGCTTCTCGAACGAGCCGTCGCTCAACTCGAACAGCTGCTTGAAGGCGAGGCGGACTGTGGACCAGGGGTCGGGTCAGCTCGGGTAGGAAGAGATGGGATAGAAGAGGACGCACAGTACGAGTGGAAGCCTGTGCGTGCGAGGCGGGAGTGAGTGCTGCGTCCGGCCGAGAGCGAGAGGAGGAGAGAGAGGGGGACGGACCCTCCATGCGCGAGCTCATGCGGTCCCACTCGCGGCGGTCCATGTTGGTCTTTGGCTCTGGAGCGACATAGTCGGGCAGGTCGGGGTCGCCCTTGAGCTGGCGCTTGGGCTTTGAGCCCTTTGTGGCGGCGAGGGGCTTGACGGCTGAGCGCGAGGGGGTGATGCACGCTTCGAGGGTGATGGCCGACATTCTTCTCACGAGGCTGTTGAAGCCTGCCAGGGTGACTCTGGGCTAGCTGGAGCGAGAGGTGCCGAGCTGACGGCGCGAGACGACGAGGAGGAGGCGGCGAGGAGGAGGGGGCCGCTCTCTCGCCCACTCTCGACTTGACCAGCCAGCCAATCGTCCAGGTGAGCACCAGCACTGTCCAACAGCACCCTACACCCCTCGTCCGCCTCTCGCGCGCAGCGCTCACTCGTCTCTCCTCCCCCTCGTTCTCATCTCCCCCTCCAGCCATGCCTCGCCCTCTCCCCGGCCACATGGCCCTCAAGGACTTCAACGCCCGCAAGGCTGTCGCCAGCAACGAGCTCCTCCGCCGTGCCTACCTCTACCTCATGCGCAACGAGACCCTCGACCCTAAGATCCGCTCGGCCGCCATGCTCAAGCTCAACGCCTTCCCGCGCAACGTGAGCACCCTCCTGTCCGCTCTCGATCCTCCCCACCACACCCACTCACCCACTCGCGACCGCCCACGCAGACTCGGCCAGCCGCCGTCAAGAACCGCTGCGTCGAGACCGGTCGTGGAGGCGGTGTCCTCAGCGAGTTTGGCCTGTGCAGGGTGCGTCCCTGCCTCTCTCCGAGCCTCTCCTTTTGACCTTGACGAGCCGACTGACTCGGTCCCCCACCCGTGCAGCACCGCTTCAAGCTCGCGGCCGAGCAGGGCAACATTCCGGGCGTCTCTCGTGCGTCGTGGTGAGCAGAGCTGGGCAAGGAGGAGGCTCCACGACGAGCCGGCGAGCAGCAGTACCGTGTGTGTATCACCAGACGCATCATTCCCCTTCCCGGCGGCGACAGCGGCAGCGTCTCGAGTCGCGTCGCCAGCGCTTCCTCCTCGTCTCGAACCTCGTCGGGCCCGGCGTTCGCGCCAATTGCGCGGTGGCCTCAGCTTCTCGGAGCGTCCGCTTGCGCATTTGCTTGGGTGCGTCCTCACGCTCGCCGGCGACGGCAGTCGTACCTCCTCGCGGTTTGTCTCTCCTCGCGCTCACCGGACTCGCCGGTCCGCGTCCGGTGCGGGCGCACGCTCTGCTCGAGACAGGAGCTGGCAATCGACCCTTGCTCGAGCTCGACGGGCGCGTGCGCGACCGGCCTTTCCGCGGACTCGCCGCGAGTCGCTTTTCTCCTCGTCCTTCGCTCCCTCTGCGACCCAGCTTCTTTCGCCAGTACCCTACCCGCACTCGACATGAACCAGCCCAAGCTCCGCATCCAGGACGTCGACCGCCTGCCCATGCACCCGGACGACCACCAGTGGGAGATGTACTTTGCGGGTCGCTTGGGGGCCTGGGCGAAGGCGCCGACGGCGGTCGCCTACATCCGCACCGAGCCCGATACTGTCGAGGTGCGCAAGCTCGACCACAACTACGCGGCCGACCGCAGGTGCGCTCGCCGTTCTCCTCCTCCCCTCCTCCTCCCGATTCCTCAACTGACGGCTTCTCCCGTCCAGCCGGTGGCAGCACGACCTCGTCCACATCGACGACCAGACGCCTTCGCTCCCGCACTCGGTCGCCATCCAGCACGTCTCCTTCAACATGTCGCCGTCGGCCTGGGCCAAGATCGAGTACGTCCGGCGAGCCTCTCGAGCCCGCTCGGACCTCGCTCACCATCTCCTCCCTCGCCGCAGCAACTGGGTCTCGCTCATCCCGCTCGAGCACGTCATGGCCGCCTTTGACGAGCTGCACGCCTCGACGCCGATCGCCAACGAGGACGACATCGCCGCTTACGAGTTCGAGGCGTTCGCGCACCTCCTGCTCGACCTCGGCCTCGTCTCGACCTCGCCGCTCCCCGGCGGCAGGGCATCGCGCACCCAGTACGAGCTCAACGCCCTTGTCGAATGGCTGGACAAGACGAGCTTCCTCGCCCTCGACCTGTGGCGCTGGACGTACCGCCACGTGTACCTCAAGGCGCGCGCCATGGCTCGCCGAGCGGGCGTCGCCTGGTCCGAGCAGCTCCGCACGGCGTCTCTCGACGAGGTCGGCGGCCCGGCGTGGGTGCACTACGTCCAGGCGCTCGCCATCGTCGAGGCGCAGCACGGCGGGCACCGGCTCGGCGGCGTGCGGCTCGACTCGAGGCGCGACTTCTTCTCGCCGGCCCACGTCACGCACGGCGCCGTGCTCGTCGACCTCTTCGTCGCGCTCCACCCGGCGAACAAGCTGCTTCTCGAGGACGCGAACCGGTCCGTCCCCGCACGGGCCCTCTCCTCCTCTCCCTCTCGACGGCGCTCCGAGGCGCAGGGTACTGACCCTCCCGTCGTCTCTCCTGGTCCTCTCCGCAGGCTTCTCGTCGATGGCAGCCGCCGCACGCCCATGCACGCGTGGGGCCGTCAGCAGCAGGGCCCGAGCGATTTTCTCGAGCCGTTCGTCCGGGCGTGGCTCGAGGACCCGACCGCGACCATCTTTGCGCGTGTCGATTGGCAGAACGTCGCGACCAACTTCATCCACCCGGCGCTCTACGTCGAGAACCGTCGGTACGTCCCCCTCGACTCAAACCAGCGAGGCTTTTCGTGTCGCGCCCTGACTAAGCGCTCGCCTCGGTCCTGCAGCGACTGGCGCAAGCGCATCTTCGGCATCAACGAGCGAGTGCATCTCGGCCCTGTCAACCTGGACGGCCCCTCGCTCGTCTGGGAGGTCAACCCGTCGACCATGGCCAAGATCGAGTGCGTCTCGGCTCTCTCTCTCTCTCAGAGACCCGGTTCTTCAGCCCTTAACTGACGCCCCTCCTCGTCCACAGCAACTGGATGTCGACGATCCCGCTCTACCACGTCCTGCGCGCCTTCGACCAGGTCTGGCCGTATCAGCTCAACGCGAACGTCGGCAGCCCCCTCATCACGGCGCTCGGCAACCCCATCGACACGGCGCTCGTCGACATCCTCCTCGAGCTCGGCGGCGGCCACTTGCCCGACATGCATGCCAACGGGGCCGAGTACGCCGTCTCCGTCACGCTCCTCCTCGCATGGCTCGAGCAGTACGCCTCCACCGCCGTCCACCTGTGGCGGGCGGCGTACAGGCACGTGTACAGCAACGCACGCTACCTCAACGAGAACATGCACAGCCCGACCTCGTGGCACACGCAGCTCGTCGACCTGCACCTCGCCGCCGACTCGGCGCCCTGGGTCAACTACCTCAACTCGCTGCGCAACCCGAGCGGCGAGCAAGAGTCCGCCGACTTTGGCCGCGGCGGCGAGTTCTTCCGCCAGCACGACGACTTGCCCACCCTCTTGCACGCGCCCCTCTTTACCGATTTCTCGTCGCGCTGCACCCGACCCTGAGCAGGCGTCTGAGTAGCTCGAGGAGGTGCGTGCGCTCTCCCTTTCTCTCTCTTGTCGTCGGCCGCGCTCTCTCCTCGTACGGATCCGACTGACAGACTTCTTTCCCTCGCGCAGCACCACCTCGTCGTCGCTCGCCAAGTACGAGCCGGTGCGTCGTCAGCCAGGGTGCGTCCTCGTCTCCTTCTTGGCCTTCTCAAAAAGTCGCCGACCTCTCTTGCTCGCTTCGCAGGTCCTCGGCGACTCGGGTCATTCAGCGTTTCTCTCAGACGTAGCCGTCCTCTCTTTTCTCGTCTTCTCCTGCAACGCACTGTCTCCTGTCCTAGCGAGCCGAGAGCTTGACCTTCCCAAGTTGCCCTTTCTCCTCGACGAGAGGTTTGAGAGCTCTGCTGCGTGTACTGCTTGCCACCATGAGCCGCTCGCTCGACGAACGACGAACATAGATCGCGCCAGAACTCTCGAGTCGCTGCAGGCGGGCAGGAGAAAGTCTCTGAAAGATCTCGAGAGCGCTTCTCCTTCTGCCGACGAGGCTCGACAGGAAGGAGGGAGGACATTGAACGTTGCAGAGGGTATAGCCTTTGTGGCGTACAGCTAGTCAGATAGATAGGAGGAGGGGTGGGGGAATGCGCCTCGTTCACGCCGCATGAGGACGATGGCGAGGGAGGAGGTGGACGAAAGAAAGGGGTATCGGTGGAGAGGGCTTCTCGCACGTCACGGCGGCGACGAGAGGGCACGGCACATTAGGGGAGTTGTCGAGGGTGAGGGCGAGAGAGGAGACCGAGGGAGGGGGGACGAGGACCGTTCAGAAGAACCCGCCGAGGCCGAGGAGGAGCTCGGCGCACTCGCGCTGCTCGTCCTCGGGCGTCTTGCCGCCGTGCGCCTCGACCGAGGAGCTCGCGTGCTTGGCCGACGACGAGGGCGCGAAGGACGAGTAGGCGCCGTCGTCGCCGCCGGCGACCGTGACGAGCGAGTCGACCGTGCTCGCCGTCGACGTCGACGAGAAGCTCAGGTCGCCAAAGCTGTCGTCCTCTGCAGCCGTCGACGCGGCCGTGGTGGCAGCGCTCGTCACCGAGGCCGAGGCCTGGCTCGTCGCCGACTCGCCCGACGTCCGGCGACGCTTGCGCTGCCCAGCCTCCTTCCTCGCCGCCGCCGCCGTCGAGAACTCGAACGAGAGGCCGCCGAACGCGCGCCCCTGCGTCGCGTACGCCGACGTCGACGGGCGCGACGACGGAGCGCGCACGGGCAGGACGGCGGCGTGGTGCTCGATGAAGCGTGCGCGCTTGCGCCCGAGCGCCTCGACGGCGCAGGTGCGGGCCGAGCCGGCGGCAGCGCTCGCGGCCCGCGACGAGGCCGTGAGCGCCGAGTGGGCGTTGCCGTGCTCGACGGGACCAGGGCCCGAGGCCGAGGTCGAGGTGCGCGAGTGCGGGTGCGACGGGAACGAGCCGAGCGAGGCAGTGCGGCCCATGGTCGGGGCGGCGCGAGGGAATGACGACAGGGTCGGGAACGTGGTCGAGTCGGTGTACGACGCCGAAAGGGAGCGGGTGGCCGCCGGGCGGTGCGGAATGTCGAGCCTCGAGAAGACGCCTCGGTCCTCGTCGTCGTGCTCGTCGTCGTCGTCGTCGTCGCCGAGCATGGCGACGTCGCCCATCGACGCCTCGTGCGCCATCATGCGACGACGAGTGAGCGGCGCAGGCGACGACGCCGAGGGCGGGTCGCTCTCCATGTGCCGCAGGAGCTCGTCCTTGGCCTTGGCCTTGCTCACCGGCGTCATGGCGACGAGCGACGACGGCTGCGCCTGCGCGAACGGCGCGAGCCCGTCTGCGGCGAACGGCGTCGAGGCCGACGGCGCAGCTGCGACGGGAGCGGGCGCCGGGGCCGTGGCGGACGCGCCGCCGACCGGCGTCGTCGAGCGCCTCCTCTGCGCCGCCGCCGTGACCGTGTCGCCCTGCGCATGCGCAAACAGGCCCGCCGCCTCGACCGCCTTCTTCTGCTGGCGGTCGGCGACGTCGTTGAGGCTCGCCTTGCGCACGGTCGCGAGCCTCGTCGCCGCGGCGGCGGGCTTGACCGGGCTCGGCGGGAAGACGAACGCGTGCGGGAGCGACGGGACACGGGCGAGCGGGGCGTGCGAGCCCTGCGGGCGCTTGCGCACGTGCTTCTTGGCGGCGATGATGGACGCCGTGCTGGCGCGGTGGAGGTAGACGCCGTGTGCGCTGGCGTCTGCGCTCAGGGCCGCTTCGACGCCGGTCGGGGCGGCGCGCAGCGCCGTGGCCGAGTAGCTGTACGCGTAGGGCTGCGCGACCTGGTGCTGCTGCTGCGAGGGCGCGAGCGCTGCGGGAGCGTTGGTCGAGGCGGCGAGGAGGGCGGGCGCCGTGACGCGGCCGCACGACGAGGCGGGCATGGCGGCCGCCGAGGTCGGCATCGGCGGGAAGTACGAGTTCTCCTTGTTCGAGCCGGACGACGACGAGGCCGACGACGAGGGCACCGGCGACGCGGTGCACGGGCCCTGCAAGCTCGGGAGGACGACGGCCTTGGGGAGCTCGCCCGGCGTCGACGCGACGGCCGAGGCGTGGAGCGGCATGGCCGGCGACGGCAAGGGCGACGACGAGAACGACAGGAGGACGCCGTCGAGGTCGCGAGGGTCGGACCCGCTCGACGCGACCGACGACGACGAGCACGCGAGCTCCTTCTTCTGCTTTTGCCTGCGCGACGTGGGAGGGACAGTCAGTGTTGCTCGGGCGGGCACGGCGACAACAACGTGGAGAGGGAGCGAACTCGGCGCGGAGGAGGACGCGCGGGTCGCGACACGACCTCCCCGCATGTTCACTCAAGGTGCGGGGACGAGGAGGAGAGGGTGAGAAAGGTGACGGACCTGCGGTTCTGGTACCACACTTGGACCGCCCTCGCCGTCATACCGAGTCGCTGTGCGATGCGCGCGCGCTCGAGCGGGTCCGGGCGCGGGTTGAGGCCAAACTCGCGCTCGAGGACGTTGAGTTCGGCCGGGGTGGTGCGGCGGCGGCGGACGGGGATGAGCGGGTTGTCCCACGTGCCGAGCATGGCGGCCTTGGACGAGGCGACGAGCGAGGCGTGGGCGTCGGACGAGGGTGCTGCGTGAGGAGCGAAGGACGCGACGCGGTGGGTGGTCGAGGGCGACGACGACGGGGGAGGGAGGCGGTGGGCGGCCGAGTGGTTGGCGTGTGCGGTCGAGTGCATGGCTCGGGACGAGTAAGGCGTGTGCTGGTGGCCAGAGAAGGGGGTCGAGGGTGGCACGGCAGCCATGTTTGGCGAGGAGCGGGCGGGCGGCGACGAGGGAGGAGAGGCACAGGGGATTCGGCGAGGTCGGCTGGCTGGTGGTGTGGCAGGCGAGTCGAAGGGCGGACTAGCCCGTCGAGAGAGGTGCGAGTGATGGAGGAGGAGGAGGAGGACGAGACCAACACAGTTCGCCGACACCTTTGGCGCGTCGGCCGCGCGTCGCCCGCTCCCCCTCCACGCGCCTCCCTCACCTCTCGGACTTGCGGTGACTGCCACACAGACCTCGTACTCGACGCTCTCGCACCCAGAGAGCCGCGAACAACGTCGTACCTGCGCGACGTCGCCCCGGAAACGCGTCTTCGTTTTCTGCTTGCGATGAACCTCAACACGTCGCCACACCGCCTACCGTGCAGCTACAAGAGCCGCAAGCTGTCGAGAAAGCTTTCAGACTGCGCAAAGACTTACGAGAGCCCGTCCCGAGAGCGGCTGCGACGAGGTCTCGCGCTCCTCCCCCACCGACGACATCGACGACACCGCTGTCGCTCCCTCTACCACACTTGCTCGCTGTCTGCACCCTCGCACCTCCTCGCAAGACTCCTCAAAGCACGATCATGGCCACCCGCGAGCTCTACGGTGGCGCCATCACCGCCTCGATCCCGGCCTCCTTCCTCGACGCTTCGTGAGCTCCCTCCCTCGCAGCACAGCCTCGGGCGCACTCGCTGACCAGCTCCACCCGCCCCAGTGATCTGCGACAAGTGCCCGACACCCAAGAGGTCTTTCTCGCGCCCGACTCGGACCTGAGCCTCATCGTCGAGGTGCTCGAGTTGGTCAAGGACGAGGGCAGCGCAGACGATCTCGAGGCAGCAGCACGGTGAGTCCCGGTCTACCTCCTTCTCTGGGCCCCTAAAGACATGTCGGGCGGAAGCCTGACCCTGCTCACCTCGCCTCGCTCGCTCGCAGGTTTCTCTTCTCCTCGCTCGCCCACGACAACACCGCCCTCTCCTCCTCCATCTCGTCCGTGTCCCTCCCTTCAGCCGCACCACGTCCCTCCGGTCCCGGACAACCCGTCGTCCTCGGCCCAACCGTGCTCGCCGGCACGCAGACCGTGTCCAAGTTCAACCGCCCCGACTCGGAGGCCGACACGGTCCTCATCCAGCAGGCCCTGTGGCGCATCCCGGCGCGCAACGCCGACGTGACGCTGTGCGTCAACTGGCCCGTGCGCATGGGCGAGACGGGCGAGGAGCGCGGCGACGACGAGGCGAGAAAGGTCTTTGACGAGGCCGTGCGCTCGTTCGAGGTCAAGGACTTTGGGCTCTTTGCCGGCGGCGACGCGGCGTAGCGGGGTGCAACGAGGCGACGATGCCGCTCACTGTCGACGACTGCGAGAGGAGCTTCGGTGCGAGAGCTTGTGGCTCGTGTGCTCGAGGACGTCGTCGACTTGCGCGACGACGTGGCTCGCGCTGCGGCCTCGCGCTCGTCCGTCGCCTTGCGAGTACTTCTACGGTAGCTGAGCGAGCGCATCAAGGCCACAGAGACGAGTGTCGAGCACGATGTCTCTCGATCATTTCGACGCTCGAGATGAACTCGGAGACGGGAGCCGACCAGCTCGTCTCCTGCACCCGCCTCGCTCTGCACGCGCACCTCGCGCCGCCCTGCATCGCCCTCGCCGCCGCTGAGCAGCGCTGCCGCGTCCCGCCCGTGCTCGCCGCTCGCCGCCGCCCGCTTGTTTGCCGACCGCCCGACCCCGAGCCGACCACCTCGCTCATCGACCCGACCGCCATGGGCCCGCCGCTCGAGAAGCGGCGCCGCCTCGAGGGCACGCCCGAAGCCCAGAGCGCGCACAACCTCGCGCCCACCCTCGCCAGCACCCCTCGCCTTCCCTCACCGCTCCCCGGCCACGGCCAGCCGCCGCCTTCCCACTCGAGCGCAACAGCACGAGCGAGCTCGCCCAGCTCGGCGCGGTCCGCGTCGTCCACCGCAACAGCAGGAGCAGGAGCGGGCGCAGCAGGAGGCGGATCGGGCGGGAGCAAGCCCCGACGAGCGCCCGCCGAGGCCGGCGTGTCGCCCGGCTCAAAGGCGGCCGCCGCGCGCCCCTCGACGAGCGAGCACAGCACGTCGTCCGACGTCAGCGTCGGGACGGGCCGGTACGGCGTGTACTCGAAGGGCGCAGGGCGCGGCGCAGGAGGTGGAGCTGGAGGAGCCGGGTCAGCAGGACGAGGGGCGCACGGCGGCGCGAGCGAGGGCACGACGACCTCGACGCCGTCAGCGGGTCGTGACCCGCAGCAGTACATCGACATCCCGTCGCGGAGCAGCGGCGCGAGGCCGGCGTTGCGCTCGCGACTCATGAGCTCGAACGGCAGCGTCGAGGGGTTGACGAGCAGCGCGGCGGTCGCACCTGGGGACGAGCTGCGCCTCGAGGGCTATCGAGATGGTGCGTCCCTGTCTCTTCTTTATCCTCTCGGTGGACGAGCACGTCTGACTCATGCTGCGCCACGCAGTCCGCGTCGTGTCCGTGCACTACGACGACGTCGTCGCCTGCCGAGCCATCAGCACGGCACGCGGCGACGCGCCCGTCGCCCTCAAGTTCAGCCTGTCGGGTCGCTCGAGCGTCGCGGCCAACTTCAAGGCCGAGTCGGCGGTCCTCGCGCGCCTGCGCGAGTCGGGCATCGTCAACGTCACCAAGGTCATCGGCAGGGAGGCCGGCCGTTACGGCGTGCGTCCCTGTCTCTCCTTCCACGTCCTCCTGGGTCACAGACGAGTCCTACGAGCCGTACTGACACTGTCGCCGTTCCCTCGCAGGCCATGATGGTCGTCGCCAACGAGGACCTGCGCATCTGGGCCGAGGTCCACAACCTGCGCCACCGACCACCTCCGCCATCCTGGAACGACCCACACGCCCTCGTCCGCACGATCGACGACGCCATCAAGGCCGTCCGCCTCATCGCGTCGATCCACAAGGCCGGCTTCGTGCACGGCTCGATCCGCCCGACGACCATCTCGCTCTCGTCCGCCGACGAGGTCCACCTGCACGACTTCTCGTGCGCGTTCCAGTTCCACGGCGCGACGACCGACGCCGAGGCGCTCCCGATCCGCGAGCGCGGCATGAAGGAGGAGAGCCTGCCGTACCTCGCGCCCGAGTGTTCGGGCCGCGTCGGCCAGACGGCCGACTACCGCAGCGACTACTATTCGCTCGGCGCCACCCTCTTCGAAATCTTTACCGGCCAGGTCCCGTTCGCCGACTCGGTCGACCCGCTCGAGGTCGTCCACGCCCACATCGCCAAGCGGCCCGCCCTCATGTCGACCATCGACGCCTCCATCCCTCTTCCCCTGTCGCTCATCGTCGCCAAGCTCCTCGAGAAGAGCCCCGACGCGCGGTACCAGACGAGCCAGGGCCTTATCGTCGACCTCGAGAGCGCGCGCAGCCTCATCACGGGCCCGATCACGTCGAGCTCGAGCGGCAGCAAGTCGTCGTCGGGCGGCGTCCTGTCGCCGCTCAGCCTGAGCACGGCGCACCTGGGCAGCGTCGGCGCCGACTTTGTGCCCGGGTCGGTCGACGAGGCGGCCCACTTCCGCCTCCCGCCGGCGTCCAAGCTGTTCGGCCGCGACGAGAGCATGCGGCAGCTGCGCGACAGCTTCGAGCGGGTCCAGTCGAGCAATAAACCGGCCGTCGTCGTCGTCAAGGGCGGGTCGGGCATCGGCAAGACGAGCCTCGTCGAGACGCTGCGGGCGCCGGCGGTCCAGGCGCGAGGGCACCTCACGACCGTCAAGTTCGACCAGATCAAGTCGGCCGTCCCGTTCTTCGCCATCACCCAGTCGCTGTCGGGCCTGTTCCGCCAGCTCTTGTCCGAGTCGGCGACGCAGCTCGCCGTCTGGCGCCGACGCCTCTCGCGCGCGCTTGGCAAGGAGGCGCGCATCCTCGCCGACGTCCTGCCCTCGCTCGAGCACGTGTTCGAGCGTGGATGGCTCGCCGAGCAGCCGGTGGTGCCCATCCTGAGCCCGCAGGAGAGCAACGAGCGGTTCCAGAGCGTCGTCCAGAAGGTCCTGAGGACGTTCGCGAGGGCCGGCAAGCCGCTCGTCGTCGTCTTTGGTGCGTCTCGGTCGTCTCTCTCTCTCTCTCTCTGTCGAACGGGCATGGCGAGCAACACACTGACGCACCCTCGTCGACGCAGATGACCTGCAGTGGAGCACGCCGTCCGACATCGCCTTCATCCGGTCGCTCGCGCACCTCGGCAGCGACGACGACGACGACCCGCTGTCGTGCAAGATGGCCAACCCGATGCTCCTCGTGTGCTGCTACCGCGACAACGAGGTCGACGCGACGCACATCGTCGAGACGGACCTCCTCGCCAAGCTCCCCCGCTTCGACCTCACCCTCACCCTCGAGCCGCTCAACGTCCACGACGTCGCGTCCTTCATCGGCGAGGCGCTCCGCAACTCGACCCGGAGCGACATGACGCCGACCGCGTCCCCGCTTGAGCGCGTCGACGCCAACATCCGCCGCCTGAGCGAGCTCGTCCTCGAGAAGACGAGTGGCTCGCCGCTGTTCGTCGCCCAGCTCCTCAAGGCGTTCAACGCCGAGGGCCTGTTCACGTTCGACTTTACGCGCGGCAGGTGGGACTACGACCTCGACCTGATCTCGTCCAAGACGGTGTCGACCAACATCGTCGAGCTCCTCCTCGCCCAGATGCGCAAGTACGGCCCTCGGACGCAGAACGCGCTCAAGGTCGCCGCGTGCCTCGGCAGCGAGGAGCTCGACGCGCACACGCTCGCCAAGGCGACCGGGCGCACGCTCGCCGAGCTGTCGCGCGATGTGCAGGACGCCGTCCAGGAGGGCCTCCTCGTCCCGTTCGGCCAGATCGCGCTCGACCCCGAGCACCAAGACGGCGTGAGCGGTCCGGCGGCTGTCGACGTGTCGAGCGGAGGAGCGGCAGGTGGGCACGAGCGGCGGCCGGCGGTCGAGGTCGGCAAGAAGAGAAAGCGCGGCGGGCAACTCGACGCCGAGCGCAGGACCTCGATCATCCAGAAGGCGCCTGTACCGGCGCGGTACCGCTTCTTCCACGACCGCTCGCAGCAGGGTGAGCTCGCCGCTCCCTCCTCCACGTCAGCTAGACCGCCTCACTGACCCTCCTCCCCCTCCTGTCCCTCTCCCCCTTTCCCTTTTCCCGTGCCTATCTCTTCCTCCCCGTACGCAGCCGCATATGCCCTCGTCCCCGTGTCCGAGCGAGGCGCCTTGCACTACGCCATCGGCCAGCGCATCATCGCCGCGTCGACCGACGAGGAGGTGCACGCCGACATCTTCGACCTCGTTCAGCAGCTCGACCACGGCATCCAGCTCTTGACGACGACCGAGGAGCGCGACCGTCTCGCCTACTTCAACCTTGTCGCGGCGCAAAAGGCCAACCAGTCGACGGCGTTCGAGGCCGCCCGCAGCTACCTCATGATCGCCCTCGACCTTCTCGGCCCTGGAGGGTGGTCGGCCCAGCACGAGCTCATGAGCAAGGTCGTCGAGCTCCTTATCGAGATCGAGTACAGCTTGACGTGCGTCCGCCTTCCGCCTCACGCCCTGTTTCCCCTCGTCGCCGCACTGACCTCGTCTCGTGTCCGCCAACAGCGACTACCCGGCGGCGCAGCAGTTCGTCCGCCAGTACCTGGCGCACTCGAAGAACGACGTCGACAAGCTGCGCGTGTACGCCCGCTCGATCCGCTGCGCGACGGCCACGGGCGACTCGAGCGGCGCGATCGAGATTGGGCGCGAGGGCCTCGCCATGGTCGGCATCGTCCTGCCGGGCACTGCGGCAGATGCCGAGGCCAAGGTCGCGTCGACCCGCAAGGAGCTCGCCCTGAGCGTCGACGCCATCGAGGTGCGCCTGCTCGCCTTCTCTCTGTCTCTCGCCGAGCCGGCCTCCCTGACAAAGCTTCCCTCGCAGGCCCTCGCCTCGGCGCCTCTCATGCAGGACCCGGTCGCCGCAGGGTGCCAGGCTATCCTCGCCGCCCTCGTTCCGCCCATCTACTTCGTCCGCATCGACCTTCTCGGCGCCCTGTCGTCCCTCTCGCTCGAGCTCTCGGTCGCGCACGGTCTGAGCGACGCCGGCGCCCTCCTGTTCACCTTGCACGCCATCCTCGTCCGGGACCAGTTCCGCCAACCTGTCGAGAGCTTTGCGTACGGCAAGGCGGCGGTCGCCTTCTTCGAGCGCCACGGCGGCAGCCCGCTCGCGTGCCCGACCTACAAGGTGTACTCGTCGCATGTCGCCGTGTGGGCCATGCCGCTTCAAGACGTGTTCCCGACCTTCCGCACGTCCATCGCCTACGGTGCGCTCGCGGTTTTCGCCCTCGTCGTCGCCGTTCGACCTTCTTAACTCGCCTTCCCCCGCTCGCAGGCATCGAGTACCGCGACGCCGAGTACCTCGGCTTCGGCTGCGGCGAGCTGTGCTCGTACTCGCTCCTCGCAGGCGTGTCGCTCACCGAGATCGGCAGCAACATCGACCGTTACGCCGTCCTCGTCCGCAAGTTCCGGAACGAGCTCTCGTCGACCTACATCGGCCTCGTCCAGCAGGCCGTCCTCTGCTTACTCGGTCGCGCCGCCGACCCGGCCGAGCTCGACGGCGAGGCGTACAGCATCGCCGACTACCACATGTGCCGCGAGAGAGGCTGTACGTGCCGCCGCCTGATTTCTTTCCTCTCGGCCGTCACTCACCTGTTCTCCCTCCCGCAGATGTCCTCACCCTCCTCGAGTTCCACATGCTCCGCCTCATGATCGCCGTCTTCCTCGGCGACTCGGTCCGGGCCAAGGAGTCGCGCGAGCTCGGCAGGGAGAGCCTGAGCGGGGTACGTCCTCACCCTCTTCGACCCTCTCGTCCCTTCTCGCCCACCCACCACGGACTGACACCTCCTCGTCGACCTGCAGGCTCAAGGGCTCGTCTATACCGTCTTCTTCCAGCTCTTTGCGGCCGTCTCGCTGTACGACGAGCACGACTCGATCTCGCCCGAGGAGCGCGACCACATCGACAGCGCGCACAAGCTTCTCGACGACCTCGCCATCAGCCAGCCCGACAACTTCCTCCCGCTCAAGCTCTGGCTCGACGCCGAGCGAGTACGAGCTGCGGGCGACGCCGTCAACGCGGTCCCGGCGTACGACCTCGCGATCGAGGCCGCCACCGGTCGTCGGGCCATCCACCTCGCGGCGTGCATGAACGAGCGCGCCGCCGCCTGTTTGCCGAGCGTCAAGTTGCGAGCCGGGTGCGTCCCTTCTCGCCTTCCTCGTCTTCCTCGACCTCGGATACTGACGAGCCTCGTCCCACAGGTACCTGATCGAGGCGCACGCCCTGTGGGCCGCGTGGGGCTGCGTGCCCAAGACGACCAAGATGGAGGCCGACCACCTGCACCTGTTCCCGTTCAAGCCGTCGACGACGCAGCGCCTCGCGCCGACCCCGACCCCGACGCCGCCTCTTCCTCCTCCCGGCGGGTTCGGCTCCGACTACATGCAGGCCCGTCCTCCCTCGAACGAGACGACCGAGCACACGTCGTCCTCGTCGACCGGCGACAAGGTGGACGAGCCCAACCCGGTACGAGGCTGGACGAGCCAGCCGGCCAACGGCAGCGCGAGCAGGCGCCAGTCGCACGGCTCGCACGGCTCGCACTCGGAGAACCACGACGTCGACATGGTCAGCCAGTCGCGCAGCCTGGAGCACGGCGACGTGTACGGGCGCTCGCACCTCGCCACCGAGCTCGACCTGCGCACCGTCGTCACGGCCTCGAGCGTGATCTCGGGCGAGCTCTCGGTCGACAGGTGCGCTCTCTCCCTCTCTCTCTCTTTACTGCATGAGCGTGTCATTGACTCCTTGTCCTCCTTGCAGCGTCGTCTCGAAGCTCCTCAACCTGTGCCTGCGCACGGCCGGCGCCGAGATCTGCCTGCTCGTCCTCGACAAGGGCGGCACGCTCTGCGCCGAGGCCATCGCTCGCTCCGACTCGAGCGAGGTGCAGCATCTTCGTCGCACCGACGCCATCGACGTCCAACCCGAGCGCTGTGAGCATGCCCCGCCTCGCCGCTCGGACCCTCCTCCCGACCTGACTCGTCCTTTTTGTCTCCTCCTCTCGCGCAGATCCCTGCTCGGTCATCAACTACGTCGCTCGGTCCAAGGAGATGGTCGTCAACACGCTCGACACGCTCGGCGAGGCCATGATCGACCCGTACCTGCAGACCCGCCGGCCCAAGTCGATGCTCTGCCTCTCGCTCGCGAGCCAGCAGCGCGTCATCGGCGTCCTGTACATGGAGAGCGGTCAGATGGAGAACGCCTTTGTGAGCACGCCTCGTCTCTCTGTCGCCGTGCACGCCGAGCGAGCCTGACGTCGACCCTGTGCGCGCAGACGCCGGACCGCCTCGAGATCCTGTCGCTCATCAGCGGTCAAGCCGCAGCGACCATCGAGAAGGCGCGCCTCGTCCAGGACCTCAAGAAGACGAACCAGGACGTGCGTCGCTCGCTCTCTCCTCTGCAGCCGCCGCAAGCGCGGACCTGACGCGCCCGTCCCTCCTACAGCTCCAGAGCTCGCAGGGCGCTCTCGAGGCGTCGAACCGCAACCTCGAGACCAAGGTCGCCGACCGCACGATCGAGCTGCGGCAGAAGGCGGCGCTCTTGCAGGCCGAGGTGGCGGAGAAGGAGCGTGCGCAAGCCGAGATGCGGCAGGCCAAGGAGGTCGCCGAGAGCGCGACCGAGATGAAGTCGCAGTTTCTCGGTCCGTCCTTGCCCTCTCCCTCTCTCGCCAGCAGTGGCTCGTCGTCTGATCCTCTCTTGTCTGCGCTGCAGCCAACATGTCGCACGAGATCCGCACGCCGTTCAACGCCGTCGTCGCGCTCTCGTCGCTCCTCCTCGACACGCAGCTCACGCCCGTCCAGACCGACTATGTGCGTCCGCCCGCTCTCTCCCCCTCTCAGCCCTGGACATGTACTCACTCGTCGTCTGCTGCAGGTCGAGACGATCAAGAACTCGTCGCAGGAGCTCCTCGTCGTCATCAACGACATCCTCGACTACTCCAAGATCGAGCTCGACCACCTCGAGCTCACGTCCGAGGCCGTCCAGCTGCGGTCGGTCCTCGAGTCGTCGATGGACATGGTCGCCGAACGTGCCGCCACCAAGTCGGTCGAGCTCGCGCTCGTCATTGAGGAGGGCGACATCTACATCGAGGGCGACCTCGCTCGGCTGCGCCAGATCGTCGTCAACCTCCTGTCGAATGCCGTCAAGTTCGTCCAGGAGGGCGAGATCGTCGTCACGGCGTCGTCCGAGGCGGCCGGTGTCGACGAGCAGGGTCGGCCTCGCCGTCTGTGCAAGATCAGCGTCAAGGACACGGGTGCGTCCCCCCCTTCCCTCTCTTCGGCCTCCTCCTCGCCCTCAACTTGTCGACTGACCATGTCCACGACGCTCTCGCAGGCATCGGCATCGCCAAGGAGAACTTTGGGCGCCTGTTCCGGTGAGCACCTCGACCACTCGCGCTTCGACCGCTCGAGCCTGTACTGACGGTCGTTCTTCCTCGTCGCAGTGTCTTCTCGCAGGCCGAGGGCGCCGAGACGTCGCGCAATTTTGGCGGCACCGGGCTCGGCCTCGCCATCAGCCGCAAGCTCGCTCGGCTCATGGGCGGCGACCTCACCGTCGAATCCGAGCTCGGCAAAGGCTCGACGTTCGCCGTCACGTGGCACGCTCGAGCCCTCGACCCGCCTCGCCAGGACCCGTACCTCCCGTCCGAGAACCGCGACCTCGCCGGCAAGCGCGTCCTCGTCGTCGACGTCAACAAGACGAGCCGGCTCGTCCTCAGCCAGCTCCTGTCCTCGTTCGGCCTCCTCCCTCGAGCCCCCGACAACGTCAGCGACGCGTTCGCGATGGCGACCGACGCGGCCCACAAGCACCAGGCGTTCGACCTCATCATCGTCGACGCGTTCCTCCCCTCGTTCGGCGCCCAGATCCTCCTTCGTCGCCTGCGCCAGAAGGGCCTCGACTCGCCCGCGATCGCGCTCACTCGCATGGGCTCGCCGATCTACGAGGAGATGCGCCAGCTCGACTGCAAGTTCCTCATCAAGCCGATCAAGCGCAACCGGCTGCACCACACCTTGCGCCTCGTCTTTCCCGCCGGCGAGTCGTCTCGAGTCGCCTCGCCCGCACCCGCGAGCCCCGCCTTCCCGACCAACCTCGCGACCCGCAACCCGCTCGCCATCCTCGTCGCCGAGGACAACCCGATCAAGTGCGTCCTCGCCGTCCCTCTCTTCCCCTCCCGCCTCGCCTGGCCCGTCACTGATCGAGAACTTTGTCGCCGCGACAGCGTCAAGGTCATCAGCCACCTCCTCAAGCGTATGGGCTACAGCTGCGACCTTGCCGAGGACGGCCTCGTCGCCGTCGAGAAGGCGTCGCGCAAGCGCTATGACCTCATCCTGTGCGTGTCTCCCTCTCTCTCTCTTCTTCTCGTGCCGCCGAGTACTGACACCTCGACCGCTCCGCAGCATGGACCTCAACATGCCTCGGATGGACGGCTTGACCGCGACCGCCGAGATCCTCAAGCTCATGCCCGACCCGGACCAGCGGTGCGTCCTCGCTCGAGCCTCTCGTGCCGCCCGGCCATGACTGACTCGCGTGTTTCCTCGCAGGCCATCTATCGTGTGCCTGACGGCCAACGCCATGGCCGAGGACCGCATCCGTTGTCTCGAAGCCGGCGCCGAGTGCGTCCTCTCTTTCTCTCTCCTTCTCTCGCCCGCCGGCGCCCTCGCTCACCTATCTACGTCGACAGCGGCTACGTCTCGAAGCCAATCCTCGTTCCCGAGCTCGTCAATGCGCTCAACGCCGCCGGGTCCCGTCGCGCCGCCTCGTACGGCCCCGCACCTCCTCCTCCCCCTCCCTCGAGCTCCGGCCCCGCCTTCCCTTTCGAGCTCGAGCTCCCGACCTCTCGCCTCGGGCGCGCGAGCCGCAAGAACTCGAGCGTGTCGAGCCGCAGCACGAGCTCGCAGGACAAGCGCAGCGGCGCGAGCAGCGTCAGCCCCGAGCCGCAGGGCATCACGACGAGCGCCAAAGTGAGCCCGACGGCCGGCTTCCCCTTTCCGAGAGCGGGGACACCTTCTACGGTCGTCGGTGGAGCAGGCGCTGCGCCGCACGGCTCGCTCGGCGCGACGTCGCCGGCCAAGGTGAGCCCGACGCCCGTCTTTACGCCGCCGACGCCCGGCGGCATGACGGTCGCGCTTGCGGCGGCGGCCGCCGCCAACAACGCGGCAAGCCGGCCTGGGTCGTCGACCGAGGCGGCGGCTGCAGCTGCGGCGGCGGCGCTGCTCAAGGCGCCTCTCTCGCCGACGCAAAAGTCGCCCGACCTTGCTCCTGGTTCTCGAGCCTCGAGCGCGCCCTAGACGTTCTCTCTTTCGCTTGTCACATCTTTGGCTCTCCCTCGTCCTGTCTCGATCTCTGTCTCTCTTGTTGTGAGCATCCTTGGCGTAGCATCTTTCCCTCTCTCGATCTGTAACAGCGCTCAGGCCTTCTGCCGCATGGTGGTGACATTTCTGCGCGAGAGCGGCCCTCGCACTGCTAGACAGGAAAGAGCTCGCGCCGCTCGCTCGCTCGCCCGCTCGAGAGACGCCCTCACGCGTACCCTGCCGGCGGCGGCGGTGGCGGCGGGTGCGCGCCGCCGTACGCCGCAGCGCCCGAGGGCGCAAAGCCCGGCGGCGGCGGCGGGATGCCGGCGGCGGCGTACGGATTAAAGCCCGGTGGCGGCGGCGGCGGGGCCTGCATCATGCCGGGCGGGGGAGGAGGGGGAGGCGCGCCGTGCTGCGGCATCATGCCGGGCAGGGCGCCGTACGGGTTCGGGGGAGGGGCGCCGAAGCCGGGAGGAGGGGGAGGGGCGACCATGCCGGCGTAGCCCTGGCCCGGTGGAGGCGGGACGAACTGGGCCTGGTGCGGCGGCGGCGGCGCGCCGCCGGGCGGGCCCGAGAACGCGTTGTTCTTCCTCGCCTGGGCGGCGAGGAGGCGCTCGGCGGCCGTGCCGTGTCGCTCGCCCTTGGCGTCCTTCTTGAAGGCGTAGCCGACCGTGACGGGCTTGTTGGCGAGGAACTGGCCGTTGAGTGCCTCGATGGCGGCGTCGGACGCCTCGAACGAGTCGTACGAGACGAAGCCGAAGCCCTTTGATGCGCCCGTCGTCGGGTCGCGCGAGATCTGTGCGCGCACTCACATTCAAGGTGAGCTGGAGGACACAGAGAGAGACAGGCGGCGAGAGAGAGCGCACCTTTGCGGGCTGGACGAGGGTGCCGAACGCCATGAACGTGTCGTACAGCATGCGCTCGTCGACGTTGGGGTCGAGGTTGCCGACGAACAGGTTGGCGCCGATGTCGAGCTGCTTGCGGTCACTCGAGGCCTGCAGGTCACAGAGGGTGAGCGAGGCGCACAAGGGGGCAGGAGAGAGAGGAAAAGGGGGGCGCACCATGTTGACGCGGACGGGCTTGCCAAAGAGCTTGATCTGGTTCATGATCTTGCAGGCGTACTCGGCGTCGTCCTCGGTGAGGAACTCGCAGAAGCCGTAGCCCTGGTGGGTCATCGAGATGCGGTCCTTGGGCAGGTGGACGTTGGCTGCGGGGGCAGGTCAGCTCGGGCTCAGAGGGGGGAAGGAGGATCGGGAGCTGGCTCGAGACGCACAGACGGGTCCTGCCTGGAGCATGAGCTCCCACACGAGGGCGTCGGTCACTCGCTCGTCGAGGTTGCCCTGCGGAGCGGGTGAGGGGGGGAACGAGGTCAGTGGTGAGGACTTGGGGACGTGACGGGAGTGGCGAGAGTGGGCGCACGATGTAGCAGGTACACGCTGCGTTACGCTCCTCGTTCCTCGGGCCCGACATGGTGAAGAAGAAGGCGAGGGAGATGGGACGAGGCGAGGGTCGAGGTCGAGTGGGGCAGACGGCGCTGGGGGACGGTGCTGTTGAGCTGGGAGTGCCGGATAGTAGTCGTGGAGTGCTCGTGCGAGGTCAAGCCGTGCCTCTGAGCCGAGGGCGGGACGTGCGAGAGGCCAACTCGAGGCGGAGATGGAGCGACGGTGCTCTGCCCTCGTCTGCATCCCGCTCACAGCTCGAGCGCTTGCCGTGTGCCACTAGAGCCACTCGCACGCCTACCACTAGACCGACGCCGCCACTCGCTACCGCCGCCCGACTCGCCGTCGCCCTTTCCCTCACCCCCCTCCGCCTCATCTCCTCCTCGACCTCAGCCCGCGTCAGCCTCGCCCAAGATGCCCCGTGAACCCGATCCCAGCATCAACGAGGCCGAGTTTGTGCATCGCTGCCTCCGCAAGGGCGTCCGCCTCGACGGCCGCGCCATGTACGACCTTCGCCCCGTCCAGCTCACTTTCGGCGACGAGCTCGGCTGGGTCGAGTGCAGGCTCGGCGACACTCGGTCCGTCCCCGACTCTCTCTTTTGGAGGTCCTGCGCAACCACAACCGACTCGTTCCGCTGACTCGCGGCCCTGGTCGCCCACCGCCCTCCCACAGAGTCGTCGCCCAGGTGTCCGCCGAGATCGTCAAGCCGCTCGCCGACAGGCCGTACGAGGGCTTCCTCAACTTGACGACCGAGATTAGCCCGATGGCGAGCGCGGCGTACGAGGCAGGACGGTGCGTCCCTCACTCCCGCTCCCTCGAGGAGGACTCGCCGCTCACGACGCCTCTCGCGCACACAGGGCTTCCGAGGACGAGGTGCTCATGACGCGGTTACTCGAGAAGGCGCTGCGGAGGAGCAATGCGGTCGACCGGGAGGCGCTGTGCATCGTCGCGGGGCAGAAGGTCCGTCCTCCCTCTCCTTCCTCGCCGCGCTCGAGCCGCCAAACCTGACCCTCGCTCGTCGCGCCCAGGTCTGGTCCATACGCGTCGACGTGCACTTCCTCGACGACGAGGGCAACATGCTCGACTGCGCGAGCATCGCCGCCATGACGGCGCTGCGGCACTTCCGGAAACCGGACGCGACCGTCGTCGGCGAGGAGGTGACGATTGTGCGTCCCCTGCTCTCTCTTTCTCTTCCTCTCTCCCTGCCCTCTCGAGTGCCCAGACTGACTCGCTGCCCGACGTGCAGCACTCGATGACGGAGCGGGTCCCGGTCGCGCTGGCGGTGCACCACTCGCCGGCGTGCTTGACCTTCGCGTTTTTCGGCGAGGAGTACGTCCCGCGTCTCTCTGCCCTTCCTTGCCCTCTCCCTCTCTGTCTCTCTCGGCGAACCCCTCGAACTGACGCCCTCGGCCTCGCGCAACAGCTCGCTCGCCGTGCTCGACCCGACGCACCTCGAGCAGCAGCTGTGCACGGGCACGCTCACGCTCGCGCTCAACGCGCAGAGCGAGATCTGCGTCCTGTCGAAGCAAGGCGGCGCGCCCTTGTCGGCCGACGACGTCATGAAGGCGGTCCAGATTGGCGTCGAGCGCGTGCGCCAGGTCGACGAGGTGGTCGTCAAGGCGCTCGCGCACGACCGCTCGAGGAGGGTCGTCGAGGTGCGGTGAGCCCGGCGGCGAGCGAGCGTGCAACGTCGTCGGAGTTACACGGGCGGTCGGTCCCTGAGAGGGCGTGCCTTTCACGCGCAATTTGGGCAGCGAGAGAGTCTGGACCCTCGGAGCGAGAGCGAGAGCGGCGTGGTCGAGGAGCGGAGCGGGGAGGCTCGCGCGGCCTGGTCGTGTGTCTGCAAGAGGAGAGCGTTACGAGCCGGTGCAAGTAGTGCAGTCGACCCTACCGTACGAGGAGAGCGAGACGCAGAGAGCCGCCTACTGGTCGAACAGCACCGGCGAACTCGCGTTCGTCGCCTCGTTCCCTCCACACACCTCGCCTTCGCAGCGCACCACCCGCGCAAGGTTGACGGCGCTCAGCAGCACCGCCAACAGCCACCACACACCGCACGCCAGCCGCCCTCGCCCGCAACAGCCCGGTGGCGCCCTCCGCCAAGCCTCGAGTCCGCCTTACTTTGGCCGCCTCGCACCGCGACCTGTGCCCCGCTCGACCGCACCAGCAGTACTCTACAGTGCCTGCCGCCTCGACGCACCCCTCTGCCGTACCTCCAGCACCCCCCCTCGAGCGCCAGCGCCCGCTCCTCCTCGTCCGCCCTCCCGGCCGCCCTTCTCGCGCCCGATCTCGCCCTCGGCCTCTCGAGACCGGCTTCCAGTCCGCACAAGCTCTCGTCCACAACCTCCTCTGTGCGTCCCACGTCGTCTCGAGCTCGTACGGCCTCTGCTGACACTAGCTTGCCCCCCTCCTCCCCACCCTTCGGCCCCTCGCCCGACCGTCGATCGCCTCTTCCCTCTCGACCCTGCAGGCACCTCCCTTCGCCACCACCACCACCTCGTAGCGCATGGCCGCAGCCGTCATGCGCGCAATGACCTTTGGGTCGCCCTCGTCCCGCTCGACGTCGACGGGCGGCGACCCCTCGTCTCGCGGCCGCACCTCGGACCGCGACTCGGCCTCGCGCTCGTCAGAGTCGCGCAGTGCGTCGCGTGGCGGGACCGCGCTCGCGAGGACCCTGTCGGGCGGCGCGAGCGGGTCCGAGGGCGGAGAGAGCCTCAGCAGGACGAGCTCGCGCTTGACGGCCGCAGGGTCGCCTCCTCCCCCGAGCATCCTCCTCAAGTGCGTCCCCCCCTTCTCTCTGATCGTCGCACGCGACGACCCTGACCCTCTTGCGTGCGACAGCTCGACGGCGCCACACTTTTACGCCAACCAGTCGGCCACGTCGTCCAACGCGTCCAACCTCGACCTCCTGTCGTCGACGGCGAGCACGCCTCGTCCTGTCCTGCAGCGCCTGCCCTCGGACGCCTCGTCGGCGTACTCGCAGGTCGGCCCGACGACGCCCGCCTCGTCGACATTCCCGCTCCCGCCGCCAGCGCACCCCGTCGTCGGCAGCCCGCCCGCGCTCGTCTCGAACGCGAGCGACAGCGGCAAGTTCCCGCGCCAGAGCACGATCCGCTTTGCGCCGCTGCCCGAGATCCGCCCTCGCAGCTACTCGACCGGCCGCAACGTGTGGATCGTCGACGAGGACGATGGCGAGGGCGAGGGCGGGCAGCAGCGCACGCGCCTCGTCCGGGTCGGGTCCGACGTCGAGCACGACGACGACGGCTACGACGACGACGACGCGTTCGACTTTGCGTCCAACGACGACGACGACGGCGGCGAGGGCCGCTCGACCAAGTGGGGCAGCTGGAGCGACACGCTGTCGAGCGGCATGTGGGGCCTGACGCCGTCGACGAGCCGGCGCAGCAACCTGTCGGCCGACGACGACGCCGTCAGCCTGTCGAGCAGTGCCGAGGGCGGCACGAGCGTCGGGAGCGGCGGCACGGGCGGCGGCGGCGGCGGGTCCAAGAAGCTCCTCAAGGCGTTCGGCCTCGGCAGCGTCGTCGCCGTCGCCAAGGGCAAGAAGAAGCGCTCGGGCGACGACGACGTCCTCGCGCGCACGTCAAGCGGCGAGTCGCAACTGTCGCGCCGCTCGTCGGTCGACGCCTCGGTCGCCGCAGCGGCAGCGGGCGCAGCTCGGCCCAAGGGCACGACGGGCATCCCGCTCCGCAAGGCGTCGACGTGGGAGGTCGGCGACGCGCCTAACTCGGCGTCGAACCGCTCGGCGGCCAACAACGGCGGCGGCGGCGGCGGCGGCGGCGAGGGAGGAGGAGGGACGGGCAGCACGGGCGGGCCCGTCTACTACGCCTCGCCGGCGCGCACCAACCGCCGCCGGGCCAACTACCCGCCCGTCGCACAGCGCTCGCGCACGGCGGGTGGCTCGCGCGGCCGGGGCCCGCCCATCGTGCGCGTCGAGGAGCCCAAGTTCAGCGAGTGGGGCGGCAGCGGCGTCGGGTCGCGCGCTTCGGGCGCCGGCGGTGCGGGCGACGACGACGACGGGAGCGGCATGGCGTGGATCAGGAGGAGACGGCTCGAGCGGGAGAAGGAGGCGAGGGAGAAGGCCGAGCGCGAGGCGCGCGAGAAGGAGGAGGAGGGGACCGGCGAGGACGACGAGGAGCGAGACCACGTCGACGACGCCCTCAACCAGCAGCGCGCACCGACACCGCCTCCGCCCATGGTCACGGCCCAGTCGCTCCCGCTCCCGGGCCAGCTCGAGGCGTTCCGCCGCGGTCGCCAACCCCCCTCGCGCTCGGGCACGCTCGACTCGACCATCTCGACCGCGTCGACGATCCGCCCCTCGACCCCGACTCAGTCGCCGTCGACGCCCCCGACGGCCGTCGTCGGCGGCCTGAGCGCGACCCGCCCCGCGCTCGTCATCGAGGTGCCGAGCCGGCCGAGCTCGTCGACCGCGAGCCCGGACAGCGACCGCGACACGCCCGTCACGTCGCCCGTTGGCGAGGACGACGACGAGGACAGCGATGAGGAGGAAGACGAGGAGGAGGAGCAAGATGAGAGCGAGGACGATGACGATCTCGACGAGGAGGAACTTGCGCGCGAGGAGGAGCTGGCCGAGGAGGCTCGCCGGTCGGCCAAGTCGATGGGTCCGTCCTCGTTCTCTTCCTCTCTCTCTTCCTCTTTCACTAAGAAGCATCACTGACTCGCTCCCATCTCTACAGGCGCCGAGCGGTACCACTCGCACCAGCACGAGTGCGAGGTCAAGGTCGTCGCGCCCACTGCGTCGCCCGAGCCGTCGTCGTGATCCCCCTTCCTGCTCAAGGAGCTGTACCTACTCTTCCCCCCTTCTCGGTGTCCCCCTACTGTATCGTTCCCGCCGTACCTCCCCTCCTTTCGCCTTCTTAGCTCGCCGGCCGTCCCTGTGCTACTCGACCCTCTCTTCCCTTTCTCTCCTTTCCTAGCCTATAGCGCTCTCGCGTCGTCCTGAAATGAGCAGTCCGCTCTCCACAGTCCTTTCATTTCGGCAAGCTTCCGCTCGAAAGAGAGAGAAAAGGCGACGAGCCCGCTCGACTTGAGAAGGTCAAAAGTTACGCAGGCGAAGCTACTCAAGCTCGGGCACCTCCTCGTCTGACGGGCTCCCCCTACACCGAGGCGCTCTGAAAGGACGCAAGACCGCCGGCCCGGACGCAGAAGCGCCTGGGAGCCACGCGCTCGGGCCGCTGTCGACCCCGCCGTCGCCCCTCCACCGCCGACCTGCGCGGCGCTCGAACGCTGCTCGGTCTTCCTCTCGCTTCACGTCTGTACTCGGTAATGGGTTCGAGGTCGAGCCGCCAGCGAGGTTACGAGGCCCGAGCTATTCTCGCATAGCTCTCGGCTCGCTCGAGGGGAGGGTTTTGACGAGGGCTCGAGCGCTTTCTGCGAGTCTGCAGGTCAACGAGGATCGCACGCGACGTCGTCGAGGGCGACCGACGAGCTACGGGCCTACTCTCGAGCCCTCGCGGCCCCGGGCGCGACAAGTTCGCGACGGAAAAGCGAGAAGAAGGCTCGGGAGCAAGTCGAGGAGGAGGACGAGATTTGCGCTGCCAGCAGGTGTCGGCGCACGGTCTCTCGCTCGTGGGAGACTCAGAGACACTCGAAGAGAGAGCCCGAGAGCAGAGGAGCCGACAGGAAGAGCTGCACCCGAGTCGCTCCTCGACCGACTTGAGAAGGGCGGCGAGGCTCACAACTCGCGCTCTACACGACAAAGTAGCTCGGCAAACGCGCTCGATTGCACCGCAGACACGTCCTCGTCCGATCTCGCCCGAGCAGAACACCGTAACCCTGCTAGATCAAGAGCTAGCGTTTGAGCGAGGGTGCGCAGGATCCCCCTGTCTTTAGCAGGTGGCCGGGCGCACGGGCGGTTCGCAGGGGTCCGCGCCGTGCGAACGGCTCACCACAGTGCGCCCGCTGCCCACAGGGGCACGTGAGGGCGGGCGCGGCCTCGTAAGGACCCGTCCGCGACGGCTCGACTCGCTGAGCCGTCGGGACGAGTGCGACGACGAACGAGAACTCTGCGCGGTCCGGGAACGCTCGCGAGGGACGAAGAGAGCTTTCGAAGAGGAAAGGGCGCCGTCGCGCGGCACAGCAAGGGCGCGAGGGGAAGCTTTCGGGGCCGAGAAGGGGGAGGTGCCATCGAGGGCGCGACTAACCTGCGCCGCAACGTCGGGAGGGTCAGTGCGCGACTCGGCGTGGAGCACAGACCCACAGAGAAGGTCCTGCAGGGAAGAAAGAGAGTGCGCGGGACGTACAAAGGACAAGACTAGCCGCCTCGAGGTCGAGAACCCGCATCGCGCCGCCCAGAAGACCGCCCTGCTCGCTGTGCACAGCCATATCGCCTGCAAAGGGACCAGGTCAGTACATCCAAGCCCGTGCACAGTGCAGCGAGGTAGCAGAGGGGGCGAGGGGAGAGGGGGAGGGGGGCCAAACACGGGGAGGCGGGGAGGAGGAGGACGCACCAGTCGCCCGCAGCCCGCGCAGCACAGCCGCATGGCCCACTAGTCTCCTTGATGCTGCCATAGTCCTCGACGACGTGGCCCACAGGCCCATGAACCGTTGCCACGAGTCGAGAGAGGTCGGACGACGCGAGTTGCTGATGAAGATGCGACGCGCCCTGCGCCCTCGGCGATCGTTCGCGGCGGCGCGCATGAAGCAGAGGTATGATGCCGAGATGCGCAGGTACCGACTCGAGCCAGTCTGAGCGAGCCCAGCCGTGAGGGCCGAGGGGTGCGAGGGGAAGGAGGGACGCGAGCGGCGAGCAGACCTTGAACTCGAGCTTACGCTCCCCACAGCGGTCGCCGTACGTTCTCCCGCTTTGAGCGTGCTCTCAGTGCTGTACAGAGTGGCCTTGGCGGCGAGCAAGCCGACAGGAAGAGCGCTCTCGTCTCGGACCTCGACCGACTCGAAGACCCAGCCGAGGAGGCCAGCTCGCGCTCTACACGACAAAGTAGCTCGGCAAAGAGAGGTCGGACGACGCGAGTTGCTGATGAAGATGCGACGCGCCCTGCGCCCTCGGCGGCCGCTCGCGGCGGTGCGGGAGCAGGCCCCATAGATGGATGATGCGATGAAGAAGAGCTGGACACGTGCCGGCAACGCACAGCAGCGGTGCGGCCGGGTTGCGCGTGGGTGAGGAGGACAAGGTGCGGCCCTTGAGCGCTCACGCACGCGCAACGAGCGACAGGGGCGTCGAGCCAGTGTGTGCGTAGACTCGCTATGCTCTCCACGAGACGTGCAAGAGTGCCCCAAAGGCAGAGTCCGGCGCTCAGTCTCGCTCTTTCTCCCCCTCTCTCTCGACGCCGACGCTGTTCTCGCGGAAAGTGGTGGGGGTAAGGGCACAATTGCAACTCGCGAGAAGCAATTTAGTCCTGGGCCTCGGCCTCCTGGTCGAACGAGAGGTTGTCTGCGAGGCGCGCGAACGAGGGAAGGGTCAGTACGTCGACTCGAGCGCGAGGGGGAGAAGGGAGGAGAGGACGGGAGACGCACAGAAGCGGAGGGTGTAGGTCGACTTGTCGGTCGAGACGACACGGAGCCACTCACGCACTGCAGGTAAGAGAGTGGGTCAGTGCGCTGTCGAGCCTCGACGAGGAGGGGCGAGAGCGGGGGGACGGACTCTGGTTCTTCTTGAGGAACTTCTTGGTGAGGTACTTGAGGTAGCGCTTGGAGAAGGGGACGGTCGAGGTGACCGAGAGCTTGCCCGAGCCCTCACGCTGGAGCTTGACGTCGTCGCCGAGCTGGCCAGTCTTGCCCTCGACCTTGATGTGGTCGACGAGGAACTTCTCGTACGCAGCGGCGTCGAACTGTGGGGCGCAAAGGTGAGGTCAATCGGCGAGTCTAAGGGCGTGAGAGAGAGAGGGAGAGGGACGCACGATCTTGTCGTTGGCCGGGCCCGAGTAGTCGATGACGAACTTGGTCGGGGCGACCTTGACCTTGGTCTGCTTCTTGGCCTGGAGGACGGGGAGAGCAGCGGGAAGATCACGGTGCGGGCGAGGTTGGACGGGCGGCGACGAGAGGGAGGGGAGGCGGTTGAAAGGCAGTCAGCGTTACGAGTCGGGGTGCGCCTACTGAGACGTCGCCACGGGCAGGGACCGTGTGAAGGTGTGCCGTTGGGACCTTCAGCAAAGCGGCTGGGGGGTTTCTACTGACGGAGACGACGGAGGGAGCCATTGCTGCAAGGGAGAGAGAGAGGTGAGCTTTTCTGATGGCGGAGAGGGGCGAGGCGAGGTCGGGGCGAAGAGTGGTGTGGACGAGAGGGGAGAGGGAGATGAGGCGCACCTGCTAGAAGGGTACTGGAAGTAAACCGAGGACGGTGGCCGAGGGACGAGACTGGACAAGGAGCAAGGGTGGGCCAGCGCGAGGAGGAGCTCGTCGTCGCCGAAGCTCACGCACCAGCTCGCCTCGTCGTCGTCGTCCCTGTGCCAGTCTAGCTCGACCAGCCTCTGGGCCATCCACCCTTCCCCCCTTCCATTCCCCCTTCCAGCGGGTACCTCAGGCTCCTCCCCCCCTCCCAACCCTTTGGTGCTCCCTCCCCTCCCCGCTCCTCCCACGAGCGCAGAGCCTTGCCTCCACAGCCCTTGTCGTCCCTCAAGCACCCCGTCCAGCCCGCCATGTCTGCCGCCCAGGTCTCTGGCGAGTGAGTCCCGCCTCCCTCCCTCCCCCCTCGTCCTCCCTCCCCTCGTCCCTCTCTCGCTCGCCCGTGCTCACCTCGACCCTCATCATCCACCCTCCCCCGCAGCTTCGCCATCAAGCCCGAGTCGACCCCTCCCGTCCTCAACACCAAGGACTGGCCGCTCCTCCTCAAGAACTACGACAAGCTCCTTGTCCGCAGTGCGTCCTCCTCCTCCTCCCCTCCCTCCCTCTCGATACACCGCCTCACCGCCTCTCTACAACAGGCTCGCACTTTACGCCCATCCCGGCCGGCGCCTCGCCCCTCAAGCGCGACCTCAAGAGCTACATCAAGCTCGGCGTCATCAACCTCGACAAGCCGTCCAACCCCTCGTCGCACGAGGTCGTCGCCTGGATCCGCCGCATCCTCCGCTGCGAGAAGACGGGCCACTCGGGCACGCTCGACCCAAAGGTCACGGGCTGCCTCACCGTCTGCATCGACCGCGCCACCCGCCTCGTCAAGTCGCAGCAGGGCGCCGGTCCGTTCCCCTCCCGCTCTCTCTACTCTCCCTCGAGCGCCCACGCCTGACACTCTCGCGACCCACAGGCAAGGAGTACGTCTGCGTCCTGCGCCTCCACGGCGCCCTCCAGTCCGAGAAGCAGCTCGCGCGCGCCATCGAGACCCTCACGGGCGCCCTCTTCCAGCGCCCGCCCCTCATCTCGGCCGTCAAGCGCCAGCTGCGCATCCGCACCATCTACGACTGCAAGCTCGTCGAGTTCGACAACGACCGCCACCTCGGCGTCTTCTGGGTCTCGTGCGAGGCCGGCACCTACATCCGCACCCTGTGCGTCCACCTCGGCCTCCTGCTCGGCGTCGGCGGCCACATGCAGGAGCTGCGCCGCGTCCGCTCGGGCGCCATGAGCGAGAGCGACGAGATCGTCACCATGCACGACGTCCTCGACGCCCAGTGGCTGTACGACAACACGCGCGACGGTGCGCCCCCCTCTCTCCCTCTCTCCTCGCCCTCACGGACAGCGTACTGACGACCTGTCCTCGACACCGCGCAGAGTCGTACCTGCGCCGCGTCATCCGCCCTCTCGAGTCGCTCCTCACGGGCTACAAGCGCATCGTCGTCAAGGACTCGGCCGTCAACGCCATCTGCTACGGCGCCAAGCTCATGATCCCGGGCCTGCTCCGGTACGACGCCGACATTGAGCTCAACGAGGAGGTCGTCCTCATGACGACCAAGGGCGAGGCCATCGCGGTCGGCATTGCCCAAATGTCGACGGTCGAGCTTTCGACGTGCGACCACGGCGTCGTCGCCAAGGTCAAGCGCTGCATCATGGACCGCGACTTGTACCCACGCAAATGGGGGATGGGCCCAGTCGCCCAGAAAAAGAAGAAGATGGTGGCTCGTTCTGAGCTCGACAAGCACGGCCGCGCCAACGACAACACGCCGGCGACGTGGAAGCAGGAGTACGTCGACTACTCGGTCCAGGGCGAGGGCGTTCCCGCCACGCAGCAGATCCCGACCCAGCCGACGCCCGCCGCCGCACCCGCACCCGCACCTGCACCGGCCGCCACCGCCGACGAGCCGCCCAAGGCCGAGGACAAGAAGGACAAGAAGCGCGACCGCGACGGCGAGACCGAGGAGGAGAAGGCGGCGCGCAAGAAGGCCAAGAAGGAGAAGAAGGAGCGCAGGAAGAGCGAGGCCGAGGCCTGAGCGGGGCGGGCGCTTTCCTTCCCCTCTCGTTGTACATCCCCTCCCTGCCTCTCCCTCTCTCTCTCTCTCTCGCTTGCCGCATTGTACTTCTTTCCTTTTCGTCGCGACTCTCTGGATCGGCCCCGTACGCGAGAGAAGGGAGAATACGGCTCTTGCACTTCGACGACGAGTCCCTCCTCGTCATGCCTCGGCCCCTTCCTCCAGCTCGGCGTACCGCCACAGGCCGTACGTCTTGGGCGCCGTCTGCCACAGTCGCACCGTGCCTGTGCGAGAGGGAACAGAGTCAGGCTGCTGCTCGACAGGTCGACGAGGGAAGGAGAGAGAGAAAGAGAGAGGGACGCACCGTCCTCGCTCCCGCTCGCGAAGCACTCGCCGTCCGGGCTGTACGCCACGCAGTGCACCGGCCCATGGTGGCCCTTTGCGACCTCGCGCTCCTGGCCCGTGACGGCGTCGTGCACGCGCACCCACTCGTCGCCCGACGCGCCCGTGACGAACGTGCTGCGCGAGGGGTGCAGCGAGCACGACGACGGGCCGTAGGGGAGCGTGTGCTGCAGGTAGGGGAGACGGCTGTGTCACGAGGAGAGATGCGTGAGTGACGAGGTCGGGCAAGAGAGAGAGACAGAGAGAGATGGGGACGCACGTCTCGAGCGACAGGAAGATGGCGTCCTTGCCCGCCGTGACGCACAGCAGCTCGCCGTCGACGCTCCGCTCGAGGCTCGTGATCGGCTTGTCGTCAAAGCTGAGCTCGTGCGTCGGCGCGAGCGTGCGCAAGTCCCACCATCTGCGAGCCCGAACGTGCTCCTCGTCAGGTCGCGCTCGAGCCGGTCCGTCGAAGGAGAGAGAAACAGAGAGACGCACCGCAGCACCCGGTCCTCGCCCATGCTCACCGCGCCTTGTCGCTCCTCGTCCCACAGCACCTTCTTGACCGTGCCCGCATGCGCTGTTCCGCCTCCCGGCAGCCGCAACTCGTCGACGCCGTCGACGCCGTCCGCGTCCGACCCGTCCCTCGGCGCTCGCGACAGGTCCCACAGCCGCAGGCGCTTCTCGTGGCCGCCGGTGAGGACGCGCGCGTTCGAGGGGAGCGCGGAAGGCGAGGGCGACGAGAGGTTGGGCGAGGAGGGGAACAGGGTCGAGGCGGACGAGGTCGACGACAGGTCGGCGGTGCGAACGATGTGCGAGTGCGGCAGGGTGACGACGCAGCTCCCGCTGTGCGTGTCCCACACTTTGCTGCGCGACGAGGGCGGGAACGAGGGTCAGCTGGGCGACCAAGTGGGGGAGGGACGGGGACGAAGGGAGGACGGCGAGGACGCACGCCGTAAAGTCGGCGCTGCCGGTGGCGGCCAAGCTCCCGTCGTTGCTCAGCCGTGCGCTCCACACTGCGCCCTTGTGCCCGTTGTCGCCCGTGAACGTTCCGAGCCAGTCGCCGCACCTGCGCGGGAGGTGAGTGAGCGGCTGCTGCGAGAGGGCGAGACCGACGAAGAGGGAGGCAGGGACGCACCAGTCACGCAGCATGGGCTTGCCATCCTTGCACGACGAGATGAGGAGGTAGTTGGGGTCGTTCGGCGCGGCCGCGGTCGGTGGGAGGAGAGGCGAGTAGTGAATTGAGGGGATGGGGCGCGTGTGACTGCAGGAGCAGGGTCAGCAGGGGTGCCTCGAGAGTGTAGGAGGAGACAAGAGCGCACCCTGCACACACGAGCGGCGTGCTCTGCGCGCGAGAGGTGCATCGCCTTCAGTCAGCGGCCAACCCTCGCGGTCGACAGGGAGAGGAGGAGAGGGCGGGGCGCACCTTGACCGGCTGACCAGACGTTCCACCAGACATGCTGACGAGTCTCCTGGGGCGAACGAGCGACGAAGAGCGAGTCGACGAGCGAGACGGGGACAAGAGGAGCGGCGCGTGTCTCCGCTCGGACTTGGCTCGTGGCAGCAACCCGCTCGTCTTTTATGCTGGGCCACACGGCGAGCTCGCGAGCTGATCATTGTACTGCAACACCGCGCGCGCACCTCGACTCGAGAGGCGACTCTGCCGAACGAGGTCGGCGCACGGCCCGGCTCCGAGTCGAGAAGCAAGTTCTCTCGCTCTTCCGCTCTCGCGCAGGCTGTGCAAGGATCGGCAGCGTACTGTACAAGTCTATAGTTTCATCGTGCGAGAGCCGCGTCTACTGTCCTTGCGCAGGCGGGGCCTGGCGGCTGTCGGTGCTCGCCGGGCGACTCGGGCTCACGAGCTCCTCGAGGATACGCGAGTCGACCCTGCCGCGGCTGCCGGCCGACTGCGAGAGAAGGAAGGCGATGTCTGGAGGGAGAGGGGCACAGTCAGGTAGGTGCGCGAGGGAGAGCGCCGCAAGGAAGAGGGAGGGACGCACCGAGGGCCTGCTCGAAGTTGAGACGAGCTGTGGGTGCACGGGGACGAGGGTGAGCATCAAGATCACAGGAGAAGAGAGGGAAAGAGAGAGAGAGAGGACGCACGGTCGCAGTAGCTCTCGAACCTGAGCCCGAGCTCCTCCTCCTCGAGCCGCATGCTGCCGCCGAGGCACTCGGTGACGCTCAGGCCGTCCTCGGTGATGTCGCCCGTCAACTCGAGGTGGACGCCGCCGAGGCGCGAGCCCATCGAGGCGTGGATGCGCAGCGACGCGCTGATCTCGGACACAATGTCGTGCATGTGGCGCGTCTTGACGCCCGGGAACGCCGACGACGTGCGCGTGTTGCCGTGCATCGGGTCCGACGCGAAGATGGCTGCGGGTGGCCGACGAAGTGAGCATTCTCGCGAAAGGCTCGAGGGCGGGAAGGGAAAGAGGACGCACGCTTGTGGCCCGACTGCAGGACCGCCGAGATGTGCGCCGGGAGCTTCTTCTCGACCTGCCCGGACCGAGCGGGTCAGTCGTGCCCGACCGACGCACGCAGAAAAGGAAAGAGAGGGACGCACAAGCTCTGCGCCGTACCGGCTGATGAGGGTGACCTTGCCCGGCTCCTTGTTCGGGTCGACGATGCCGAGCAGGCGAACGAGCTCGTCAGGCTCCATCGACGGGCCGACCTTGATCCCGACCGGGTTGCGCAGGCCGCGGAAGAACTCGACGTGCGCGCCGTCGAGCGCCCTCGTGCGGTCGCCGATCCAGACCGTGTGCGCGCTCGTGCAGTACCACCCTTCCTCGTCCTTGGTCTTGGCCGCGAACGCCGGCACGCGCAGCTTGCGCGTCAGGGCCGACTCGTACTCGAGCATGAGGGCCTCGTGGCTCATGAAGATGTCGGCCGACTCGAGCGCGGCCGCCGCCGAGTTGGTCGTCGCCGAGCGGTCGACGCCGATGACGCTCATGAACTCGAGGGCGCCGCTCAGGTTGGCGACGATCTCCTCGTAGCTCTTGAGGAGCTCGGGCGAGCGCACGTGCGCGAGCGGGAGCGACCACGGGACGGACTGGTGCGCCGAGGTCGGGAGCGACGCAAAGCCCGACGCGAGGAGCGACCGGACGTGGTTGACGGTCGCCGCCGAGTGGAAGTAGGCCGACAGGAGGCGCTCCGGGTCGGGCAGGCGGTCGTCGGGGTCGATGCCGTTGACGTTGTGGCCGCTGCGGGCAGAGAACGAGCTGGGTCAGGCGGGCGCAGGCAGACTCGAGAGGACTCGGGGAGGATAGTCGACGCACCGGAACGAGTTGATCGTCTTGCCGTCGACGACCTCGGTCTGGCTCGAGCGAGGCTTGGCGTACTGGCCACCCATGCGGGCGACGCGGACGACCGGCAGCTTCATGCCCCCTGCGCGAGTGGTCGACACGGGTCAGCTCTTGAGGGAGGGGAGAGGGAGAGGGAGAGCGGAACGGGTGCGCACAAATGAGGATGAGGCTCATCGAGAGCAAGAGCGACAGGCGGTGCTCGATCTTCTCGCTCGTGCAGTAGTCGAACAGCTCTGTGGGAGGCGAGATGGCGGAGGTTAGCGCACTTGGCCGAGGGTGGGTGAGGAGGGGGAGGAGGAACGGTGACGGACCGGCGCAGTCGCCGCCTTGGAGCAGGAACGCCTTGCCGTTGGCGACATTGGCGAGGTTGAGCTTCAAGCGCTCGATCTGGTGCAGTTGCGGGAGGACGAGGACGAGAGGGAGATGAAGGTCAGCTCGCCGTTCGCTCGCTCCTCCTGCCACGGGGAGAGGGAGAGGGTGCGCACCTCGACTGCAGACACGAGAGGAGGGAGCGTCTGAAGCTTGCCCGCCACCGCCTCGAGGCCCTGCTTGCGCTTGAAGAGGACCGGGTCGGGATCCCGTTCCGCCGAGGAGGAGGACGAGGAGGAGGGCGTAGGGCTCGGGTACTCGACCGTCTGGCCGACGGGCTTGGCGCGCCACGAGTCGGGGGACCAGGGAGTGCTCATTCTTCTAGACGGGCGAGGGAGCGTACTTGTAAGCAACGGAGGAAGAAAGAAACCGCGGCCACGCGGGGCCTCTGCTCTCGATCCAGCCCAAGTCGAAATGTCGCGAGCGGCTGGGTGCGAGACGGCGCAGGTTGCAAGGGTGCGAGAGAGTTACACAAAGATGGCCCAGTCCCTCCGTCAGGTCGTGCCCACCGCAGCGCGCACCTCGCGCATCGTCGCCTGGGCCGCCTCTCGCGCCCGCTCCGCTCCCCGACGCTCCTCGGCCGCCAGGTAGCCCTCCTCGGTCCGAATGCGCGCAAACTCATCGCGGAAGCCCTTGAGCGACTCGCTGACGATCTCGGCGAGGTCGGTCTTGAGGCGCATGATGCCCATGGCGTCGCTGTACCGTGCCGCAATCTCCTCGACGCCGCCGGCGCGGTCCGAGTAGCCCGCGTAGATCTGGAGGAGCGTTGCGATCCCGGGGCGATTGGCCGGGTCCCACGTCACGCCGGCGGTCGAGTCGGTGACGGCCGACTTGATCTTGGCGTGGATCTCGGACGCCGAGTCGGTGAGGAAGATCTTGGACGACGGGTGCGGCGCCGACTTGCTCATCTTCTGCCCAGGGTCGCGCAGCGACTGGATACGAGGGTGTGTGGCTGTCGAGGTGGCAGGGTTGCGCATGGGCAGGTGAGCTCACGGCTGATCGCGAGGAGGAGGAGGGTGGGGAAGGAAGAGAGGCAGGTCGACGCACTGAGCATGACCTCGGGCACCCTGAACACGCCTTTGCCCTTGCCCTTGCCGTCTTTTCGTCGGCCCGGGTACGCGCGGTTGAAGATCTGGGCGAGGTCGCGCGCGAGCTCGAGATGCTGCGACTGGTCGTGGCCGACAGGGACGTGCGAGGTCCTGTGACACGAGAAGGGCGGCGTCAGAGAGGCTCGTCGATGACGACGATTCGAGGGCGAGGGAAAGGAGGGCGCACTTGTACAGGAGGACGTCGGCAGCCTGGAGGACCGGGTAGGCGAGGAGGCCGAGCTGCAGCATCGAGTCGTCGATCTCGTCCTCCGAGTTGGCGTTGCGGATCGTCGCCAGCTTGGACTGCGCTCCCCATCCGAGGTCCGCAAATCAGCTGCACGCCCTCGAAAGGGCCAATGGCTGAAAGAGAGCGTGGCCGGGGCGCACCTTCCAGGTCGTCATGCGCATGAGGCGGTTGACGGGCGTCACCGTGTTGAGGTACCATGCGAGCTCGGCGTGCTCCGGCACCTGGTCCTGGTGGAAGACGACGGCGCCTGCTGCCGGGTCGGCGAGGCCGAGAGCGAGCAGGACGGCGAACATGTCGCGGCGCTCGATGGCGAGGCGGATCGGGTCCTGCGTCGGCGGGCTCCTTTGGTCAGCGTTTCGCTCGGCCCATGCACTGAGAGGGAGAGAGGACGGGGCGCACCTGCGGGACGGTGAGGGCGTGCAAGCCGACGACAGAGAAGAAGAGCGAGTCGCGCGAGTCGGCGGGCTGTGCGGCGGCCTCCTTGACGATGCGCTGCCACTGGGCGAGGGCGCCGAGGTGGTTACCGACCTGTTGGGTGCAAGATGTGCGAGTCAGGTCGGGCAGGCCGAGTGCGAGCCTCATGAGGGAGCCGAGGTCGGGCGAGGAGGGGGTGGGATGCACATGAGGGACGCCCGTGGGCTGGATGCCAGAGAAGACGACGCGGCGTTTCCTCGCTGGAGCAGTCGAGAGTGCCCTGGCGAGCCTCGGCGCAGCAGGGGCGGCCATCGAGAACGAGAGGACGACGAGCAACTGATGAAGAATCGCGGCTCGTCGCTCTCCTGCAGCTCTCCTCCTCACCAGCCGAGCCAGAACTCCGCCGCACCGTCACTGCCATGGCCTTCTGGAAGCCGGGCACCGTCGCACCGGGCTCGTCCATCGACCGCGACTCGGATTCGACCGCTCTCGAGGGCGGCGCAGGCACTGGAGCTGGCGCCGTCACGGGCAGGGTCCAGCAGGTCGCTGTATCAGAGCGCAGGAACCGTCTAACCATCGCCAAGCAGCGTGCGTCCTCGCTCTCTTTCGCCCCCGCCCTCCCTCGTCTCGCCATCTCACTGACCTCCCCACTCTCGGCTGTAGGCGACGCCCTCCTCTACCTCCTCGAGCAGCACCCAGTCGTCGTCCTCCAGTCCCCGACGGGCACGGGCAAGAGCACCCAGCTCCCGCAGTTCCTCCTCGAGGCAGGGTGGGCAAAGGAGGGCAAGAGCATCGCCGTCACTCAGCCTCGACGGTGCGCCTCCCTCTCTCCTTTCTTTCCTGTTGCGCCTCGAGTTGACTGGAGGACACGTGCACGCAGAGTCGCCGCCATATCGGTCGCGCAGCGTGTGGCCGAGGAGGTCGGCTGCATCCTCGGCGACGAGGTGCGCACTCTCTTTCGCCTTTTCTCACCTGCCGCCGCCGATCATGTGAGCTGACCCTCTCACTCTCAACAGGTCGGCTACAGCGTGCGCTTCGAGGCGCTCGCCACCCCCGACACCAAGGTCGTCTACCTCACCGACGGCATGCTCTTCCGCGAGATCCTCCTCGACCCGCTCCTGTCGCGGTACTCGGTCGTCATGGTCGACGAGGCGCACGAGCGCAGCAGCTACACCGACCTCCTGCTCGGCGTCCTCAAGAAGATCCGCCGCGTCCGCCCCGAGCTCCGCATCGTCATCTCGTCGGCCACGATCGAGGCCCAGTCGTTCGTCGACTTCTTCAACACGCAGCCGCCGTCTTCCGCCGTCGCGTCGTCTGGCGTCAAACCCGGCGACGATATCCTGCAGCCGCCGCCGGCCAAGCGCTCGAGGTGGGACAAGAAGGAGCGCGAGCTGCCGACGCTCGACGACGCCGTCATGGTGCGGCTCGAGGGCAAGGCGTTCCCGGTCGAGATTGCCTACCTCGACGAGCCGACCAACGACGTCGTCATGAAGGCGGTCGAGACCGTGTTCGACATCCACCTCAAGGTGCGTCCCCTCTCGCCAGTCCATTTGTCGGCAGACCCAGCCTGACTCGCTTTCCTGCCGCCGCAGCAACCGCCAGGCGACGTCCTCGTGTTCCTCACCGGTCGGGACGACATCGAAAAGTGCCTGCAGCTCATCGCCGACTATCAGCATCGGTGCGTCGCCGGCGCCGTCCCTCCCTTCCCTCCTCCCCTCTCGAGCCCACGCTCACTCGCCGACGATCCCGCAGATTACCTCAAGGAGCGCCTCTCATCAAGGCCTACCCTCTTCATTCCGGGCTCACGACCGAGAGCCAGATCGCCGTCTTTGAGCCGCCGCCGCCGCGCACGAGAAAGGTCATCGTGAGCACCAACATCGCCGAGGCGTCGGTCACGATCGACGGCATCAAGTACGTCGTCGACTCGGGCCTCGTCAAGGTGCGTCCCTCTCTCTCTCCTGGTCGTGTTCGGCGCACCCGGCGAGATCCTGATGCCGGCCGCGTCCTGCAGTTGCGCTCGTTCGACCCGTCGACCGGCATGGACGCCCTCGTCACGACGCCCTGTTCCCTCGCCTCGCTCGCTCAGCGGTCCGGTCGTGCAGGCCGCACGTCGCCGGGCAAGTGCTTCCGCCTGTTCCCGTCGTCGACCCTGGCCACCCTCCTCCCGACGACGCCGCCCGAGATCACGCGCAGCGACATCTCGCTCCTCGTCCTCCAGCTCAAGAGCCTCGGCATCCAGAACATCCTCCGGTTCGACTGGATGACGAGCCCGAGCAGCGTCATGCTCGAGCGCGCGCTCGAGTTCCTGTACTGCCTCGGCGCGCTCGACGACGAGGGCAAGTTGACGAGGCCGCTCGGAATGCGCATGGCCGAGATGCCCATCGACCCGATGATGTCCAAGATTGTGCGTCCTCTGTCTCTCCTTGCCTCTCTCGAGCTTTTGCGGGTGCCCTGACCGTGTTCGCCCGCCCGCCGCAGCTCCTCGACTCGGGCCGCTTCGGCTGCTCGGACGAGATCCTCACGATTGCGTCCATGACCTCGGTCCAGGTGCGCCCGTCTCTCTCGTCTTGCCCCTCGACAGTGACTGACCCCCTCGCTCGGCCGCCCGCAGAACGTCTTCATCATGGACGGCGACTCGGTCCGCGCCGAGCTCGAGCGGCGCAAGTTCACGGTCGAGGAGGGCGATCACCTGACGGCGCTCAACGCGTACAACGCGTTCGTCAAGTGTGCGTCGTCGAGCTCTCGAACGAGGTCGAGCGGGAGAGAGACAACGAGCTGACCGAGCATGCCCTCGCAGACGGTCGAAAATCGAGCAAGTGGTGCCACACGGTGCGTCCCTGCTCGCCCTCTTTCCTTCTCGACGTGACCTGACACCCTCTTCCGTCCTCTCGCGCAGCACCGCCTCAACTTCCGCGCCCTCTCGCGCGCCCTGTCGATCCGGACCCAGCTCGCCAAGTACCTCAAGCGGTTCGAGATCCCGATTGTGTCGTGCGGCGAGGACCACACGAGCATCCGGCGGTGCCTCACGAGCGGCTACTTCCGCAACGCGGCGGTTCTGCAGCCGGACGGGACGTACCGCTCGGTCCGAGAAGGAGCTGTGCGTCGACCCTTTCCCTCCTTCTCCCTCCCTCTCTCTCGCGGGCTCGACGGCGCCAAGCGACTCACTGACAGCCTCTCGACGCGCCCAGATCCTCCACGCGCACCCGTCGTCGATCCTGTTCACCCGCACGCCGCCGTCGCGCTTCGTCATCTACCACGAGGTCATCGAGACGACCAAGCGCTTCATGCGCGAGATCACGGCCATCGACAAGGACGGCGACTGGCTCGTCGAGCTCGCCGGGCACTACTACTCGTTCAAGCAGGGGCGGTGAGCGATGCGGGCGACCCTGTCGACGTTGTCGGGAGAAGGCGGACGAGGTGGACGAGGGAGAGCAGGAGCGGGTGGACGCCGGCGCCGGCAGGTGGATGGTCGGCTTCGAGGCGAGCAGGGACGGGTCAGAGGCGTGTTGTCACGAGTACCGGTGCTCAGGCGGTGCGGCGAGAGGTGACGGGCGACTCGCGAGCTGCGCGCTCGGGCCTCCTCTTCTCCTAGTCCCCGGTCTCCTTGCGCCGCTCTCGCTCTCGCTTCTCTCTGCCACCGCGCGAGCTTCTCTCTCTTCATTCGCTTGCTGCACCGCCTCGTTCCGCTCGTCTCCCGCACGCGCTCCGTCGGACTCTCCGGTCCTCGCCCGTTGCCGTTCGTCCGCTCGGTCTCCATTCTCCCTCCTGCTCTCGACGCTCTCGCCTGTCGACTCGCCGACCATGGCGCTCGCCTACCTGGCTTCCTGGCTGCCCAGCGTCGGCGGTGGCGGCGCATCGAGCTCGCCGCGGCCAGCAACCGGGTCGCCCTCGAAGCAGCTCAGCGAGGAGCAGGTGCGTCCTCTCCTCTCCCTCGTCAGCATCTCCCGTGCCCTCCTTGACCTCGCGTGTCCCGCAGCTCCACGCCCTGCACGCCCAATGGCTGCGCATGCAGTCCTCGCACCAAGCCGAGGCGCTCGACCTCATGGGCCGTCTCGTCGCCGAGAACAACGAGCTCAAGGAGCGCCTCGACAAGGCGCAGCGTGACCTCAAGGACGTCAGTGCGGGGCGCAAGGCGGATGAGGCGGAGCTGAGGCGGGCAGAGAAGGAGATCCAGCGGCTGACGGGAGGGAACGTGCGTCAACTGTTTCGCCACCTTCTCCTCGGGCGTCCTGACCTTGTACACGCTCGCAGACGGGTACGGCCCTCGAGAACGACTCGTTCGACCCGACTCTACTGACGAGCCATACCCAGGTCTCGCCGTCGCGATCCTCGACCTCGAAACAGACCTCGTGCGCCCCTTCTTTCCCTCCTGTCCTGTCCCCGCACGCCCATCTGAGGACTCTCTGCTCCCGCAGTTCGCGCCCGAGATCTTTCATCAACACCACGCCGCGCAAGCCGCCGTCGAGGCCATCCGGAACAAGCTGCTCGAGAGCGTGTCGTCGCTGCCGCCGGCGCAGAGCGACAGGTCGTGGCGCAGCGTCGTCCTCATCTTCTGGTACGTTCTCTCTTCTTCGACTGTCTCGACAAGGCCCTGACACCGATGCGTGCGCAGGCGCCGGAACCCGCACTTTGTTCAGCAGCTCGTCGCGCACGGCTTCTTCAACTCGCCTCGCGAATTCGACGACTTTGTGCGTCGAGCTTCCTCTATCTGCATGAGCCATGTCACTGACAGTCCCTCTATGTGTCCCTGCAGATCATAGCCTTCAATCGCGCCGACCCGCTGTTCATGATCGTCGTCGAGCAGGGCAACTCGAGCGAGCAGGCCCTCCAGCGCGAGCGCGCGTTCGCCATGCTCTTCGCCCAGCACCCTCTCTGCTACCGGCTCGTCCTCGGTCGATGGGCGTATGACCTGCACCTCGCCGAGCTCCTCGCGCCGACCAACGTCAAGGACCGCACGGTCGCCGCCGCCTTTCCGACCAAGATCGTCTTCCTCGAGCCGCACATTGGCGCCTTCCTCCCGGCCCAGCTCCTCCGCCGAGAGCCGCAAATGCTCGCGCCCGACGGTCTCCTGCGGCGTCACGTCCTGACGGACGCACGTGCTCTCAAGCCTCGCGAGGTCGACTACGCTCGAGTGCGTCCCTTCTCTCTTTCACTTCTCCTCCTCCTCTCTCTTGCGCGCTCTCTGCAGCACCAGGTACTGACAATCGAGTGTGTTACAGCCCTTGTGGCAGCAAGACCCGCCCATCTGCCTCGACCACTACCTCGCCCCTGCGCGCTGCCACGACGAGCGCTGCGCCTTCTCGCACCAGTACCGCATCCCGCCCGACGTCCTCGAGGCGCTCCGGTTCGAGGTCTCGCGCACGCCATGCCCGCTCGTCCTCGCCGGCTACGAGTGCGTCGAGGCGTCGAGGTGCCACTTTGCGCACGTGTGCCCGCGAGGCTCGAGATGCGGCGACCGAGCGTGCCCGTTCACGGCGCCGAGCATGCACCCGCCGCCGCCAATCCGGGCGCATACGGCACCAGCACCTCGACTCACGCCGCCAAGAGCCGTCGCGTCTCCCAAGCCTTCAGCGGCCGGCCTCGCTCGTGAAGCGGTGGGCGCGCCATCGTCCACCCGCTCGGCCCTCGCACGCCTCCTCGCCGCCGGTGCAGCATCGCCCGTCCTCGCTACGCCCGAGCTACATCCACCGCCGAGCCGCCCGTACGCCTCGCCGTCCCGGCGCTCTCCTGCGCCCAAGCACCACCTCCTGCCCGCCTCCCCCTCCCGGCGCTCTCCTGCGCCCAAGCACCACCTCCTGCCCGCCTCCCCCTTCGGCCACCCGCTCTCGCTCGCCGACGACACGCAGGCCGCGGCGCCCCCACCCTCCGTCACCGACGCCGTCGACCTGACCGACGAGGAGCTCGCGCGACTGCTCGACCGAGCGAGGCAGGAGGAGGAGGAATACGAGCGGGGCCTGCAGGAGGACCCGTTCTCGGCGCCGACGGAGCTGGGCGCAGCGTCGCCAAGGTTGCCAGAGGGCGGCAGCCGGAAGGGCGCAGCTCTGGCGGGCGCGGCGAGGGGCAACGGGCGAGCTCTGTGGGACGCGGCGTGGTCGGCGAGGGGGAGCCAGGCGGCGGTCTGAGGTCGTACAGCCGGCGTGCGGGTGCATGGTCGAGGATGTACAGCATGGTCAGGTAGACCTGCGCAAGAGCAAGCGCCGAGAGCGGGCGTGCGGTTGGCGAGTTGCGATGAGAGCGAGGAGAGCAGGTTCTCCCACCGACGAGGGCGAGTCCTCTCGAGGGCGAGGGCAGCGCGGGTGTGTCGTGGACCTGCTCTCTGTGCAAGCCCACACAGCCTGGCTCAGCCTGTGCACGAGCGAGGCGAGGAGCGTGCTCTTGGTCTCTCGGTTCGCTTTCATCTCTCGCTTGCTCTCTCTCCCTCGCTCTGCCTCTGGCCTGCTCAGCATGCAGTCCGGCATGGTCGGTGCCGCTCCTTCTATCGCCCAGCAGGTCCAGGACCAGACCGAGCGCGATTGCGAGACGGTGCGTCCCTCCTCGCTCTCGTCCTCCCCCCTCGGTGACGAGCCACTGACCCGCACGTCGCTCGCGCAGTGGCAAGAGTGCGTCCCTCGTACTTTCCGAGTCCCTAGGCGTACCCTGATTCGCTCCCCATCCCCGCCCCGCCCCCAGCTTGATCACGGCGCAGGACGACTTTGTCGCGACCCTCCTCCAGCACCGCGCCGAGCTCCAGCACCGCCTCGCCGAGGCCCAACAGCAGTCGTCGGCTCTCAAGGAGCAGAGTGCGAGTGCGAGGGCGGAGCAGGAGAGGCTTGTCGGCATCGGCCAGCTCGAGGCGCAGGTCGCCCAGGCTCGCGAGGTGCGTTCCCGCTCGACTAGGCCCCTCACCCTCGATCCTGGGCTCACACTCGACTCTCACACAGACCTACCAGGAGCACCTCAAGGCGCAGGAAGAAGCCGAGAAGACGCTCGCCAACCTCGACGCCCAGCTCGCCCAGCTCAACCTCCGGTCGACCCAGCCCGTCGAGCCGCTCAAGGCGGGCGTGCGCGCCAAGGCCGACAGGAGCCCGCCGCTCGTTCTCGTCCTCATCAACGGGTGCGCCCTGTGTCCCCCTTCTCTCGCGTGACCTGCGCCCTCGCTCACGTCGGGCCCGTCTTCGTCCTGCAGCACGGTCGCGCCCTTCTCGGATGCGCTCATCCAGAAGGGGACGGCGGGCGGCAGGGAGGCGTCCTCTGTTCTGCGGTGCGTCACCTCGTCCATGCCCTAAGCGCGACGACGAGTCGAGCCCTGACGTCGCCCCTGCGCCCGCAGCGGCCAGATCGAGCTCGACACCAGCAGCCTCTCGACCGAGGGCGATGTCAAGCTCCTGTGCTTCCTGTACTACGACCGCCTGCAGGTCATCCCGTCGCTCGAGCGCAGCCGTGTCATCAGGTGCGCCCCCTCTCCTCCTCGTCTTCCCCGTCGCGCATCCTCACTCACCGAGCTCTCTCCCCCCTCGCAGCAACCCGTCTACTTGGCGCAACTTTGTCGACGGCTTCTCGCGTGTCACGGGCAACTTCATCATCGACGTCGCCAGTGCGTCCCACCTCTCTCGCCTCGTCTTTGCGTCGAGCGAGCGAGACCTGACCGCGCTCGAGCCCCTTTCTCCCAGACAGCGCGCCCGCCGAGGAGCACATGGCGGCCGTCCTGAGCAAGGTCGGCTTCATGACGAACGTGCAGCAGGTCTACCTCGCCGGCGTCCACCCGGAGCACGGCGTCAGCGACGTCGTCGAGCAGCAGCCCGACGCGACCGCTCAGCTCGGCGAGGCGTTCCTCGACCAGGTCATGCCCAAGATCAACCTGTGCGTCTCCTCTCTCTCTCTCGTTGTCGATGTTCGCGTCCTGATCCACCCTGCCGTCGGACAGGGTCCGTCATCTTCCCCTGCCGGCCATGGACGAGCTCGCAGACTCGACCATCGAGCTCGCCGGCGTCTTCGAGTCGTCGATCGCCCTGCCTACCGACGCTACGTCCCGCATTCCCGCATCTCTTCCTACTTCTCGCTCGTGAGCTCCTTCTTCCGGGTCTGGCGTCCTCACACGGCGGCCGCATTGACCCTCCCCCGCACTCCTCGCAGCGCGTACCCGGCCGCATCGTCCAGCAGCAGGCCTGCGCCAGCGACGACGTACGGCGGATCAACACCGAGCGTCGTTGCGCCTTCGACGAGCCAGAAGCGGCCGGTCATCAACCCCAACAAAAGCCTGATGAACCAGAGTGCGCCCGCCTCTCTTCATTCTGCGGCCCTCTGACTGACTCTATCTCGCCTGCAGATCCTCCTCTGTGCGTGTCCCTCACCTCGAGCGAGAGTTCTGTCCTGACTGGCCTCGGTCCGTCCCATGCAGGTGCTTCTGGACCTACCTCGCGCCGCAAGGGTGCAGCGCTCGCCACTGCGACCGCTCTCACGACTGTGCGTCGCACTCTTTCCCCCTCTCGACCCTCATTGCCCTCGTACTGACCTCTCTACACACTTCTAGATCGCCTGACGCCTGCTGAACAGCGCCGGCTGCGCGACACCGTCAAGAAGCTGTACCCGTGCAGCGTGCGTCCCGCTCTTTCTCTCTCTCTGCCTCTCTCGCCATCCTCTTTTGTTTCGTGTACTCACCTCGCCCTTGTCGTGCAGGAGCTGCGCAAGACGGGAAAGTGTACCTACGCCGCAAAGCACGGCGGATCGTGCGTCGACCCTCGTCAACTCTCCCTCGAGCGCCGTCCTGACCCTCGTGCTCTTCTCCGACGACAGGTGCATGTTCGCCCAGTGCGTCGTCTCTCGCCTCGTCCTCGCATCAGCAGCATGATCGATTGACCCTTCTCCTTCTCCAGCGACGTCAAGGCCATGCCGCGCTTCGACTGAGAGAGGTCCGAGCGGCCTGCCGGAGGAGGAGGAGGAGGAGGAGGAGGGGTTTCTGCGTCAGCGCTTGGTCCTCGGTCTTGCCTAGCTTACCTAGCAGAGGGTCTGTCAATGTGCATAAATCCGTGCCCTTGTCCGTCGAGAGCAGCCGGCCCGTCTTCGCGCTCGATGTCTCGCTCTCGTGCTCTCGGCGCTCTGTCCTCGCCTCGCTTCCCCTCTGCCCGGTCGGTTTGCGTCTCGCGATCCAGTGGATATGCCTGAGCTCGTCGAGCCGCTCGATGACGTGCAGACCAAGGCAGACGAGGTGCGTCGAGCGGTTCTCTTCTCACTCTCCCCCGCTTTCGCCTTTTCCCGCTCTGCTCGCCAGCAGCGACCACGGCCTCGCCTACGAGTACGGCTTCGAGGACGTGTACGAGCCGCAGAAGTTCCAGGCCCAAGGAGGATGGACGGCGGTGAGCACGAGGACGGGCAAGGCGGGACCGAGGAGGTGAGCGAGCCGGCGGTCTGTGCGGTGCTGTGCAACTCTGTCCCTTTTCCCTCTCTCGCTCTCAGCCTGTCCCGTCGAGTCGTCGTGAACGTCGAGAGCGAGCAGTGACCGAGAGAAAATCGAGTGAGCCGGCGGAGGGAGGCGCGAGAGGTTCGAGAGCCTGCAGCAAGGACGCACCGTCACTCTCTCAATGCGCTCGGCGACGAAGCGAGACCGACTCAAGCGCACGTTGCACAAGGGGACTGCGAAGCGAGGGTGGTACAAAAACACTGCCGAGAGAAGCGACTCGTCCCTCCTCCTCGTCGTCCTCCTTCTCAAACCGACCGCCTCCTCGCGCCGACTAGGCCCGCTCCTACTCCTTGACGCCGCTCCCGTCGCCGACGTCCATCGAGGCGCCCATGTCGCGACGAGCGGCCTCGGCGACGCTGCGCGCCTTGGCCGCCAAGGCGACGCTCGATGAGCTGAACTCGGCGAGCTTGGCGAAGAAGACCTGCGCGCGCACGAGAGAGAGGGAGAGTCAGGCTCGCCGTCGGTATCGTCGAGGAGGGAAGGAAGAGAAGCAGACGGACCGTGTAGTAGTCCCTCGACTCGCCGGCCTGCGCCTCGAGGAATGCCGAGTACCGCGCCTGGCTCGCCGAGTCGTCGGGGAACGCCGGCTCGCGCGCGTTCTGCGCGAGCGCCAGCCTCGCGTCCTCCTTGAAGACGCAGCCAAAGTCGACCTGGACGTCCATGCGGCGCTCCAAGGTCGGGCCGCCGACCTCGTCTCGCTCGACCGGGCGCCACAGCTGCTGAACGGCGGCGACTTGCTCGTCTGACAGGCCGATCGAGCGCAGCCTGTCGACGTCGGGGTCGCGGTCGACGCTCGAGGGTGGCGCAGGTGTGGCCTGCGGGGCGCCTGGAGGTGCGGCGCGCGAGCCGACGAGGGTCGAGCTCGGGGAAGCGGAACCGGCCGCCGAGTGCTCCGGCGCCGGCGCCGACGCAGCGACAAGCCCTGAGCGCGATGGACTGTGGCTCTGGATGGCCGGCGCGGCGACGTCGGCGGCAGCGAGGGGAGCTGAGCGCGCCTGCGGGTCGTTCTGCTTCTCGGCGCCGGCCTTGGCGAGCTGGTCGTACCGGTTGATCTTGAGCGGTTCACGGTTGACGGCGGCGCCATCGAGTTCGTGGCTGTGCTGCGAGGCGGGACCTTGAACGCGCCTCGACCGGGCTGTCGGCGTGGGGCTCATGAGTTCTCGGTCGTCTGGGGCGCGCGCCAGGACAAGGTGGGAGAGACGGGGGACGTACACTCGTGCGTGTCGAGCTCGCGCCACGCCACGCGCACAGCTTGGCCGCAGAAGCACTCGCCGTCGAGCTGGCGGATCACCCTGCGGCAGAGCGCCTCGTCGCGCATCGAGACGAAGGCGATGACGTTCATGCCGACCTGCTTGACCTCGACCGGGCCGATCTCGTCGGCGCGCAGGCTGCGCCCGAGGAAGTCGACGACGTCGGCTGGCCTGGCGTTGCGCGACAGGTGGAGCAGGAACAGGCCGAGCTTGCGCTGGTCGGGCGAGCGCTGGGCTTGGCGCTCGCTGCCGACGTACTGGCGCTTGTACTCCGAGTTGGACACCTCCGGAACGCTCGAGCCCGTCGACGCGTCGGTGAACGGCTTGGCGAAGATGCGGCGGCCGTCGAGCGTGAGATTGCGCAGCGAGGCGCACGCCGGGCTAATGTCTTGCGCGCGCCCGACAGCGACGTAGGCGAACCTGGTCGGCTGGTGGTGGCTCTGCGACAGAAAGACGTCGTCGACGCGGATGCCGACGCCCGACAGGTGGTCGTAGATGAACCGCTCGGCGACCGTCTGGGGCAAGCCGCCGACGAAGAGCCAGTTCTCGAGCTCGCGCGGTTCCGGCGTAAAGCCGCGAGGGACGGGCTCGTGCGGCGAGCGCGAGCGCGAACGGCTGCGACGCCTCGACGTGCGGTCGGCGTTCTCGAAGCTGCGAGCCGGCGCGCGCTCGCGTTCGCGCGTTGGCGAGCGCGTCGGCGAGTATCCGCGCAGCGACTTGGACCCGCGCCTCCGCCCGTCGCCGACGTCGTGTCGAGGCGGAGAAGAGTTGCGAGGGTAGGCGGCGACACGACGAGGGGAAGACGGGCGCTCGCGACGAGGCGAGCGCGAGCGCTGCTCGCAGTCGTCTCGCGCGTACGAGTCGCGGCGACGGTAGGGGCTGCGAGAGCGGCGACGAGGCTCGTGACGGTCGCTGCCGCCTCGCGAGGGCCACTGAGCGTGCTCGCTGCGGCGCGAGTCGTCCCTCGGCGACGGGGCGTGGTCGCTCGGACCGTCTCGGCGGTACGGGGTCGCCGCGTCTTGAGGCACGAGCTCGTACAGCGTACTCGAGGGCGAGTCGACAGGACGATGCGGGTCGTCGTGAGGAGGCGTGGGCGGTGTCGGCGCGGCGTGCGAGACAGGAGCGAGGACGGCTGGAGCGCTCGACGAGTCGGCCGACGGCGGGTCGGGCGGGCCGTCAGGGCCGTAGCCGTGCTCCTGCAGGTACTCCTCGGCGGCATAGAGGTCCATCGTGAAGCTCAGGTCGTACGAGATCGTCGCTGCGAGGGGGAAAGACAGCGTCAGGCGAGGTTGCTCGTGCGCGCCGACGACACGGAAAGGACGGGAAGAGGGAGGAGGCAACGCACCTCGCTCTCGTCCACCGTCGTCCCAGCTGCTCAGGATCGACTCGATGGCGGGCAGGGCGCGGGACGGCATGTTCTGCGCGAGGTGGTCGGTCCTCGCACCTCGATGGAGGAGGCACTCGGCGATGAGGCGGCGGACGGGCGTGCGACGGGTCGGGTACAGGAGGGCGGCCTCGACAGGGCTTGTGCGGTACAGGGTCGCTGTCGCAGGGACAAGGAGAGGGTCAGTCTCGACAGCCCTGGCTCGTTCAACCCGGACGAAGGGGGGAGGAGGTCGACGAGGTCGTCGCTCTCTCCCGTGAGAGGGGGGAGGGGACGCACCTGTGCTGTTGACCTCGGCCTCGCCGCAGTAGAGCAGGACGAGCAGGACGCCGAGCAAGTCGTCGCGCTGGACCAAGGCGACGAGCTCGTTGGTGCGCTCGCCGGGCGTCATGGCGCTCGGGTCGGCGAGGACCGGCGCAGCGGCCATGATGGACGTTGCTGGACTCGACTGGGAGCCTTCAGAAGCAAGCACGAGCAGAGTGTCGAGAGGGAGGTGCGAGAGTCGGTCGCGTCCTCATCTCTCTCGGCCTTTGGTCCGTCTCGCTCGTCTCGACACGCTCAGAGCCGTTCAACGATGCCCCAGACGCCGTCCAGCATGCGCTCTCGTCCAAGTTCGGCATCCCTCGAAGCGCCCAACGCCGCCGCCGCCTCGCCGTCCTCGTCGCGGCACTCTACCCTCGAGTCGCGCCGCGCTCTCGGCGCCAGGGCGAGCGGGATGGCGCGCGACCCGGGTACGCCGGTCGGGAGACTGCTCGCGGCAGAAGGGCTCGCAGTGCGCAGCCCCAGGAGGGTCAGGCACAGGAGCTTGGCCGACAAGTGCGTCTCGCTCCCCTCCCCCTCTCGTCCTGTCACGCCTCGCACGCTCACGCACAACCTCCCGCAGAGTCATAGACTGGCCGTCCAACGCCCTCATGTCGCTCGAGACGTCGGTCCAGCTCCTGTCGTTCGAGTCGGCCGGGTACCCGGCCGCCCTCGCCTTCCACCTCGTCCACCTCGTCGTTCGCGTCTCCGCCTTTGTCCCCTCCCTCACGTCCATCACCTCGATGCTCTTCTCGTCCGCCTCGAGTGCGAGTCGGTACGTTCGCCGACCCGCCGACGCGTTGGGCGACGCGGACGCACGCCTCGAAGCGCTGCAGCGCGCGTCGCAGGGGCGCGGCGGAGGGGAGTGGGGCTGGTGGGCGTGGACGTTCAGCGCGCTCCTCATCCTCGTCAGTGTCGGGAACTCGGCATACTTGGCGAGTCGCAGGAGGAAGTACCAGATGGTGCTCAGGAGGGTGAGCCGCATGGCCCGTTCTGCTTCACCGCATCGTCGCCTGACTCTGCTCGTCCCACAGGATCCTCTCGCCTCGCCGAATGCGAGATCCACCATGCTCGACTTCTCGCCCTCCAAGCGTCACGTCAGCTTCACCGAGTCGGTCCGGCGCCGCGTCAAGGCTGCGCTCGGCAAGGTCGAGGTCGAAGAGTCGCACGCGTATCCGGTGCAAGAGCTCCAGGTGTGGACGCCTGAGCGTGTCCTCTGGTCCTTGCGCTTCTTCACGTACGTCCCCGTCTCTCTCCTCTCACTGGACGGGCACGAGCTCGACGAGCCTGACGAGCTTTCCTCTACAGCCTGTACCCGCCACCTGTCGCCCTCATGTACCACTTCCTCGCGCTCGACAACTGCGTTCCCTTCGCCATCGTCGGCGGCACGATCGTCCTGACAGTGCGTCCCAAGCCGTTCCTCCTCGGCGTGCCCCGGCCAGTCACTGACCTCGCCGCCCCCTCGCTGCAGATCTACGTGCTCGTCCACCTGTACTCGACCCTTGTCTCGGACCGTGCGGCGTTGCAGGCCGAGGTCATGCACGAGTACAACGCCAAGTTTGTCAACCCTCGCGTGTTTGTCGCCAAGCGCGACGCGTGCGTGTCGACGAGCCAGGCCGAGATGGTCGGCGCCAACGACTGGCTGCGGGCAGGGCGGCGGCACGTGTTGGACGAGTCGCTCGGGCAGGACGACGAGCAGCACGTGGTGGTGCGCGGGAGCGGGCGCAGGGCGAGCAGGAGGGACAGCTCGGTACCGTCGATGCAGCAGCGCGAGGTCGAGGGGCCATCCGACTCGCCGGTGCCTCGGCGCAGCAGGCCTCGCCCGTCGATGCTCGGCTGAGCCTGAGCGTGTCACTTGAGTAGCCGTGTCGTGCAATGCCTCGCCGTGCCTTTGCTTACTCTGCTGTCGAGCGGCGTGTCTCTCAGTTTTCGCTGGCCCACGTCGGCGCGCGTCCGTCTCCCGCTCGCTCTGTCGCTCTCTCTCTCGCCGACGACAGCTCGAGACCGCCCAAGCAGCATGTCAGACGACCCTGCAGTCACCTTGTACGCCCCTCAGCTCTCCTGCGGCCCTCAGGCGGCCCCATCGGCTCACCTCGCACACGCCTCCCCACCCGCAGCTTCCCCGACGTCGACGAGATCCCTTCGCTGTACGACGTCCTCGGCGTCGCCGCCGAGGCCACCGCCGACGAGCTCAAGAAGGCCTACCGCCGCCTGTCGCTCCAGTACCACCCGGACAAGGTCGCCAGCTCGTCCTCGTCCTCCTCGCCCGCCGACCCCGCCGCCGCAACCCTCCGGTTCCAGCAGATCGGGTTCGCCTACGCCGTCCTCAAGGACACGGCGAGGAGGGAGAAGTACGACCTGACGGGCTCGACCGTCGAGATGAGCGCCGAGGGCGCAAAGAGCGAGGCCGAGTGGAGGGACTACTTTCGCGAGCTGTGGTCGGGCGAGATCAGCGCGCAGAGCATTGCCGACTTCCTCAAGACCTACCAGGGTGCGTCCTCTCCCCCTCATCTTCCTCCCCCAAACTCTCACTCGCAGATTGCGGTCCCTGACCTATCGTCCTCTCGCAGGCTCGGACGAGGAGCGCGGCGACGTGCTCGCGGCGTACCAGTCGTCCGGCGGCGACCTCGACACGATCCTGTCGTCCGTCATGGGCTCGACCGTCGAGGACGAGGACCGGCTCGTCGCCATCATCAACGACGCCATCTCGTCCAAGGAGGTCAAGGCGACGTCGGCGTGGCGCAAGGCCGTCAAGGACACTAAGGGCAAGGAGCGCCGGCGCAAGGCGGCCGAGAAGGAGTCGAAGGAGGCCGAGGAGCTCGCCAAGGAGCTCGGCGTCCACGACAAGCTCTTCGGCGGCAAGGGCAAGGGCAAGGGCGCCAAGGGCAAGGGCAAGCAGGACGACGGCGACGACGAGGCGGCGCTGCGCGCGCTCATCCAGGGCAACCAGGCCAAGCGCATGAACTCGCTGCTCGACTCGCTCGAGGCCAAGTACGCCGGCGCCGAGGCGAAGAAGGGCGGCAAGAAGCGCGCGTCGAACGGCGGCGGCGGCGGCGGGGCGGGCGATGAGGGAGCGAGCGGCAGCAAGCGTGCGAGGAGGAAGGAGGCCGAGCCGAGCGAGGCCGAGTTCGAGGCGATGCAGGCCCGGCTCGACGCCAGCCGCAAGAGCGGTGGGCGCAAGGGCAAGTGAGCGCAGGCGCTCTCTGCGTCGTCGGACGAGCCTCTTTCTGCGTATCGTAGCTGTCCTTTGTATCTCTCACCGCTTGTTGTTCACTCTGTCGACGAGCCCGGAGAGTGAGAGAGAAAGAAAAAGAACTGCGGGTGAATAACATTGCTCGCGACCTTGACCTCCTCGCCCCTCGCTCGTCCAGCTCTGACGCGCCGTACCGTCGCACGCCGACCGCCTCTAGAGCATAGCGCCGAGCCTGCGCGCGAGAAGGAAGTTTCCAGATCAGTCAGGCTGTCCGGGCGCGGCAGGGGACTCACCTTGATCCCTCGCTCCCCTCCTCGCCGCCCGCGCTCGACTACTTCTTGGCCGCGCCGACGCCGTTCGGCCCGTAGTAGAGCGCCGCGCCGAACGCCGCGAGGAGCCCGACCGAGGCGGCGAACGAGCCCACGTTGACGAGCGTCCACGGGTTCAGGACCGACGACGGCGGCTTGGCGGCGCGCTTGGTGCGCTTTGTCGAGGTGCGCGAGGAGGACGGCGCCTGGGAGGTGGAAGAGGAGGAAAGCAGGCCTAACCCGATCGACTGAAGGCCCCGGATGTAGAAGCCGTGCAGCTGTGGGCGAGTAAAGGGAAAGGAAGGGAAAAGGGGAACGTGCGTCAGTCGAGAAAGGGATGGGGGAAAGAGAGAGAGAAAGAGGGACGCACGTTGTTCTCGGCCTCGTCCTCCTTGCCGATAGGGACGCCCGACAGCTTGAGGCTGAGCGTCGTCGAGTTGGTGCCCTGGTCGAGCGCCGTCTCGAGCGAGCCAAAGTGGCCCTCGGGCCAAGTCGGCGCGCGCCAGCTCATCGTGAAGCCCTTGGGCCGCTCGACCTTGTCGACCTTGCCGCGGATGTTGCCGCCGAACAGCGACACGTCGGCGCCGACCTCGGGCGCCATCTGGGCCGGGTTGCGCGTCCACGCCGGGATCTTGGTCGCGTCGGTGAGGAAGCCGAACAGGGTTTCTGCGTCGCACTGGAACTCGCCCGACGCGCGCACGGTCGCCGTGTTGAGCTTGGCCGGGGCGGTCGAGGCCTTGGCGGCCGGGATCGAGGACGAGGGTGCCGAGGTCGAGGCAGACGGGGCAGAAGGACGAGCCGGGGTCGACGAGCCGGATGCCGACGGCGTGTCGACGTCCTGGAGCAGGTCGGAGCCGTGCGTCGAGACCATGTCCTTGGGGAACTGCTGGAACTTGGCGCGGAGCTTGTTGGCGAGCGCCTTCTTGGCCGTGCGGAGGAACGCGTCGGCTTCGGCGCCCGAGCCCGCCGTCAAAGCCGCCTCGAACTGGTACTCGTCCTCGTCCATGTCGTGCATGACCTCGAGCGCGATCAGGGTACCGGTGACGGCCTCGCCGTCCTTGCCCGTCGCTGCAGGAAGAGTCGGGTTGGGTCAGTGAGGGAGGATGGGGGAGGGACAGAGGGACGCGGCGACGCACCAGTCCAGCGCATCGAGACTCGCTGGTCGTAGACCGTCACGAGCTTGCTTTTCCGCACTGTGCGCGAGGGACAAAGAGTCAGGGCACGCTCGAGTGAGAGGCCGACCAAGAGGAACACTGGACGCACTGCCGAGCTCGCAGTCGCCCTCGACGTCCGTGACCTCCTCGACAGCGACGCCGTCGGCCTCGACACCAGTCAGGTTCGAGGCGAACCACTCCTTGGCCCAGCCCTCGACGCCCTTGGTGCGCCAGTCTGCGGTTCGGCGAGGTCGAGGCGGTGGGGAGGGGAACGAGGCGAGGGCGAGTCGTGAGGGGTTGTCGCGCGTGTCAAGTGTCGAAGAGAGGGTTGTCGAGCGAGTGCGAGCGTGCAGGACCAGCAGGTGGGCGAGGGAGGAGAGCGAGAGGAGAGGGAGGGAAGGAAGCGTCAGTGTTGGCTCGCCGACAACGGCGCAGGGGGAGTGGGAGGGGGTTCAAGGAGGTGGACGCACGCCAGTTCTTGATTCCAGAGCTGAGCTGAGCCATCTCGAGGCGAGTTGTGTCGAGTTGTCGAGAGCGGTGAAGCCGAAAGAACGACTCGGCGAAGCGGCTCCCTCGCACCGGCCCCTCGCTCGCAGAGTGCACGCTCGCAGGCACAGAAGCTCTCGAGATGCTCTCGCGACGCAAGAGACGCTACCTCTCTCGAGAAAGGAGCGAGACGAGTGACTCGCTCTCCTCGCTCTCGGACCGCACGCTCAACTCGACTCGGCGCAGGTCAAGGTCAGGGAGTTGCACGCGGCGAGTGTCTGAAAGTACAGTGACGAGGGGCGACGTGCATGCGCAAGAGGGGAGGGGTGCGCGACTAGTGCGCGGCGGGGAGGAGAGAATGAGACGATGCGGGTGGTCCAAGCGACTCGGCGAACAGGGTCCGTAGGGTGGAAAGGCGAGGGATACACAGGGCGTGGAGGATGTGTCGCAGTGATGGAGGATGGGGCGAGCATGGGCGCGCGAGAACGAGGGGAGAGGGGAAAGAGGGAGAGAGGGAGAAACGACCGGTGCCGCTCAGTAGGCGCCGCCGCCGACGCCGCCGCAGTAGCCTTGCGCCTGCGCGAGGTGGGGCGGCGGGCCACGACCCATGCCGTTCTGCTGCGGCGGCGACATCATCTGGGCCGTCGGCGGGACGTGCTGGTGCTGGTGCTGCTGGTGCTGCTGCTGCGCCTGGAGCTGCGGCGGCGGGGCCTGCGCGCCGCCCTGCCCGCCCCGACCCCAGAAGCGGCGACCGCCCTGCTGCTGCCGAGGGCCCTTGTCGCCGCCGCCGCCGCCGCCGCCGCCGTTGCCGCCCGGCTGCTGCGGCGAGCCCGAGACCGACTGCGACGCCGCCGGAGCGTAGTGCGGCGGGATCTGCTGGACGGGCACCTGCGCAGCGGCGGCACCGGCACCGTCGCCGTCGGCGCCTGCAGCCTGCTGGCGCCGGAACTGCGCCTCGTACCAGGCGTAGTCCTGGAGGAGGCTCGTGCGGCTCTGGTACCCGGCGATGATGCGCAGGACCTCGAGGCCGGCGTCGTACGGCACCTCCTGCGTGTCGCGCGACGACGTGACGGGCTTGTTCTCGGGCGTGTTGTTGAGGCGAATGTGGCGCAGGGCCGAAAGCGGCACGTCCTTGATGTAGATCCACCGGACCTTGAGGACGCCTTTCCATTTGTCCGACGCCCACACGTTGGACGACATCGAGTAGTCGACGGGCGTGAGCATCTGGGCCATGCCGGCAAAGTGACCGCTGCGGTGAGAGAGCGGGTCAGGGATGCCGGGCCGAGAGGACGAAGAGGGAGAGACGGCAGCGCACCTCGCGTTGACCGAGAAGAAGAGGTAGATCGGGCCCTTGTCGGCGCTCTCGCGGAAGGCCCGGTCGAGGCGCTTGTTGCCGAGGTCGGTCGACGCCCAGATCTCGTACTTGAGCGACTGTGGGCCGAGGAGGACGAGTCAGTGAGAGGCACGAGGGAGGAACGCTCGGGCCGGCGACAGTGGCGACGCACCTTGTGCACGTCCTCCTCGGTGTAGCTCTTGATGACGAAGAAGCGGGCGTTGTGCGGCTTGAGGTCGAACACGGCCGGGTTGTAGCCCTTCTTGGCGACGAGGCTGTTGACGTCGATCGGCGTCTCGGCGGGTGCGTCCTGCGCGTCGAGGCCGAGCTGCTGCTGCTGCTGCGCCTGCGCCGACCCTTGAGGACCCAGCGAGGCGCCGGCGAGGTCAAAGCTGGGCGGGACGACGGCGCCCTGGGCGCGCATGGCGTCCATCGCCGACAGCGCCTGCGCCATCTGCGACTGGAGGACGTGGATCTGCTGCTGCTGCTGGTGCATCTGCTGCAGGGCGGCCGGCGACGGCCACCCGTTGGCGCCGGGCGGGCCCGCACCGTCCAACGCCGAGGCGGCGCCGGCGGCGAAAGGACCGGGCACGCCGCCCGGCGGGAATAACGGGAGCGCGACGTTGGCCGCGGTCGGCGTCGCGCCGCCGACGAGGAACTCCTTCTGGCGCGACCAGTCCATCGAGCTCGCGCCAGGAACGGCCGTGAGGTTGCCGCGGGCGTGCGGCGCGCCGGTCGTCGACTCGAACGAGCCGAACGCGGGACCGAGACCGCCCTGCGGCGGCTGCGACGACTGCTGGAGCTGCTGGGCGTGATGGAGCTGGTGCTGGGCGAGCTGGACCGGCGGGGCGTACTCGCTGATGCCGTCGAGAGCGTGCGGGTGGGCGAGGTGCGAGTGACCGATCGGCGGCACGAACGCGGCCGCGCTCAGGGGCCCTTGACGAGCGCCGAAGCCGAGGCCGAGCGGTGCGCCGAGGGCGTCGGACGACGTCATGAGGGGCGGTAGGCGGCGGGAGCCCTGCTGCTGCTGCTGAGCTTGCGGCGCCGGGAGCGCGTTCGGGCTCGGCGAGTTGCGCTCGAACCCTGCCGCGCCAAAAGCGTTGAGCTGCATGGCGCCGAGGGCGTCGTCGAGTCGACGAACCTCGTCGGCGAGTGCTGCGCCGGCGCTCGGCACGGGCGGCGCCGACTCGCTCGCGTAGTCGGCCGTGTGCGAGTGCGAGCCGCGCGAGCTCGTGCTGCCGCCCCGACTCAAGGACCCGCTCCCTCCCGCCCCGCCCGCAGCAGGGCTCGAGCTGTACGCCGTGGTGCGCCCGAGCTGCTTCGTCTCCTCCTCGGTCGGGCTCCACGGGCTCTTGGCACCGCCCAACCCGTTCACGACGGGGCTCAGCGCCCTCGCCGGCCCTGCCGCGCCCGCGCCGCTCGCGTCACTCCTGCTCCCGAGCGAGTTCGAGTGCGACAGGCGCGCGCCGGCGCCGTTGCCGACCGAGGGCGACTGCGACGACGACGACGAGCCGCTCGGGCCGTGCCCGAGCGATTGCGAGTGATGGAGCGCGAGCGGGGCCGGACTCGTGCCGGCGCGAGTGCGCGTCCCGAAGCCGGCGATGGTCGACGCGTTGGCGAGGGCGAGCGAGCCGAGCGCGCGAGGGTGGTGCAGGTCGTCGGCGGCGGCGACGGCCGGGTCGGCCCAGCCGCTCGCAGACGCGGGCGACGAGGACAGCGTCTGCTCGATCGACGCTTCGCGTTGCCGACCGCCGCGCTGGTACGTGTGGAGCGACTGGTGGCGGCGCACGAGCGAGGCGTTCTCGGTCGGGTTGGCGATCGACGGGATGGCCGAGGCGGACGAGGGCGGGAGCCAAGGGTCGGCGGTGACCTGGCGGCGAGGCTGATGCGAGTTGTACGAGGTGGCGGTCGAGCTCGACTGGCGCGAGCCGGCGAATGGCGACGAGAGCTGGGACGAGAAGGACGAGGAGAGGGGAGGGGTGCGGAGGTTGTACGGGTCCTGCAGGTCGTCGACGGCGTTAGTATCGTCGACGGGAGAGTGCGAGGGGATGAAGAATGAGGACGCACCTCGTCGCTGCCGAGCCCGGGTCCATCTGCCCCACTCTTCCTCTCGTCGATGAGGCCGCGCTCCCAGTCCTCCTCGATCTCCTGCCCGCCCAGCTGCTCTTTCTCCTGCTCGAGGAACGGCTTGAGCGAGTTCTTGTGCCGCAGCGGCTGCTCCTGGCCGTCCGGGCTCGGCTGGAGCGGCGGGCTCGGGGCGACGGCGGGCGCGATTGGCGGCGATGACAGCGACGGCTGCGGCTGGTGCGGGCGCCGCTCCGTCAGGGCCTGGTCGCCCTTGCCGCCGCGCACGACGACGAACGAGCTGCGCTTGGGCTCGGGCGGGACAAAGCCCTGGACCGTCCCTGCGCTGCTCGCGCTCGGCGAGTCGCCCTGCTGCTGCTGCTGCTGCCCGCCCTGCTCGTGCTCGTGCTCATGCTCGTGCTCGGCGACACGGTTCCACGCGACCTGGGCGTCCGGACCGGCGAACGCGGCCGATGCGGGATGGGGCTGGTGCGAGGTCGAAGGGTCGGCGTCGGGGATTCCGCCGTGGCCGATGTCGGACCAGGCGGCGTAGGGCCCGCCGCGAACGGGCGACGGCGGAACGTAGAACTCCTGGTCCTCCTCGGACAGGCCGACGCCTTGACTGCTCGAGGGCGACGGCAAGGGGAGGGCGTGTGCGACGAGAGGCGTGAGCGGACGAGGGGGAGGGGGAGGAGGCAAATCAGTCAGGGCTGCACCGCCAACCGGCACACGAGACGGGGGAGGGAGGGCAGGACGCACAGTGCGAGTCGTGCACGGTTGCGCTCGAGGCGGACGAGCCTGCTCGAGGCCGAGACGGTGTTGCTCGAGCGCACCAAGCCGGCGCCGGTCGACGAAGTGGGCGCGGCCTCGTCGAGTGCGCCGAGTGCGCCGTCATGGGCGTAGCCCTGCTGCGCGATGCCCTGGGTGGCTGCGCCGGCTCCTGCGGCGTGGTTGAGCGACTGGGAGCGGCCGACGGAGCGCGAGCGGTTGGCGTCCCGGACGGGCGACTGCTGCTGGGCGCTGAGGTGCAGCCTTGGCGGCTGCTGGCGGGGCTGCTGCTGAGCAGGTGCGTCTGCTGGAGGTGCAGCGCTCATCGCCGGGGGATGCGCCGAGCTGAGGACGGAGAGGCGAGAAGAGGCCGACTCGGAAAGCGACGAGGCGCCCGCGCACAAGGGCGGGGCAACTGTTCCTCGAACTCGGCTTGCAGCGACGGCGACGCTCACTGTGCAGACAGGCTCGCGCTCACAGGACCAGGCGCACCGACGAGCGAAAAGAGCGAGTCACCCTCGCTTTTCTCTCGGTCGAGCCGGTTCTTGCAGAGCGTGCAGTGCAGGGGAATCGCGCAGGGCAGATGCAGCAGACATGGACAGGGTGTAGGCGTGTGTGGCAACGTGGGACGAGAGAGGGAGAGACGGCGCGGGAAGTACACAAACCGAGAAGGGGACGACGACGACGAAGGCGGGAAAGGCGAGCTATTCACAAGGGTTCGGCGGGTCCAGCGCCGCAGACGCACGGCGCACGGCTCGACGAGGGTCAGGGAGCGAGACCCTGCAACGGCGCGGCGGTGGTCGGGGTCGAGACGCCGGGCGAAGGTGCCGGCGACGGACCGCGCAAAGCGGGCGACGACTGCTGGTCGCGCTCTTGGTCGCGCTCGGGCCGGTGCCAGCGAACGACCTGTGGATGAGGGTTGTTAGCGCGGCTTGATGGCGCCTCACAACCCGGGCAGTCGCGGCAAGACCGCCGTGCGAGTCGAAAGGGAGAGATTGAGACGCACCTCGACTGCCGCACCCTTGCTCGTCTTGCGCTCCTCCTGCGGCTCCTCGTCGTCCTCGTCCTCGTCCTCGTCCTCGTCCTCGTCCTCGTCCTGCCCTCGGCTCCGCTCCCCCTCGCCATCGTCCTCCTCATCGTCGTCCTCGTCCTCCTCCTCATCGTCTTCTCCTCCTTCCTCATCGCCGTCGTCCTCCTCCTCTTCTGGCTCCTCGAGCACCTCCTCGAGCTCGCCCTCGTTGTCGTCCTTGTCCTCGCCCGGGCCGACCTCGACGACGTCCTCGTTCTCGCCCCGGCGCCCAATGACGGTCGCCCTCGACTCGTCGCCGCCCTGCGCGCCCCGACTCGCGCTGCGGTCGCGCTTGGCCTGCGCCGCGAGCGCTGGGCTCACAGCGCGCTCGGCGTCGACGTTACCGTGCGCCGCCTTGTCGGCGAGGCGGTGTAGGTCGGCCTCCTTGTCGCGGTCGACGAACCCGGCGCTGCTGCCGGCGCGCGACAGGCTCACGCCGCGGTCGGTGCTCGTGCGCCGGCTGCCCGGCCTCGACGACGCCGACGGGCCTTGGCCGAACGGACCCGACGCGTCGTCGCCGGCCCCGCCGAGCTGCCAGTCGACGCCGCCGCCGCCTCCTCCACCGCGCTCGCTCCCGGCCCGGCTGCTCGTGCGGCTGAGCGCAAGCCGCTCGCGAGCGACAGCGGCCGCCTCGCCCGCCGCCTCGATGTAGTGCAGGCTGAGAGCGTCGGTGCTCGCGTGCCGGCTCAGGTTGGGCGAGTGCGACCGGCTCGCGCCGACCGAGCCCGAGCCCTGGGCGCCGACGCCGCCCTGCGACGGCTGCGCCGAGGGCCGGAAGCGTCCCGCGTGCGGCGACGGCGAGCGCGAGCGGCGCGAGGACGAGCTGCGGCGCGAAGTGGGGCGCGACGGCGACGCCGAACCGTGGCCGTGGCCGTGCGGGTGGCCGAGGGTCGGGAGGGGCGAGTGCGAGGGGGAGCGGGCGTCGGCAAAGGTGAGGGACGACGAGAGGCGCTGCGAGAGGGCCGAAGCCGAGGGGATGGACGAGTCGCCGGGGTGGTACGTCCCGCTCGGCGAGTGCAGCTGGTCGTCGTCGTCTGCGGGCGAGCGTAGCGGTCGGTCAGTCGCGCTCGACTCGGACGTGGAGCCCTCGCAAGAGAGAGAGAAAGAGGAGGAGAGGGACGCACCGAGTGCAGGGGACGAGTCGGCGCCGATGCGCGGCGGCGGCACGAACGGCTTGACGCGGTTGGCCGTGCTGTTGCGGCGCGTGCCCGGGCGGTCCTCGGGCTTGGGCAGCGGCGCAAAGTGGCAGTGCGGGCTCGGCGGGCTGCTCGCGCGACGCAGGGCCGCCTGGGCCGCCTCGTCGGCCTGGGCAACCTCGGGGCTGAAGTGGGCGCCTGCGCCGTCGCCCGTGTAGAGGGTCGACAGGGTCGGCTTGGTGAAGGACGACGCCGTTGGCGGGGAGCCGACCGTCGACGGGTTGGTCGACGGCGGCCCGTTGACCCACCCTGGGCCGCCGCCGCCGCCTCCGTCGCTCGAGAAGCCGCCGTCACTCGCGGCCGAGCCGTCCGGGCTCGCGATGCGCAGCAGGCCGGGCGAGGCGGCGCCGCTCAGGGACGGCGAGCGGGCCTCGGGGGCGCGCAGGGTCAAGCCGGGCGAGCCACGGTCGCTGACATCGTCGGCGCGATCGCGCGAGGTCGACGAGCGGGGACGAGGGAGGGGGAGCGCAGGCGCGGGGCCGCCCTTGTTGAGGAGGATGCTCGACGGCTGCGGGCTGAAGTAGCCGCCCTGGGGCTGCTGCTGTCCTCCTGCTGCTGCTGCTGCGGGCGTCTGGCCCTGGTGGACGCCGGGCGAGGGCGGGTCGGAGAAGACGGGGCTCTTGAGGGCAGAGTTGCTGACGGCGACGTGACCGGGCGAGGTCGAGCGCTTGATGATGGGGGGCAGCGCGGTAGGAGGCTCGGCGGTCATGTCCTCCTCACAGTCGGGTGCGAGGGAGTCGAGTGGGAGGGATGAGGGGAGCGGCGGCGTGGCCAAGGTGCTCTGACGCCAGCTACGGCCTCCAGCCCTCTCTGCCTCTCTCGGTGCTTTTTCCTGTCTCGAGGGCCGCAGGAAGGTGCACGTCTATACTGCAGTCGAACTCGCAAAGTGGGACATACAGAACGAGACCGCGAGGGCGAGCACAAACCCCTCGCGCGAGAGTGGGGGGCGGCCGCGCGCAAGGGCCACCGTCAGGTCGACGCAACCTGCACGCCGCGGTGCTCTGCGTCGTCGACGCCCTTGCCCTTGCGCACCCGCCTGCGCTCGACGTCGAGGTCGCCGTCCCCTGCTTCGCCTCGCGCCGCCGCCGCCGCGACGCCGACGAGTCCGTCGGGCGGCGTCCTCGGCGCCGTCAACTCGCTCGCGCTCGTCTCGTCGTCCTCGTCGTCGCCGAACCGCGGTCGACCCTCGTCGTCGTCGAGCTCGTCGTCGTCGACCGTCGCCGGCACGTCCTCCCTCGAGTCCTCCGGCAGCTCCTCCTCGATCGCCTCCTCGATGTGCTCAATCTCGCGGCTCTTGCCCTTGGCCTCGCGCTCCATGCGCCGCGCCTCGTCGACGCTGCCGGACGACGACGTTGCCGACGACATCGACAGGCTGCGGCCCCGGAACGCGGCGCCCTCGTCGGCGAGCGCTCGGCCCTGCGCCGACTCGTCGTCGGCGCCTGCGTCCGACTCGCCCGCCGTCGACGCGTTCGACGCGCCCGACGTGCTCGTCGCCGACGCCGCCGAGGTCGTCGACGAGCCCTTGACGCGCTTGAAGAGCTTGGACATGCCGCGCTGGACGTCCTTCCACGAATAGACGTCCTCGGGGAGCGGACCGCCCTCGTGCCAGGCGAGCGGACCTGCGAGAGAGACAGGGAGAGCCAGAGCGTCAGGACCGTGTTCTCAGGAAACCGCTGGCGAGGGACGCTCGACCCGCGTCGGCTCGACCGGCACCTCGCGAGAGACCGAGAGAAAAGGCCTCGAGGCGACGCACCGGCGTACTTGGCGCTCCTGACGTTGGGCGTCCCACCTTGGCTCTGGATCATCTGGGCCCGGCTCGCGACGCCGATGCTGAGCGAGTTGCTCCGGTGCGCCCTCCTGCCCGGCGGCAGGGGCGCAAATTTGACGCTCGTGCCGGCCGACGAGCCGTTGGACGACGCCGTCGAGTCGAGCGTGAGGGTCGAAGACCCGCCGGGCGACGACGGGAGCTGGAGCGACTGGTTGCCGGACGGCGAGCTGTGCGCTGCGGCGGCGGCGGCGGCGGCCGAGTGCGAGTGGGGCGCGGCGGGCGAGACGGACCGCGAGCGCATGCCGTGCGGGACGCGCTGCGCTCGAGGGGGCGAGGTGCTGAACGTCGGGGTGGCGGGTACGCTCGAGTCGCTCGCGTCCTGGTTGAAGAAGTGGGCCGGCGGTGGGGACTGGTACACCTCGACCGTGACCGAGGGGGCGCGCCGGCGCTGCGGGGCTTGGTCGGGGAGGGTGCTCGTGCTCGCGGCGGGTGCAGGCTGAGGTTGCTGAGGCGCAGGCGGCGCTGGTGCGAGTTGCTGGTCGAGCGAGGCGCGGCGAAAGGGGTTGTGGAGGCGAGGCGGCGAGCGGCTCCTCGTCTTTGCCGGGAGCGGGTTGAGGAGGATGCTCTGGCTCGGCGGCGGGGCGGACCCAGGCGAGGGCGGCAGGCGAGGCACGCACGGCGGGCTGGTCGAGTGCACGACGACGTCGCCTGGCGACGACGACAACGAGTCGGGCTCGCCTTCTCCTCCTGGCTGAGGCTCGTCGTGCGCTGCGCCGCCGACCGCGGGCGGGCCGGGTATCGTGATCGGAGCACTCATCGCTCACACGAGTGGAGGAGGAAGGAGAGGAGGGGGGGAGCCGCGAGGGGAAGTCGGGGTCGAAGGGAGGCCGAGGGGGAGGGGGAGGGGGACGCGGCGGCAGCGGCTTGAACGAGTGCGGCTGCGCCGGTGGTCGCTCGTGTGCTCGATTCGGGCCCTTGTCGACAGGTTCCGCGAACAGCGAGTCCGCCGGAGCGAGGTGTGGAAGAGAGAGGATCGAGCCCCGCCGCGCAGCTCTCGTCGTCGGCGTCTCGTTCCGAAAAAGCCCTCGGCCGTCTCGCGGCAACGCTCCTTGCAGCTTCTGCTTCGTCGACGACGAGTGCAATGCAGCGATAAAGACGACCCGCGTCTGAGCCGCGCTCCGTCGAAGCCTCTCGTCCCTCCCACCGCTCCTCCTTCTCCGCACGGCTCCCCACTGCCCGGCTCCACGCCGTATCTCCCGCCGCTCCTCCTCACCGCGAGCACTTGCCGACAGCTCGCGGATCGCCCTGGTCGACGCTGTACCGCGGGATCCGCTCGCGCCGCGAGAAGAAGGCCGGGCTGTCCTCGTCCTTGAGCTGCAGCTCCTCGACGACCTCGACGAGCGCCGCCGCCGACCGGTGCCGTGCCCGCTCATGCTCCGGTCCCGCACGCTGCGTCTCGTACCCGGCCGCCACGGCGGCCTGCTCGGGCGCGCCGTCGCCGTCGCGCTCGCGCAGCGTGAGGGTGGGCCGCCGAGCGAGCGACTCGCCTTTCGCGCCCGACGAGCTCGACGTGCCGAGCGGGTCGGCGCGACTCGTTTCGCGCAGCTCGCGCAGCGACCCGACGCGGAGCGGCACGGCGCCGCACGGGTCGTACAGCGGCACGTTGTCCTCGTCGACAACGAGGTCGCCGTCGGCGGCTCGTGCGCGAGGTAGCTCCTGCATGGCGACGACGGGGCGGGCGTGCGCGATGCGCGCGCCGGCGATGTCGACCGATGCACGAGCGCTCGACGACGTCCAGTGCGCCGAGTTGGCCGAGGTCGAGTCGAGCGAGGCGTGCGGGCGGTGCGGGAGGTGAGGGGGAGGAACGGTCGACGGGTGCATCAGGGTGGCGGCGGTCGAGGTCGAGCCGAACGGGTTGTGGAACGAGGTCGGTGAAAGAGGCGCGGCGGTGGCGGGGTGACGAGGAGAGCGGGAAAAGTGAGGTGGGCGAGGGAGCTCGCTCGAGGACGACGCTCGGGGCACGCTGCGCTTGCGCAAGTGCGCCGCCGCGATCGGGTGCGTCGCCGATGACGCGACGACAGGCGCATCGACGTCGCAGACGGCGGTGCCGAACACCTGCCGCACAACCGGTGCAGGCGGCGGCCCGTGCCCGACCTCGTCGCTCGCCCTCGGGCTCTCCCACCTGCCGCTGCCCTGGACAAGCCTCGGCTCGCCCTCCCTCCACCGCTCTCTCATCTCTCGCGGCGGTACGCTCGGCAGCGGCCTCGCCGGCGGAGGACCCGGCGGGAGCCCGGCGCCGCCGACCCGAGCGGCCGAGGGCGACACGCCGTAGAAGCGCTGCGTCTCGGGCAAGCGCGACGCCTTGCGGCGCCACGACGACGCGCGGGCCAGGCGCTGCGCCCATGTGCGCGAGGCGAGCGCGTGTGGCGGGTCGCCGAGGGCGCGAGTCGGGAGGGAAAGGGTCGGGTCGGCGAGGACGGTGGACGAGGGAGGGCGGTTGAAGCCGTACGGATGCGGCGAGCACTCGGCACCGCCGCCTACGACACGCGGCGCCGAGGCGTCCCGCGACGGCGCCGCCTGCCCTGGCGCCGACAGCGGTATGGGCGACGAGCGCGGCCGCCCGCTGCGGCCGCCGCCGAGAGCCGCGAACAGCGAGCTCGCACGCGATTGCCGTCGGCCCGTCTCGGCGTTGAAGTCGTGGCGGGACGAGCGCTCGTGCTCGTCGGCGGCTTGTGCGGCTCGACGGCGACGCAGGAACAGGACGAATAGGAAGACGATGACGGTGACGACGAGGATCGTGCCGATGACCGCGCCGGCAATCGCGCCTGGCGACGTACTGCTGCTCGCCGTCTCGAGCATGGACTTGGTCGACGTCGGTGCGGCGGGGGCGGACGAGGTCGAGGGCGGCGCCGAGTTGGACACGGTCGACGAGGACGAGGCTGCAGCGCTTGACGCGACGAGCTGCGGCACCTGGTCGGTCCTTTCCCTGCACGGTGCAGCCCGCTCTTCAGTCCGGGTCATTCCGGGAGATCGAAGAGGGAAAGACTGGACGCACGAGAAGGAGATGGCCACACGGTCCAGCCGGACGAGGCCGTCGCCCGTCGCCTGGAGCACGACTCGGTGCGCCGTCGCCGGATCGAGGTTGCTCGCGACGAACAGCCTTACCGGCGTGTCGAGGCGGGTACTTGGGCGGTGCACGGCGGCGGACGCGACGATGCCGTCCAGCTCGACGACGAAGGCGGCCGACGCGGCGCCGTAGAGCGAGACCTGCTCGCCTGTTCGCGCGAGAAAGAGTCAGGTGCTGCCCTATGGGTCGCAGAGAGGCAGGAGGGGGACGCACCGAGAAATGCAAAGTCGACGAACGCCCCGCTCGAGTTCGTCTCGCGCGCAGCTCCACCAGCCCACCCCTGCGCGCTGACCTCGGTCCACGCGGGCGTCGGCGAGTAGTGCAGGAGAGCATCCGAGTCGTCGAACGAGGTGGTGCGGGCGGTGGCGGAGGCCGAGACGAGGAGCGAGATGATGAGGAGGCGGGGAACGAGGGGAAGGAGCGCGAGGCGGCGTCGAGCGCGCATGGGGCGAACGGGTGGCGCAGTCGAGGCAGAAGAGCCAGCTTCCCTGCCTGGTGGACAAGGGTGTACAACACTGGGCGAGACGAGGAGGGGAGGAGGGCGGAAGAGGACGAGGACAAGGGGAAGAGGGACGCGGCTCGGTGCCGAACGAGGTGCGTGCGTGCGGGTCGCTCGCGCCTCCTCCCCCCACAAACTGCAACGTCGACGGGCGCGGACGAGTTGCACGTCGTCGACTCTGCTACTGCACGACCGCCTCCGGGACCGCCACCGCCGGCCACAGGTGCACCTTGCCCGCCGCAGGAGCCGACCTCGCACCGCCCTCGCCGACCGCACAGTCCACCCACCGCCGCCGGCTCGCGTCGACGCCGAGCATGTCGAGGAGCTGCGTCGCCTTGGTCGGCATGAAGGGCTGGAGGAGCGTCCCGCTGAGACGCAGCGTCTCGGACCCGAAGAAGAGGGCGCGGTGAACGTCGGACGGCGAGGCGGTCGCGAGCCAGGGCGAGAGGAGCTGCACGTGGCGGTTCGACTCGGCGAGGGCGTCAAACACGACGGCGAGGGCGCGGTGGACGTCGAAGGCGGCGAGGTGGCGGTCGAACGAGCCTGCAGTGGGCGAGAGAGGTCAGTGCGCGCTCGCGGGGGAGAAAGTGGAGGTCGGGCGCACCTGGAAGGTCGCGCAGGAGCGCGAGGAGCGCCTCGTCCTCCTTGGCGAGACGATCCGGCATCGTGTACATGAGCTCGGGCGCCTCGAGCTTCTTGACGAGCTTCTTGGCCGTGACGCGGCTGAGGAGGTTGCCCATCTGGCCGGCGAGGTCCTTGCGGTAGAAGCGCTCGATCTCGGTCGCCGAGTAGTCTGCATCGCGAGCTTGTCAGGAGTGCTCATGCAGGGCGAGAGACGAAAGAGAGGGAGGCGCACCTGCGTCGCTCGCCGAGTTCCCGCCGACCCGCATGAGGTACAGCCGCATCGCGTCCACGCCCCAGAGCTGCATCGCCTCGAACGGGTTGGCGACGTTGCCGCGGCTCTTGCTCATCTTGAACTTGTCCATCGTCCAGTGACCGTGTGTGAGGAGGTGCTTCGGGAGCGGCAGGTCGAGGGCGAGGAGGACGGCGGGGAGGTACAGGGCGTGGAACCTGTGCGAGGCGGGAGCGTCAGGGAGATCATGGACAGGAACGAGGAGGTAAAGGACGCACCGGACAATGTCCTTGCCGACGACCTGCAGGTCGGGCGGCCACAGTTTGCCCTTCTCGAACGCCTCGCCGCCTCGCCAAGGGTAGCCCGCCGCCGTCAGGTAGTTGACCAGGGCGTCGATCCAGACATAGATCGTGTGCTGCGGGTCGCCGGGGACAGGGATGCCCCACGAGAGGCGTGACGCTGGGCGCGAGATCGACAGGTCGTTCAGGTCGGTCGAGGTCGGGTTGGCGAGCGAGGCGACGAGGGCGGTCGTGCGAGAGGAAGGTTGGACGGCTGCGTGTCGGCTCGAGGGTTAGTCGCTGTGAGATGGAGAGTGTAACGCAAGGACGCACGATTCGGGGACGAGCTGAGCCACTCGAGCAGAGGGTCCTTGAACGCCGACAACCGAAACTTGTAGTTCTCCTCCTCCATCCACTCGACCCTCGTACCCGTCTCGGTCGAGGCCTGCGCTCAAGAGGAGGAGTCAGTGACTGGCAAGTACGCGAATGAGGGAGAGGCACGACGCGCCATGTACTTGTCGCCCGACTTGGGGTCGATGACCTCGCCGACCTGCGCCTCGGGGACGTACGCCTCGTCCGAGACGGCGTACCAGCCGGCGTAAGACGACTTGTAGATGTACCCTCGCTGCTGAAGTTCTCTCTGTGGGCCCCTGAGAGTCAGTAGGGGCGACAGGAAGAGGAGGGCGAGCGGGACGCACCCAGACGTGCTCGACCGCGGTCCTGTGACGAGCCTCGGTCGTGCGGATGAAGACCTGGTGGTCGATGTTGGCGGCTTGTGCAAGCTCCTGCGTGTGCACTGTCAGCTCGTGTGCCTGCAAGGAGAGGCGAGGAGAGCTGGACGCACCCTGAACCGCTCCGAGACGCCGTCGCACAGGTCCTTGGGCGCGATCCCTCGCGCTTCGGCGACACGCTGGATTTTGAGGCCATGCTCGTCGGTCCCAGTGCACATGACAGCGCCCTTGGACGGGTCGCGCAGGCGCGCATGGCGTGCGTAGATGTCGGCGAGAAGGGTCGAATGGAGGTGCCCGACGTGCGGATCTGCGCAGAGCTGTCAGCTCACGCTCGAGTAGGACGGGGAGGAGAGAGGGGCGCACCTGCATTGACGTAGAAGATGGGCGTGGTGGCGTAGAAGGTTTTGCTGGTGCCAGTCGAGGCGGCGGCCGCTGTCGCGAGCGAGCGGGACCGGGCGAGGTGGGACCGCGTGAGGGCAATGACCTCGGGCGGTAGTCGTGCACATAGTGCTCGTAGCGACATGCTGGGCGAGTCGATAGCTCTGTTGGAGCGAGCGGTCGAGGGTGAGAGGGCCAACTCCTCGAGCTGATGAGAAGACGAGCCTCTCTCGCTCACCCCACCACTCCTGCGAGCCCCAGCACTGCTCCAGCCAGCGCAGAGTGCGCTTCACGCACTGTGGTGCGCGCTACCGTGCGCGCTCGGTGTCGCTGTCCCCGTCTCGCGCCCTCGCCTCCTCCCCCTCCTCGTCGCCCAACTTCTCTCCGCCCTCGCTCTCTTCAAGGTCGACGCGGGCACGGCGGGAGCAGCATGCCTCGGCACGGGCAGGGACAGGGCCAGCTCATGGGGCCAGGTCCCGCCACGACGTCGGCGGGTCGCTCGACCGTGCTCCTCTTCGTCAGCGACTCGCACTTTCAGCTTTCCGAGGAGGTCGAGGGTCGACGGCCGCCTGACCGCCTGGCGCGCGGTCCTCCCTGTCGTTTCTATCGCAGAGTCCTCCCTGTCCTTTCTCCTATCGTGCCGCTTTCTCGGCCTGGGACTTGCGTGGGGGGATCGAGCGAGCCGGAGCCGAGATCCGCGGCCACGGCGGCCTGCCGTCGACGAGCGCGTCTCTGATTGCGCTTTCGAGGACCCGCTCCTCTTGCTCTCTTCCTGCTGCACCCCCGCCACGAGCCTCAACAGCAATGTGCGTCACCTCTTCCTCCAATTCGCCCTCCCTCGGCCTCGAACTGACGAGCCCCGTGTCCTGCAGGCCTTCCGCCGACATGAGCGCGACGACGACGCTCTCGCAATACCTCCTCGACCGCCTCCACCAGCTCGGCGTCAACACGATCTTTGGCGTGCCGGGCGACGTGAGTCTGCGAGCTCTCTTGCCTGTCCGCCGGTCGAGGGGACCCGGATTGACCTCGTCCTTGTCGTCGCGTGCAGTTTACCCTGAGCCTCAACGACGTGATCGAGGCGGACCCTCGCATCATGTGGACCGGCTGCTGCAACGAGCTGTGCGTCCCCAAAACTTCTCTCTCCCTGCCCGAGCGGCTCGGGCGCACGTCGTTGCTGACCTCTCGTCCGGACTGCAGGAACGCGTCCTACGCCGCCGATGGCTACGCCCGGGTCAAGCAGGCGCAGCTCAACCGCACGCCCGACCCGCAGACGGGCAAGATTGCCGGCGGCGTGCGAGGCATGGCAGCGATCGTCTCGACTTTCGGCGTCGGCGAGTTGTCGTGCGTCAACGGCATCGCCGGCTCGTACGCCGAGCGCATCCCTGTCCTGTCGATCGTCGGTGCGCCGAGCACCAAGTTGCAGAAGGGTCACGTCCTCATCCACCACCACCTGGGCGACGTCGGCGGTCGTACGTCCTCTTTCCTCGCCGGTCTCCCTCGTCCTCTCTTCCGCCGTACCCTGGCGCACAACTGACACTCTCCTATGTACAGGGTTCGACATCTTCAAGGACGCGACGGCCGGCATGACCTGCGCGCAAGCCTACCTCACGTCGGCCGACAACGCCGCCGAGGAGATCGACCGCGTCCTGCTCGCCATGCTCAAGACGGCTCGTCCCGGCTACGTCACGATCCCGACCGACCTCGTGTACGCCAAGGTCGACGCGTCACGCGTGCGCACGCCGCTCCTCCCGCTCGCCGACCCGCTCGACGAGCGCATGCCCAACGGCAAGATGCTCAAGCACGAGACGCAGGACCGCCTCGACTTTGTCGTGAGCGAGATCGAGCGCCTGTGGGAGACGGCCAAGGACCCGATCGTGCTCGTCGACGCGTGCGCAATCCGCTTCGGCGTCGGCCACCTCGTCGAGGAACTGGTCAAGGCGACGGGCGTGAGGTGGTACACAAGTGCGTCGCTCTGCGCCTCTCTCTTCCTACCTCGCGTCGCGATTCTCTCAGAGTCGAGCCCTAACCGCTCTCCTCTGCCGCAGGTCCGATGGGCCGCACCGTCATGGACGAGGACTCGGAGAACGGCTTCGGCGGCGTCTACATCGCCCAGCTTTCGGACGACGACTTGCGCGACGCTGTCGAGAAGACGGACTTGGCCATCATGGTCGGCGCGATCCGCAGCGACTTGAACACCGGCCTCTGGTCGACCCGGATCAAGACCAAGAACATCGTCGAGCTGTGCGCCCGCTCGTTCCCCTCCTCGTCCCTCTCTTTCGCGCCACTGACTTTCTCTCGCTTTTTCCCCCTCTCTCTTCGACAGGCATTCATCCTGTACCTCCGTCCAGTACGCCGAGTACGACGCCATCTCGTTCCAGCTCCTCTTGCCCGTCCTCGCCAAGACGCTCAAGCGCAAGACGACGCCGCCTCCCGAACGCCCTCTCGCCGTCGCCCGACCCATCGCCCCTGTCGGCGAGCCGAGCGAGCCCGTTACCAACGCCTTGCTGTGGCCGCTCGTCGGCAACTTCCTGCGCGAGAACGACATCGTCGTCGCCGAGGTCGGGTGCAGCTCGTTCGGCCTCCTCACGACGCCCTTGCCCAAGGGCGCGACCCTCGTCAGTCAAACCTTGTGGTCCTCGATCGGCTGGAGCGTAGGCGCCACGCTCGGCGCACTGCTCGCCGCGCAAGAGTCGCCCGTTCCGCGGCGGGTCCTCCTGTTCGTCGGCGACGGCTCGATGCAGCTCACGGTCCAGGAGGTCGCCACCATGGTTCGGTACGGCCTCAAGCCGACGATCGTCCTGCTCAACAACGCTGGGTACACCATCGAGCGCTTCATCAACGGACCGACCGCGCAGTGCGTCCCTCTTCCTCTCCTCGTCCTCTGGGTCCCTTCCCGTCCAGCGCCCTCTTCCTCTCTCGCTCCGCACCCTACAGCCTACTGACTGCGCTGCTCGTCGCTCTCGCAGGTACAACGACATCTCGCTGTGGGACTGGTCCAAGGTCCTCCCGCTCTTCACCCCTCCCGCCGCTTCCACCTCGTCGCCCGTCAAGCCCGGGCGCTTCTTCTCGGCGTCGACGCGAGGCGAGCTCGAGGCGATCCTTGCAGACGACGACTTTATCGCGGCCGACCGGGTCCAGATGCTCGAGGTCAAGTGCGACCGGCTCGACGCCCCGAAGGCGCTCCTCAAGCTCGGCGAGGTGGTGCGCTGCCCTGTTCGCCCTCTCCCTCTCTTCCCCCGCGCATCGATTGACCTTGATCCCCGTCCCGTCGACAGACTCGCAGGATCAACTCGGCCTGAGGGCGCGTCGTCACGGTCGAGGAGAAGAGGCCCGGGCGTCGAGCAGAGGGAGAGGGAGTTAGATTTGCGGCGGTCGTGTTCTGCATCTGTCATATCATCCACACGTGCATCGTCTCGATGGGAGCCCGCGTGAACCGCTCGAGAGGTTGGCTTTGCCGGTGTTTTGCGGCGTCTGACAGGAGATGGTCGCCTCCTCCCTCGCCTCGTATCGCTCGCCCCACCGCACGAGCAGCCTCATCAGCAGCCTAGCAGCCTCTCCGAAGCCGACTTGATCCACTCGAGCTGCACGCAGCCGCCCGCACACCCTCGCCGCCCCTCCTCCTCATCAGCAACAACCGCCATGGCGCCCAACTGCGTCCTCCAGACCTCGATGGGCGACGTCGCGTTCGAGCTCTACGACGAGCACGCGCCCAAAACCTGCAGGAACTTCCGCGAGCTGTGCAAGCGCGGCTACTACTCGGGTGCGTCGCCGTTCTCCTCCTCCTCCCCCCGCCTCCTCTCTTCCTCCCTCCCTCCCTCACGGCACTGACTCTCGTGACCGCGCGCAGGCACCGTCTTCCACCGCATCATCGCAGACTTCATGATTCAAGGCGGCGACCCGACTGTGAGTCTCGCGGTTGGCTGGCGCTCCTTCCCCACCTCGCCGCCAGCGCTGACCACTTTCTTTCCTCGCGCTCGCAGGGCACGGGTCGAGGCGGCGTCTCGATCTACGGCGACAAGTTCGAGGACGAGATTGTGAGTCACCGAGCCTCCATCCCCGAGGTGAGGCGCGCGTCTGACGCCTGTCCTCCCCTCTCAGCACCCCGACCTGCGGTTCACGGGCGCCGGTATCCTCGCTATGGCCAACTCTGGGCCCAACAGCAACGGCTCGCAGTTCTTCATCACGCTGGGTGCGCCACTTGTCTCTCTCTCTCTCTCCCTACTCTTCCCGCAGGTCGAACCATCCTGACCTACCTTCCTCCCTGATCCTCCTCTCGCTCTCTCGCCCCACGTTGCCCGTCACGTCTCCCTGCAGCACCGACACCTCATCTCGACCGCAAGCACACCATCTTCGGCCGAGTCGCGAGCGGAATGCAGGTCGTGCAGCGGTTGGGCGCGGTCGTGACGGATGGCGAGGACCGGTGCGCCCTCGCTCTCGCTCTCTCTCCCACCTTTGCCAGTCACTGACATCGAGACGTGCCCGCAGGCCAAAGGAGAACATCAGGGTCATCAAGTCGAGGGTTGCAGATGCGTAGCCGGCGTCGAGCGGGAAAAGCAGACGTCGAATGCTCTCACTTTTCTGCTCGAAAGGAGAGAAAGAGGAGCGAGCGAACCAGCGCTCGCTCTCGACAACATGTTTCGGCAAAGAGTGTCTACGGTCACCTCGCTCGACCTGCTTCTGTGTCTCGCTCCTCGCCCGCCGCCTCCTCGTCACGCCGAGAACCGGACCGGCCGCTTTTTCGGCTGCGCCTCCTGCTCCTTCTCCGCCTCGCCGGCGTCATTCGCCGACAAGTCCTGCTCGTCGCGCCGCACGTGCTTCTTGGCCCGGCCGTGCGCCGTCGCCCGACCTGCTCGAGGAGAGGGCGCAGGCGACGTCCAGCTCGGCAGCCAGCGCTCCCTCCACGAGGGCTCGTCCTTGCGCACGTCCCACAGGACGTCGATCTCGCGCAGACCGGCCTGGACGGACGGGTGCGCGCAGGTGTGGCGCAGGAGGGTAACGTCGGGCGAGAGCCGCTCGACCGAGGCTGTTGCGAGAGAGAAAGGGAGAGTTAGTCTCCCTTTTCGCAGGAGGGCGAGCTCGACAGCTCAAGAGAGAGAGAATCAGACGACGTACAGAGGTAGTACGTGAGCTTGTCGTCAAACTCGCGCAGGCCGCGCCGAGAAGGTCGACGAGGCTCGTGCGCCTCCCACGTCCACTCGATGCGCGACAGGTCCTCGGGCGAGAGCGCCTCGCGGTGGAAGGTGATGCTGTGCCCGACCGTGAAGACGACGAGCCCGCCGTCAAAGAGCCACCGGCGCAGGAAGTTGGGCCCGCCGACCGCCGAGCTGGCTTGGCCGAGGAGCTTGATCGCGTCGATGCCGTCGACGCCCGGGATGAGGTCGAGCCAGCCGGCCCAGTGGCTGTAGACGCAGAGTGTGAGCGACTCGAGAGCGACGTGCGACCCGGCAGAAAGGTGAGAGGCAGAGCGACTCACTGGAGGGAAAGGAAAGGAGCCGAGCCGGCCGTCAAGTAGCCCGTTGCGTCGCCTCGAACGTCCATCTGGCGCAGCGCGGGAATCTCCTCGACGAGCTGCTCGAGCGGGATGCCACGAACCCATGCGGCGCAGTGCGACTGCAACTTGAGAAGGTCAGTTCGTCGAGCGCACCGACCTGAGGAAGGAGAAGTTAGGAGAGGGGAAAGGGGTGAGAAGGGGACGCACCACGATGCCGTCGCCGCCGAACATGTGCGCGAAACGAGAGGCGCAATCATCGACATGAGGCTGCATTTTGCGAACGAGCGACCGCGACAGGATGAGCCCGGCGCCACCGAAACCTGGACGAGAGGAGGGTCAGTGCGCGCTCATGCCGACAAAGACTTGAGAGAAAGGCAGACACGAGGACTTACCGATCTTGCCGAACGTCTGGAAGTTGCCGACCGTCTCGCTGTGCGCGCCGAGGAAGAAGTCCTCGCGCCAGTCGTACCCGGCGAGCATCTCGCGCAGCATCTCCGAGTCCGAGAACCACGTGTCGTCGTCGCCAAAGATGTACCACTCGACGAGCGGGGCGCCGTCCTGCCACCTGCGACGCTCGCTCTCGACCCACGCGTCACGGATGAGGCCGAGGACCCGCATCTCGTAGCGCTCGCCGGCGCGAGAGCTGTCGCGCATGGTGCACGAGAGTCCACGACGGCGAAACTCGGCATTGGCGAGCGACAGGCCCTTGCCGTCGCCCTCGCCCTGCGCGTCCGTGACGACGCAGCCGGGCGCCGTCGTCGCTGCCGGCTTGACGCGGCTCGACGACGAGGCAATGGCCGGGTCGACGTCGGGCGCCGACATGAAGTGGCGCCAAACAGGCGAGTACTTGACGGCGCGCTCGGGCGTAGTGCAGACCGAGAAGAACAGCTCGGGGCTGCGAGCGCCGGCGTGGCTCGAGGGCTCGAGGGAGGAGGACGGGTTCGACTTGGGCAGGATGGGGAGCGAATGGACGGACGGCGTGATGCACTGCTTAGGGTGGTCGAGTGCGACAGGGAGAGACGACGCGACGCCGTCAAAGAGAGGGTGGTGCTGGGTCGAAAGGGTCGGGTGGAACGGGGTCGACAGGATCGTGTTGTCGGGGTTGCGGTGAGGCGGCGCGTCGGCGGCGATAGGGCGAACGCGCACGACGACTCGATGTTGGTCCTCGCCCGGCGTCGCCGGCGAGACCAGCCCGCTCGCCTCGCACGAGTCGCCCCGCACAGCGGACTTGACCGTCCGAGCGACCTCTCGTGGCACGGCGCCTCGCGACAGCGACCACACCCAGTACACGCCGACGACGCCGACGAGGAGCTTTGTCCATCGAGTCGGCCCGGTCACTGAGCGCTTGGCGAACGAGCCGGCGAGGGAAGGCAGGAGAGGTTGCTCATGGCGGTGCAGGCGCGTCGCGCGGTCGTTCGGCGGCGGGTTCTTGAACATGGCGGCGTCAAAGGCGAGTGTGTGCGGCAGGTGCTCGAGAGCGAGAGTAGCTGTGCGCGCTCGGTGCCGGCACCGAGAGTAGGGACGCAGCGAGAGGGAGCGGGAGCTGGGACAGACGTCGGGCAGCGACGGCCACCTTGCGCAGGCCCGCCTGCGCCGCAGCAGCGGACGTTGCACCAGCCTGGGGTGCCAGGCAGCGCGGAGCTTCGCGCCCAACGGTCGGCGATGGCACCCCAGGGCAGCTAGTTCGCGGCCTCGCAGCACGGGGTTGCGCGCTCTTCGTCTGGCTCGCTGCGCGCTATGCGGGGCGATACGCAGAGGTGCGACGGGTCCGGCACCGCAGCCTGAGCAGCTTGAAGCAGTGCGCGTAGCGCGCACAGCTGTGTGCGGCGAGCGAGAGGCGAAAGCAAAAGCGCGAGCTGATGAAAACTGAAAAGCGGGGGCCCGCCGGTGACGACGTTGGCGACAGCGCTGCGCGCGAGAAGAGCTGGCGAGCGGCCAGGCAAGCTGCTCTGACGGCTCGCTTGAGTCTGCGAGCGCTTGCAAAGACGAGGAGGCGGCGGCGGGGCCGGCGGGAGAGGAAGCTGAAGCTCGAGCCCGGCTTCACGTTCTCTCGCGCACACTCTCGCAGGCGACGACGAGAACGAGAGACAAGCGGAACAAGCGCGCGTTGCAGAATGTATGGACAAGGACGCGGTGCCAGGAGGGGAGGGAAGAGCGACGCTCAGTGCTCGTCCTTCGCGACCGGCGGCGCGCCTCGGAAGTGGCTGCAGGGGCGACGTCAGGGCTGCACGCCTGGCACGAGGACGAGAGATGCTCACTGGTTGAACATGCAGCTGTCGGGTGGGCGAGAGGTCAGTGAGGACCGCTCGTTCGGATCGAGGAGGCGCGAGCGCTCGAGGGGGGAGGACAAGTGGACGCACGGAACTCCGTTCTCGGCCCGCCAGGTACACTTGCCCGTCCGCATGAGCTCCTGTTTGAGGCGAGTATTGTCAGTGTCTGGCCCGAGGCAGGCTGGGAGGGTGAGGGCGCACCTTGCAGTTGATGGTCGCGATCTCCTTCTTGAGCACGCGGCGGCCGCGGCTCGTCAGGTCGTCTGCGGGTGCGACGTGTCGGCGTCAAGGCTTCGGGCCGGGAAAGAGGCGATAGAGAGGACGAGGACGCACACGCGTGGCTCCTGTGGCAGCTCGGGAGGGTGCAGCCGTCGACCGAGAAGTAGTACCAGCAGCATCTGCGGGGCGGGGCAAGTGGGTCAGGACTCGCTCTAGCGGCTGCACGAGTCGGACGTACATCTGCGGGTCTGCGGGCGAGAGAAAGGTCGTGAGTCTGAGTCGCTCGAGGACGGGGAGAAGAGCCGCGACGCACTCTGGTCGAGGAGGCGCGCGGTCGGGTTGAAGCGGTGCCTCGACGTCGGCGTCGTCAGGCTGGCGTAGAACGTGGCCATGTCGGCGCCTTCAGGCGCAGCGACGGGTCGCTCGCTCATCGGGAGCTCGAACTTGGGCGTCTTGCCGGCGGCACGCTGCGGCAGCGCCGTCAACTTCTTGTCCGTCGCCTTGACGGCTCCTGCATAGGCGGTCGACGACGGCTTGTGGACCGAGGGCGACGAAGGAATGTCGGGGGAAGGAGAACGAGCGCGCGAGTCGAGGCTGGTGCCGAAGAATCGCGCAAAGCTGGTCACCCGCCACCCGCTCGTCGACAGAAGGTCCCGCTCGTCCTCGCTCTCGCTCGCGTTGACCCTGGACACAGTTGAAGAGCGTCAGGACGAGGTAGGCGCGGCAGAACCGTGAAAATGAGGGGACGCACAGGATGATCTTGAGCCCGACCTCGACGAAGAGGGCGACGTCGCCGGGCAGCAGCGCCGGGCACGTCTCGTACAGGCGTTCCAGCTGTGCGCCGACGATATAGATGTGCTCGAGGTTGGACGCGAAGCCGAGGGCGAGGAGGACCGTCGCGATGGCGGCTTCGACGTCGCCGGCCGTGTCGACGCACTGGTTGTTGGCCTCGCTCGCGAACCCGGCGCAAAAGTCGTCCCAAGTAGATGCCGACCTGCAGGAGAGGAGGTCAGTAACGCTCGCCAACCAGGGGGGGAGACAGAGAGGGCGCGAGACGCACGAGATGACCTTGCTGCGCAAGAGCTCCCTCACGAGCTCGACCTTGTTGTGAAAGAAGAGGGTGAGGACGACAGGACGACCAGGCTTGTCGCCACCAGCGACCGAAAAGTCTTGGGCTGGCGGGGAGAGAAGAGGGTCAGGCTCGGGCGGGTCGGCGAGTCGACCGCGTGGCGCACGCACCCGAAAGGTCTTTCTCGATCTCCCACCTGCGAGAGAGGGACAGGCGGCAAGCGTCAGTAACTCGTAAGGGACTAAGAGCGATCTAGGGACGCACAGGAGGCGTGTCGCGACGTCCTTGCCGCCGGTGTGCCCTTGCGAGAGTGGGCCCTGGTTGAAGAGGACGCTCGACCTGCACGTTGGGCAAGGTCAGGACGCTCGGGCAAGGTGCAGGGGTAGATGATGGACGCACCCATTGATGAGGCACAGGACGAAGGGCGGCCCGTCGTAGTACGTCTCGGGCACAGCTTGTGCGGCTCGAAGAGAAGCAGAGCCAGGTGCGCCCGCGGCCGACAGGCACGACGACCTCGACGCGATGAGCTGACGGCGGTCCTCGGCTTCGCGGGAAAGCTCCTCGTTGACCTGTGGGCGCCATCGTTAGCCGCCATCGCGGCGAACCGGACGAGAGAGAGCGAGAGAAGGCCAGGGACGCACCGCCTTGAACGACCCGACTTGCTCCTCGAGAGCTAGCCTGCGCCGCTCCTGCTCGCTCCTGCACAGCTCCTCGCCGTCTGACCCTTGCTCTTGACACTCGGCCAGAGGCGGTGGCGCCTCGAGCTGGTCGACCTCGGCCTGGAGCGTCTCGCACTCGTCGAGAAGGCGAGCGACGAAGCCGTCCTGCGACGCGCAGAGGCTGTGGGTAGAGACAGGATCAGGACCTTTGGACGCAGGTGAGAGGAAAGGGCGAGGACGCACGCTTGCCACTGCGGATGAAGAGGGCGAGAGGAGGAAGGGTCGGCGAGTCAGCTCGGCTCGAGAGAGAGAGAGAGAAGAAGGGGCGGGAAGAGGCAGGACGCACCGTTGTCGCACGCTCTTGCAGTGCCCGTGACATGCCCGCGACAGAGCTGGAGCAGAGCGCACTCGCGCGAACGAGTGAGGTGACGAGGAGGGGGCGAGCGCGGAGTGTCCGAGAGACGGACGGCTCGAGCCACCCGAGCCGACACGAGCGAGTCGCACAATTTCCGGCGCTCGACTTGTTCTGCGTAGAAGGCGACAAGCACGAGCAGCTAGTACGAAGCGCACGGACGAGCAGACTCGCGGGCAGGGTTTCTCTCGAATCGCGCTCGAACTCGCGACGATCGCGAGCAGGTCGCTGCTTGCACACTCGGCTAGACCGCTCTCTGGGGTCACTCGCCGCACAGTGCGCGCCTTGCAGCGCCACGGCCCTGCCGCCACGGGACGTAGCCACTCGCCTTCGGAGGGTGAGAGCGACGGCCCGCCGGCCAGCTCGCCGCCCGAGGCGGTAGTACCGACTCGCACTCGAGGCGGACGAGAAGAGCGTCGAGGTGATGGACGAGAGGGAGGGGACAAAGGCGGAGACGCGAACGACGAGGTGGACGAGGTGGAAGGCGAGGGCGGCCGGGCCGAGTCGAACGACAGGAGCTGTACCGACGTCTCGAGCGACATGAGAGCGTTGGACGGCCAGTCTATGACTCTGCGGGAGGTTGTGCGTGAGCGTGCGAGGCGAGACGGGACGAGAGGGGGAGGGGAGCGAGACGCACTTGTCGGCCAAGCTCCTGTGCCTGACCCTCCTGGGGCTGCGCACTGCGAGCCCTTCTGCTGCGAGAAGTCTCCCGACCGGCGTACCCGGGTCGCGCCCCATCCCGCTCGCCCTGGCGCCGAGAGCGCGGCGCGACTCGAGGGTAGAGTGTCGCGACGAGGACGGCGAAGCGGCGGCGGCGTTGGGCGCTTCGAGGGATGCCGCACTTGGGCGAGAGCGCATGCTGTACGGCGGATGAGGCATCGATGAATGGCTCTGAGCGTGTCGAGGCGAGCGAGACGGACCAAAGGTCGAGAGAGATGAGGACGCGACCGACCCTCGCTCCTCCCTCTCGACACTCTGCTCGTGCTTGCTCCTGAAGGCCTCCAGTCGAGTCTAGCAACGTCCATCATGGCCGCTGTGCCGGTCCTCGCCGACCCGAGCGCCATGACGCCCGGCGAGCGCACCAACGAGCTCGTCGCCTTGGTCCAGCGCGACGACTTGCTCGGCGTCCTGCTCGTCCTGCTCTACTGCGGCGAGGCCGAGGTCAACAGCACAGGTGCGTCCCCCTCTCACGGGAGAGCGAGTGGGAGAGCGTCGACCTCCCCCCCCCTCGTCCGGGTTGAACGAGCCAGGGCTGTCGAGACTGACCCTCTCCTTGTCCCTGCGACAGCGACCCTGTACCGCACAAGCCCTGTCGAGGCCGCCCTCCTGTACCCGACCCGTCGCACGCCCGTCCGCCGCCTCATCGCCGAGTGCCTCCTCCATCGAGGTGCGAGGACCGACCACCTCGCGCAGAACATGCCGTCCCGCGCCCTGCCCGCCATCGAGTCGATCCTGAGCAGCTGGGACGACGGTGGACGAGAGCGAGGTGCGTTGCCTCCTCCCTCTTCCCGTCCTTTCCGTGTCGTCGGCGCGCACGAGCAACCTCGCCTGACGCTGTCTTTCCCCCTCGCAGCGACGATCTCGTACGACCTGAGCTTCACGATGGACCTCTATGCCGCCGAGGAGTACCTGCAGGAGCACGGCTACGGCCCTGACGGCCCGCCCGACCCGCCGTCGGCCGACTCGTCGAGCGCTCCAGCCGTCCTCGCTCCTGTCTCGCACGCCGCGCCGACACCGCCCACGCCTCCTCACGACGACCCGCATCGTCCTGTCGACTCGCCCTCAAATACGCTGTACGAGCTCGTGCCTCAAGACGCGGCGACCCCGTCCCGCCGAGACGGTCCGAGCGACCACGCCCCGTCGCCGAGGGACGACTCGCGCCGCAGCGAGAACGCCCAGTGGCCCTCGCGCGTCGGGAGCGACCGTCACGAGCCTCGTCGCCGCTCTCGCAGCCCCGACCGTCGCCGCGACTCGTATGCGCGAGACGGCCGCGAGCGGCGCTCGCGCTCGCCCCGTCCTGATCAGCGCCGCCTCTTGCCTCGTCACCAGCGATCGCCCTCGCCCCGTCGTCAGCAGCGCGACATCTCCCCTGTGCGGCTTCCTCAAGCCCTGTCGAGCGCGTCCGCGACGGCTGGCGGCAGCGCCGTCAGTGAGAAGCCGTCTGCTGCGCTGGCCGCACCGATTCGACGCACTGGATCACGGTCGGCGACATGGTCCTGTCCATCGGCGAGCGGTGGATCTTCGAGACGCTCCTTGGCCTCGGCGTCCGGCCCTTCGACATGTTCATGTCGAAAAGTCGCAACAAGCCGCTGCGGTTCGCCTTTGTCGGGTTCGACAGCGCGTCCGCCGCCACCAAGGCGATGCGCGAGCTCCACGGCCTGCGTGTCGACGGCGTCAAGCTTTCGGCATCGCGCTTCTGCGACAAGCACACCGGGTCGACGCAGCCCCGCATCCCGGCTTCGGACTTGCTCGACCGCCGGTACATCGGCCCCCAGGCCCAGAGCGAGCTCGCGTCGTTCGAGCGCCAGCCCGGCCTCTTCTTCCTGCACCTTGCGCCGTCTACGACCGAGGTCGGCATCCGCAAGCTCCTGTGTCGCTACCTGTCGGCGTCCAAGGTCGGCTTCATCGAGGTCCGCCACGCCGGGCTCACCCGCACCGCTTTCGCCGACCTCGCAGACGACGAGTCGTGCCGCAAGGCCATCATCGAGTGCGACGGCGCCGTCGTCGACGGGTACGCCGTCCGTGTCAGCTGGCTCGAGCGCAGGAACTCGTGGCGCCCGCCTCGCAATTCTGCGTTCGTCCGGTCCTCGCCGCCCCGACCTATCCCAAGTACGTCACGACCACGTCCCCTGTCCCTCCTTCGTTGCGGTGATTGACTCGTCGTTCCACGCAGTCGACGATGCTGCCCTCAAGTCTCGCGCGAGCGAAGCCGGTACGCCCTCACCTCGGGTCCCGCCTGCCCCGACCACGCCGGGTTCGGCTCTACAGCCATCACCGCCTCAAAATGGCGCATACGGGCCCGAGGTCGAGCACCTGCGCACGATCGGCCTGTCGGACGAGCAGATCGTCGCCGTTCAGCAGCTGTGGCGTCCAATCGAGCGAGACGAGGTCGGCGGCCCGACCTTGGAGCGCCGCATGGACGTCAAGGTCGACTTTGGCTGCGTCGTCGAGGAGGACGCGAGGCTGGCGCTCGCGCAGAACGCGCGCGAGCCGGCGTTCCCCGACGACTCGGCGAGCCAGGCGCGGTACTCGGCATTCCTCGAGGCGCAAGTCGGCAAGTCGAGGGACTACTACACGGTCCGTCTGCTTCTCTTCCTTCTCTCCTCGACGATGCCGACGACGAGCCTGACTCTCCCTCCCCTCTCTCGTGCGCGCGCAGGTCTTCTTCGCCAAGCTCGCCGAGTTCAGCTCCTCGAGCGTCGCCTTTGCGGCCAAGGCGCGCAGCGTCGCCGAGGAGGCCCGTCGCGACATGAGCGCCACGATGGATGTCGGCGACGGGCGCGGCGTCAAGGAAGAGGAGCGGGCCTAGCCGGCGAGAGGAGCCGGTCGGTTTGAGAAGGAGGACGACGAGTCGCTTCTCTCGGCAGTGTTTTTGTACCACCCTCGCTTCGCAGTCCCCTTGTGCAACGTACACTTGAGTTGGTCTCGCCTCGTCCAGCGCTTCGAGAGAGTGACGATGCGTCCTTGCTGCAGGCTCTCGAACCGCTCGCTCCTCCTCGCTCTCGTCCAAGAGCCGGCCCGCTCGTCGCTCTCGGTCCTTTCTCGCTCTCGACGTTCTCGACGACTCGACGGGAAAGGCTGAGAGCGAGAGAGAGACAAGGGACAGAGTTGCACAGCGCCGCACAGACCTCCTGCTCGCTCACCTCCTCGCTCCCGCCTTGCCCGCCCTCGCGCCCACCGTTGTCCACCCTCCTTGGGCCTGGAACTTCTGCGGCTCGTAAACGTCCTCGAAGCCGTTCTCGTCGGCGCCAATGTCGTGGTTCCTGCGGGCGAGTAATCCGAGGTCAGTCCTCGCTCGAGGAACGGGGAAATAGAGAGAGAGAGCGCACTGGTCGCCGGGGCCGAGGATCGGCGTCGACGGCCTGTAGGCCCACCCGAGGTCGCCGCCAAGCCCGTGGTGGCTGCTGAAGTAGCGCAGGAAGCGCGCGACGCGCCACCCCGAGGTGAGGAGCGTCTCGCGCGCGTCGTCCGTCTCGCGGTGGTCGACCCTGCACGACGGGCGCTCGCACGAGGTCAGTCTTTGATGCGAGGCCCTGTGACAGAAGAGAAGGAGGGGACGCACAGGACGAGCTTGGGGACGAGGTCGACGTGGAAGAGGGTCGCCTTGTTCGGACGCAGGTCGGGCAGCGTCTCGTGCAGCTCCTCGAGGTTGACGCCGGCGAGGTAGATGCGCTTTACGGCACTCGAGCGCCCGAGAGTCGAGATGACGAGCGCCATGGCGGCACACGTGCTCGCCTCGCCGTGGTCGAGGGCGTGGTTGGTCGGGACGCTGTTGAAGCCGGCGAGGAACGAGTCCCACGCGCCGTCGTTCCTGTGGCCGCGCCGAGTCGTATGAGCGAATTGTACGAGTCTCCTGAACAGAGAGGGAGAGGCAGACGCACGAGCTGACCTTGCTCTGCTTGAAGTTGTAGAGAAGCGCCTTGCGGTTGTGCCAGAAGAGGCACAGCACGCTCGGCTGCTTCGCCGCCGCCGTATCGTCGTGCCCCTCCTCGAGCTCGATGTCGTGCTCTGCAGATGTGAGGGCTCAGAGTGTAAGTGTGCGGGCAGGAAAGAGGAACTGGTGGACGCACCTCGCAGGTCCTTTTCGACCTCCCACCTGCGAGCGCACGAGCCTCTGTCAGTAACGTGGGCCCGGAGCGACCGCACGAGGCAGGAGGGGGACGCACCTCACCCTCTCGCCGACCTCTCTTCCTCCCTCCCACCCGCGACGAACAAGCTGCTCGTTGAACGGCGCCGACGAGCTGCGAGCGGGCGACGGCGGGACCTTCCCAAGTCAGGTTCGAGCGCTTCTGAGCGCCGCTCAACGCCGAGTCTAGGTAGGGAAAAGGGACGAACCCGTCGATGAGAACGAGAATGACCGACTCGAGCCAACGCGCGGCATCGCCGGCGCCGCTCGCGCCGCCCGGACGAACTTGAGCTTGCGGGGCCGCCGCTTTGGCCGCCTCCACGTCGGCGGTGCGAGCGGCAATCCTCGAGCGCAGGTCGTGGACGCTGAGCTCGAGCTCGAGATTTATCTGCAGAGGATGTGCGAGTGTCAGCCCGGTGCGCGAGAAGCAGAGAGAGGGAGAGAACGAAAGAGACGAGGGACGCACGCCGTGGTACTGGTCGCGCTCCTGCTCGAGATCGCGGATCTGGCGCTCCTGCTCTTGCGTGGCAGCTTTGACGGGGGTGCTGGTGGGCTCGGGCTGAACAGCTTCGAGCCGCTCGATGTCGTGGGCGAGGGCCGACTGGTCGGAGATGAGGTCGGCGACGAGCGCGTCCACCTTGTCGAGGGCACTGTGAGGGGGCGAGGCAAGGATGAGCTCGGCTCAAGAGAGCTTTAGAAGGGCTGGGCATCCTTACCACTGCCACTGCGGGCCGAGGTGAGCGAGGTGAGCGGGGACGAGCGAGAGTGGGGGGAGGAGGAGGAGAACTGCTCGACGCACTTCGTCTGCCTTGGCCTGCACGTCGCTGAGCGACTCGCCGAGTTCGGGCATGTCGACTGGGTCGCACGAAGCAAGTCGACCGGGCAGAGGGGAAGCGAGGTGAGGACAGAGCGCCGAAAGCGTGAGAGCGAGACGTCGACCGAGCGAAGGCCTGGCGCGAACGGGCGGACTCTCGATGTGCACGCAGGAAGAGCATTACATCTCAAGCGCCCGACCAAGCCAATCTCGCCTCCCTCCTTGCTCCTCCCCCATCACGTCCTCCACCGAGCGAGGATCTTCTTGTCGCTGCAGGCGGGAAGTCGTTAGTCCAGGCGCTCGTGGGAAAGGTATAGAGAACGAAGGACGTACTGCGAGAACATGCAGCTGCGAGAGAGGCGCGCGAGAGATTCGTGTGAGTCGCCGGAACACGCGGACGGAGGAAGAAGAGGAAGAAAGTGGGGAAGCGAGGGACGCACATCTCGTCGCGTCGCGCTGCGTGCGTGCAGTAGCCAGTTTCGCGAAGCTCCTGTGGGACGAGCCGGTCAGGGAGGTGGCCGGGTGGGTGGAAAGAGAGATGGACGAGGCGGACCTTGCACGGGTAGGTCCCGACGTCCTCGCGCAGCCGACGCAGCTGCCCCTCGGTCATCTCGTCTGCGCCAGGGGGTACCGAGTCAGTACGTAAAGAGGTTCCTGCAAGAGAAAGGCGGGCGTACAGCCGTGCGAGTGGGCGCACTGGGCGCGAGTGCATCCCCTCGGCGAGAGGTAGTGGTGGAAGCAGCTGTACGGCGAACGGGGAGGTTAGACTCGGTCTCAAGAACGTGATCTGACGGGGGACAAAGACGTACACCATCGGATCTGGAGAGGGGAGAAGCCGGGAGTCGTCAGGCTCGAGGGACGAGGGGACGTAGGAGAAGGAGGGAGGACGGACCCTGGTGCAGGAGCCCTCGGTTCGGGTCAATCTTGACCGTCTGGCGCTCGGGCGAGAGCTGCACCTGTCGGATAGATGCGCTAGTCGTGCTCGCCGCTGCCGGACGCGACACTCCTTCGCTGCGAGGGATTCAAGATGAGCACGCGCTGGCGCTCTCGCGCAAGATGCCGGCGCACTAGATGCTCGCCGGAGAAGGGGGCTTGACGTGAATCGAGCGTTGACCCGGCTTGGAGGCGAGAGGCAGGGCGATCGACGACTCGAACACGCCGGCGAGCTCGATGGTCGAGTCGGCGAGCTCGCCCATGGCCGGCAGGGGAAGATGACGAACCCTGTCCGACGCCATGAGAGCTTAGTACGTTAGCCATGAGGGTTTAGTTCGTTAAACATGAGAGCTTAGTACGTTAAACATGAGAGCTTAGTAGAAAGGCCTCGCCGAGCTGAGCGGTCGCGTCGGGCTGCTGCTCGACGACGTCGCTGACGCCGTGCTCCGGGTGGACGCCGGCGAGGTAGACCTGCTGCACGTTCGACATGAAGCCGACCTTGCTCAGGACGGCCGCCATGTGCTCCTCGGCGGGCGCGCTGTCTGGGAAACAGGGGCTCGAGCGCGGTCAGTCCTGGTCCGCTCGACGCAAACACGAGGCGAGAGAGGTGGGACGCACTGGCGACGTCGATGATGAAGTTGCCCGTGACACGCGAGAAGCCGTCGACAAAGTTGCGCCAAGTAGACGGGTTGCTGCGAGGGGGGAGAGAGCTCGGGGAGTGAGGATGCGCGACGGGGAAGACGAGGAGGAGAGGGGGCGCACCTGATGACACGGCTGCGCTCGAGCGACGGGATGACCTGCAGGCGGTCGTAGTACAGGAAACACAGACCCTTGAGCTCGCCCTCGGTCGAGAGGCTGCTGATGTCGAGCTCGATCTGGCCGCTGCGGGCGCAGGGGCGACGTCAGGGCTCGAGTCGTCGTCGCGCTTAGGGCACGGACAAGGTGACGCACCGCAGAAGAGAGGACGCCTCCCTGCCGCCCGCCGTCCCCTTCTGGATGAGCGCGTCCGAGAAGGGCGCGACCGTGCTGCAGGAGGAAGACGGGCCCGACGTGAGCGAGGGCGCAGGGCACGCGATAGAAGGGGGACACAGGGCGCACCCGTTGATGAGGACGAGAACGAGCGGCGGGCTCCTGTCGGCCTTGGCGCGCACGCCCGCCTTGAGCGGCTCGACGGGCTGGGTCGACCGGAGGTTGAGCTGGGCGAGCTGGGCGTCGAGGTTGGCGAGCGTCTTCTCGGCTTCTTCCTGCGCCTTGAGGTGCTCCTGGTAGGTCTGTGTGAGAGTCGAGTGTGAGCCCAGGATCGAGGGTGAGGGGCCTAGTCGAGCGGGAACGCACCTCGCGAGCCTGGGCGACCTGCGCCTCGAGCTGGCCGATGCCGACAAGCCTCTCCTGCTCCGCCCTCGCACTCGCACTCTGCTCCTTGAGAGCCGACGACTGCTGTTGGGCCTCGGCGAGGCGGTGCTGGAGCTCGGCGCGGTGCTGGAGGAGGGTCGCGACAAAGTCGTCCTGCGCCGTGATCAAGCTGGGGGCGGGGCGGGGATGGGGAGCGAATCAGGGTACGCCTAGGGACTCGGAAAGTACGAGGGACGCACTCTTGCCACTGCGCGAGCGACGTGCGGGTCAGTGGCTCGTCACCGAGGGGGGAGGACGAGAGCGAGGAGGGACGCACCGTCTCGCAATCGCGCTCGGTCTGGTCCTGGACCTGCTGGGCGATAGAAGGAGCGGCACCGACCATGCCGGACTGCATGCTGAGCAGGCCAGAGGCAGAGCGAGGGAGAGAGAGCAAGCGAGAGATGAAAGCGAACCGAGAGACCAAGAGCACGCTCCTCGCCTCGCTCGGGCACAGTCTGAGCCAGGCTGTGCGTGTTGGCAGAGAGCACAGGTCCGCAACACACCCGCACTGCCCTCCCCTGCGAGAGGACTCGCCCTCGTCGATGGGAGAACCTGCTCTCCTCGCTCTCATCGCAGCTCGCCAGCCGCACGCCCGCTCTCGGCCTTGCTCTCGCGCAGACCTACCTTCGGCCTCGCCAGCGACTTCGATCTGGCGTCCTCCAGGAGCTACGCGACCTTCCCGCGGCCGTCGCGCCCTTCGTCCGCCCGCCCCTCCCCCACAGCCTCCGGCGCGGCGACACCTCTGCCCGCTCAACCCCTCGCCATTGCCCAGCACGACGCCTCGACCTACTCTCGACTCGTCGCCTCCCTCGGCCCGTCCAGCTGGGGGACTGTCGCCAGCCCGCACCGGCAGTCGCTCCCGGCGGTCGACGCCGGTCGGCAAGGCGGCCTGTGGGAGGCGGGACGGTACCGCACGCCGGCAGAACGCGCAGAGCACGAGGGCAACCCGGAGAGCTGGGGCGTGCTCACGACGGCGCTCGGACGGGCGAGCGTGAGCAGCGAGGACGCGGGCGCCTCGCCTCGTCGGACGACTCGGCGCAAGAGCAGGTCGAGCTTGCGGGTCCAGTCGTCGAGCAGGGAGCGGGTCGAGCGCCCACGAGCGCGCACGCTCACCGAGTCGACGCTCCAGGAGGAGCCCGAGACGTACTCGGTCGCCGACAGCTCTTTCGATCTCGGCGCCGGCTCGGACGAGGCGGCGGGGCAGCAGGGTCGGGACGGGGCGACGGCGGGCGATGGCGACGCCAAGAGCCGAGCGAGTGCGCCGTCGTTGCAGGAGGAGAGCGGCGCGGACGAGGGAACGGAGGACGACGACGACGAGCACCCGCCTCTCCTCCATCGAGCCGGTCCTGCCAGCTCTTCCGCCCGGTCGATCCTCGGCCGCCACGTCTACCCGCCCTCGCCGCTCGTCAAGAACATCCTCAAGTGTGTCCTCGCCTACTACATCGGCGAGCTGTTCACCTTCGTCCCGATCCTGTCGGACCTCGTCGGCGAACCTTGGGACGTCGACGGCCCGGTCCGCAACGCGCACGTCGTCGCGACAGTCGCTGTCTACTTCATGCCGGCGCGCACCATCGGCGGCATGATCGAGGCGGACCTGTTCCTGCTTGTCGGCGCGGCCTACGCGGCGTTCCTCACGTGCGGGTCGATGGCGTCGGCCGTCCTCTTTGATCATTACGACCTCCTGGTGCGTCCTCGTCCTCTCTCTCTGCGTCAAAGGCGTATCACTGACGTGCTGCACACACAGGGATACGGCCACGCCTTCATCCTCGTCTGCTGGCTCGGCGGCGGGTACGCGGCGCTCGCGTACGTCAAGGTCGCGTTCGGCAAGCCGACGGTCGCGACGGCGTGTTCGCTCGTGTCGCTCGTCTGTTCGTCGATCCTCACCAAAGAAGGCGCCATCCACGTCGGCAAGTTCGACGGTCGGGCGATCTCGCAGGTCCTCCTCCTCGCCGCGTTCGGGTCGGCCATCTCGAACGCCATCTGCTTCCTCGTCTGGCCCCAGAGCGCGACGAGCAAGCTCCAGGCCGACCTCAACAATACCCTGTCGTCCTTCAGCACCCTCCTCGACATGCTCACCAAGACGTTCCTCCTCGAGTGCGCCTCCCTTTTCTCACCCTCTCGGTCCAGGTTCACGAGCTCACTCTCCTTGCCTCTCCTTGCGCAGCACCGACTTTTCGACGAGCCCCGAGACCCTCAAGAAGGCCATCGACGCGCACCAAGCCTCGTTCACGACGCTCAAGGCGTCCTTGTCGCAGGCCAAGTTCGAGGTGTTCGACTCGCGCATGGCCGGCACGTCGACGTCGTACGACCAGGTCGTCGCGAGCATGACTCGTCTCGCTCAGGGCCTGACGGGCATGCGCGCAGGGTGCGCGCTCCAGTGGGAGCTGCTGCGGGCGAGAGACGAGGGCAGGCTGGACGGCAGCGAGGTGGGCGGCGAGGCCGTGAGCGACGACAAGCGGGCCGAGCTGCTCGACGAGATGGTCGTTCTCGAGCGATTCAGGGAACGAGTCGGGCCGTCTCTGCAGCAACTCTCGGTGCGCCCCTGCCCGCTCTTCCCACTCTCGCGAACGACCGCTCACCTCCCTCGACCGCGCGCGCAGACCATCAGCAAGCAGTCGCTCTCGTTCCTCCGCACCTCGTTCATCCGCACCAAAGCCGGCTCGAACGCCCGAGCTGAGCTGCGCCGCGACGACCCCGAGACTGCCCTCTCGGCCGACGAGCTCTTGACGCTCCAGTCGGAGCTCGAACAGAGCCTCAACCTGTTCAAGCGCGAGCACTCGAAGGCGGTCAAGGTCCTGTACCGCAGCCTGCCCGAGAAGACGCTGTTCGGCGGCGAGGGCCTGCCGGACCCGTTCGCCAACCCGTCGTCGTCGGCGACGCAAGCCCCGAACGACAACCTCTTCCGCATCTACCACTTGTGCGCCTCATCTTTCCCTCTCTCTGGCAAAACCGACGCACGTTCCTGATATCCACATGCGCAGCGCCTTCAACTACGAGGAGTGGGCCGGCGAGCTCCTTCACCTCCTCGACGTCTTCATCCACATCCGCGCGACCGAGGAGATCGTCGAGCGCAAGCTCGTCGACCGTCGGCGTCGGTGGGGCCCAGTCGCCGGCCTCGCACGCTTTGCGGGGCTGCTCGTCGGGTCCAGGAGCGCGAGGGCGGCCGAGACGAGCCTGAACCAGAAGGCGGCCCTCCTTCGCAAGCAGTTTTGTGCGTCCTCGTCTTCCCCTCGCGGTCCTTTCGCCGGTTCCTAATCCTCCATCACGTCGTTACTGACTCTACTCCCGTGTCTCGTCGCAGCTCGAGCTCTACAGACGCCGGCTCGCAAGCGGCGGTCCGTCTTCCCGCAAATCGTCGATGGCGCCCTCTCGTCGCACCAGGTCGACGGCGCCAACCTGACGTTCGTCGCTCGCCTCAAGCTCAACTTCTGGCGCGTCGGCTGGCAGATGCGGCAGCCGGCTGTCCGCTTCGCCGTCAAGACCGGCTTCGGCGCCGCCGTCCTGTGCTCGGCCGCCTTTATCCCCCGTCTGCGCCCGCTCTGGCTCGAGTGGCGCGGCGAGTGGGCCCTCATCTCGTTCATCGTCGTCATGGCCCCCGCACTCGGCGCGACAAACTTCCTCGCCGCCGGGCGCGTCGTCGGCACCGCCACGGGCGCACTCGTCGCGGTCGCGTGCACGTTGGCGTTCCCCGAGAATGCCTACGTGCTGCCCGTCCTCGGCGCCGTCTTCTCGGCGCCGTGCTTCTACGTCGCCATCACTCGAGTGCGTCCCCTCTCTCTCGGTGGCTGTCCTTTTGCCAGCGTCGCTCACCTCCTGCTCGCCGCCCGCAGCCGCAGTACGCGCCGGCCTCGCGCTTCGTCCTCCTCACGTTCAACCTCACGTGCCTGTACTGCTTCAACTTGCGCGAGGCCGACATCCCGGTCGAGTCGATCGCGCTCCATCGTTTCGCTGTGCGTCCACCTTTCGCCGTCGGCGAGACGTTGCCCCGGCCTGACTCGTGTCCTCCCTCGCCCGCAGGCAGTCACTGTCGGCGTGCTCTGGGGCCTCCTCGTCAGCAGCTACGTCTGGCCGTTCGAGGCGCGTCGAGAGCTCCGCAGCGGGTTGTCCGAGTACGTCCTCGCCTCCTTCGCGACCTCTGAGTCCCTTTAGCCTGACCTTCTGCACGTACAGGTTTTTCCTCAACGCGTCCTACCTCTACGAGCGCATCGTCAAGGCCTACTCGTTCGGCGACTCGCCCGTGTCGCGCCAGTCGACGATCCAGGGCATCTCGAACGAGCGCACGGCCCTCGTCCCGCCGCAGCCCGACGAGGACTTTGTCGCCATGGAGATCGAGCTGCAGCTCACGCTCATCCGCGTGAGCGGGCTGCTCGCGTCGACCAAGCACGAGCCACGGCTCAAAGGCCCGTTCCCCGTCCACGAGTACCGGCCCGTCCTTGCGGCGTGCCAGGCCATCCTCGACTCGCTCACGGCCATCGTGCGCATGACCAAGCGCGACGCATGGCTCGCCGTCATACGTCGCGACTATGTCCTGCCTGTTAATCGCGAGCGGCGCGAAATGGTCCGTCCTCGTCCCTCGCCCCTTGTGACCTTCCCAAACTGACGAGGATGCTGCCCGTGCAGGTCGGCAACGTCGTCCTCTTCCTCTCTCTCCTGTCGTCCGCCGTCGTCCTCAAGACGCCGCTGCCCGCCTATCTACCGCCGGCAGCAGAAGCGCGCCAGCGACTCGTCGCCCGCCTGCGCGACCTCGACATCGTGCGACGCCGGCTCGTTCGGGGCGGCAGCGAGTCGCTCCTGTACTACGCCTACACGACCTCGATGAAGGTGCGCCGTACTCTCTCTCGCTCTGCCGCCTCGAGCACGAGCCGACATTCCTCTCGACGTGCAGGACGTGATCTCCAGCTCAACGACATCGGCGCAAGCTTCCAGCGTCTCTTCGGCATCATTGGTCCGCTCTCATCTCTCTCTCTCTCTTTGCCTCGCGAGACATCCTGACGCTGTGAGTTGCAGGCGGATCCTCGGTCGCCGACTTCGAGGCCCTGTTCGACGCCTCGCCCGTCACGCCTTACGACTCGAGCGGCGACGACGAGCCGACGACCGACTCACGCAGCTCTGCGTGACTATTTTCCCTCTCTCATACTCCCTCGTACTCTCTCGCGCTCCTTGTACCCCATCGCAACCCTTAATCTCGCAATTGCAACGCTAGACAGTCCTCCTCAGCTCGACCTCGTCCGGCTCTCCTTGGCCTTCTGCTCGCGCGAGGCCGACACGATGTGGCGAGACTGGCGGATGGCGTCGACTGCGAGGCACGAGAGAGTGTCTCAGGAAGGGCGACCTTGAAAGAGAGAGAGAGAGATAGAGAGTCGGAAAGGAGCGCGAGAAGGGAGAAAGGAGGACGCACTCGTCCTGGTCGCCGAACGGAGGTCGAGCTCGCCGCGAGCGAGCTTGAACGCCTCCTCCTCGACCTGCTCCTCGCTCGGGTTGGCGACACCCTGCGCCTTGAGGTCCGCCTCGGCCTTCTCGGCGAGCCCCTCGTCGTCGGCGTAGTTGAGGGCGACAGCGATCGAGAGGAGGACGTCGACGCGGTACTGGCTGCGCTCCGAGCGTTCGAGCGCCTCGTACCGCTCCGAGCCCGTCGGCCGTTGCCCGTCGTCGCTCGCTGCGCCGCTCGCCCACCGGTCGATGGCGTCCTGGACCGTGTCGAGCGCCTCGGCCGACAGCTCGCCGAACGCCGACATCTTGGCCAGGTGCTCGCGCTTGCTGCCGCCGGCGTGGAAGGCGTTGTTGAACGGGGCGGCGAGGGGAAGCCGTTCCTTGATGATCTTGTCGAAGACGGGCGGCAGCGAGGTCGAGCAGTACTCGCGCAGGTTGGCGACGTACGACTTGGGCACGGCGAGCTCGGTCTTGCCCATCTGCGAGGACCGAGAGAGGGTCAGTGATCGAGTTGAGAGAGAGAGAGAGAGAGAGGGAGAGAGAGAGAGAGAAAGGAGGACGCACCTCGACGGTGAAAAAGGCCGAGTCAGTCGGCGTGAGGAGGTCCTTGCGCGACACCTTGCCGACCGAGCCGTCCGTGTACTTGACGACGAACTTGCCCGGGGTTGCCCGCTTACCGCCCTTGCTCGGCGACGGCTGCTCGTAGCTCGCCGCTCGAGCGGCCCACCACGTGCGCTGCTGGCGAGCGAGGCAGAAGAAGGGGAACCGGACGCTGCGCACGCTCGAGCGACGTCAGGACGATTCGCAGCGCGAACGAGAAGAACGAGAGGAGGGACGCACCCTGCGTCCTCGCCTCCTCCCTCAAGCCACCGCTCGTCGTCGTCGAGCACTGGCGCTTTGACCTCCTCCTCCTCGCTCGACTCGCTCGACTCCTGCTCCTCGACTGCGACGCGCGCCTGGCTGCTCGGCTTGTTGGCGCTCGTGCCGATGCTCGACGGCGGGAGCAGGCCCTCGTCGTCGTCGTCCGACTCGCCCGGGCCCGCGTACTTGATGACGGCGTCGCCGAGCACGCTCTTGAAGGCGGCGTCCGAGGGCGCCGACACGTCCGGCGAGTCACGGAAAGTAGCGTGGTCGAAGCGGAGCTTGAGCTGGTGGCGGAAGGTGACGAGGTCGTCATGGTCGGGCGAGGTGAACTCGATCGTGTCGGAGCTGGAGGAACGCTCAGAAAAGGGTCAGGAGCGCTCGAGAGCATGGACGAGAGAGACAGAGACGCACCTGTGCTCAAGGATGGTCGAGTCGGTGTCGAGGAGGAGCTTGATCCGCAACGGCGTGTGCCAGTGCGGGCAGTCGAGCTGCAGGGTCGCGAAAGGGTGAGCACTCGCGCAAGAGACTGAGCGAGAGAGCTCGACGCACTTGCGCAGGCCACCAGAAGCCCTCCTTGACGCCCGCCTTGCGAATGTGAGCCCACACGGGTCGGTCGCGCGGGAGCGCGTTGAGGTTCCAGTCGCGAGCGCGCTCCTCGGACGTCTGCGGCGGTGCGGCGCGGTCGTTGCCGCCGACCTGGCTGCCGAACGAGCCGGGAGGAGGGAGCCACGAGCTCTTTGTCGGCGAAGAAGAAGGAGCTGCGAGGAGGCAAAGGGCGTGTCAGGGTATCGACCCTGAGGAAGGAGCCGAGGTAGGAGGACGGGCGACGCACGAGCAAGCTGCTTCGTCCTGTTCTTGTCCTTGACCTCGATCGACTTGGACGGCTTGGCGCGCTTGGGCGTACCGGTTGACGACGAGCGCACTTTGACCTTGGTGGGCGGTCGAGCGCGCTTCTTGGGCGACAGGTGCGGCTTGGCCCTCGACGCGTCGTCCGACTCGACGTGCGAGTCCTCCTCCGTCGCCTCCGACTCGCTTAGAGATGAGGACGAGGATGAGGAGGCCTCCTTGAGCGTCGCGCGCATGCTCGAGCGGCGCCTCGTCCCGCGGTTGGCCTCAGCCGCCGCGAGCTTGAGCGCCTGCGTCTCGTCCCACTCGATGTCGTGTCCCGCCCCCTTCTTCTCTCGCTCCTTCTCCTTGCCCTTGCCCTTGGCCGCGGCAGGGACCTTGCCCTTGCCCCGCCGACTCGCCGCCCGGTCCTCCTCCTCGTCGCTCGACGAGCTCGACCTCGCCGCCGACCCTCGCCTCGAGCCGCCCTTGCCCTTGCCCGACGCCGCCATCGCCGCCTTTGGCGCGCGCCCGACCGACCCGGGCGGCTTGGCCGCGGCGGCGACCGCCTTCTTGACGGTCGGCGGCCGCCTCTTGGTCTTTGCCGGCGCCGACGCTGCCGCCGCCGCCGCCGCTCCAGCGACGCGCACCTTCTTCTTCGGGCTCGCGGCGAGCTCGGTCGCGCTCGAGCTGCCGGGCTGCCCGCTGTCGCGCTCGGGTTCCTCGTCGTCGCTGCTGCTCTCGCCGTCGCTCGAGCTGTCGTCCTTCATGGCGGGGACAGCGGCTGCGGCCGAGCGACGAGGACGTTTGCCGCGCACCGCCGAGGGAGGTGCGGGCGAGGTGCGGTCGAGCTGAGACGGCGGGAGCGAGGTGAGGGGGGACGAGGGCGGGATGGGCTCGTGCGGCGGCTGTGGGTGCGGCGGCTCGGTGTGGAGGGGGAGGGTGGGGCTCGCTTTGGTGCGAGAGGGTGCAGGCGCGGTGGTGGAAGGGGTTGAGGCGGCGACAGGCGGGTTGGGCGAGGCGAAAGGGGAGCCGCTCGAAGGGCGCGAGCGAGGCTGTGGAAACAGCGTCAGGGACGCGTTCCCGGGCGAGTGCAGGACATAAGGGGGAGGTAGACGCACTGCAGGAAAGTCGAACTCGAAAGGCTGGTCGGTCCTCGCCCGTCTCTGCCCCTCCTGCTCCGGCTCGCTGCTCGGCTTGGCCTTGCCCTCACCGCCCTTGCCCGTCGCCGCCCTCGCCGACCCGCCGCTCGCCCTCGGCATGCCCACCGCCGACCCTTTGGCGAGCGGGATCTCGACGTACGCGAGCGTCTGTACGCGCCGGCCCGTGGTCGACACGCCGGACGAGCGCCGGTGGGTCGGCGCGCCGCCGAGCGCTAGCTCGTCGTCCGAGTCGGGCGCGGCGGCATCGGGGCCGGTGCTCATACCGCGTGCCCGGGCACCGGCGAGCGAGAGCGGCACGGACGGTGCGCGGCTGCCGCGGCGCGATGTGGTGAGCGGCGCGGCGGTCGACGACGACGACGAATGCGGGCCGACGTTCTCGCCGATGGCGCCGCCGCCGAGCGCGGCCGAGGGCGTCTTGGACCGAAAACGAGAGCGCGTAGAGGTCGGCGAGCTCTGCAGGCGGTCGCGGCTCGGGCCGGCGGATGGGCTGCGGGTCCTCGACGAGCGGGCCGCCGACGACGAGGCCATGATGCGCAACGGGTCGGGCGAGTCATCGGCGAGCTCGGTCTCGGTGAGGTGGTGCTGCGAGGAAGGGTGGGCGGCGGGCGAGAGGGTCGCCATGGCGGCCGTGATGGTGTGTTGCGACGAGGACGAGGACGAAGGGAGGGCGCCGAACGAGGAGGTGCGCGGCGGCGTCGCGGGCCTTGGGGGCTGTGCAGCAGGCGGCATGGCGTCGTCTGCGCTCGAGGCCGGCTGCAGCGCGCCGCCAAGTGGAGCACTCGACGCCGGGTCGTCAGCGTGCGGGGTCGCGTCGGTGGTGCGCGTGCCGTCGACCATGGGCGAGTCCTCGCCAGGCGCGGGAACTTCGCGCACGGCTGCCAAGGGCCCGGCGTGCGCGTCGGCGAGCGCGTGCATGACGTCGGTCGAGACGGAGAGCGCGTCGGCGAGGAGGGGAGCGGGGACGGGGTCGAGCTCGTCGGCCATGCTGGACGCGGCTGAGGGTGCTGCGGCGAGGTACTCGGTGTGCTCCAAGACGCGTTATGCTGCTGGCGGACGCGTCGGCGGTGCTGGCGACGAGGCGGAGCGCGACGAGGACGGTGGGGAGGGAACGAGGCCGGACGAGGGGCGGTCGCGGCGAGGTGCAAGGGCAAAGGTGGCTGCAGCTCGTGGATGTACTCGACTGCTACACGCTGTCGCTCGGTGCAGAGGAGCTGGCGGAGGTGAGGGAAAAGACGCGCTCGCTGCCGGCCGCCGTCCGCCTCGACACCGACGACGTCTCGCTATTCTCGCCGAGCCACTTCAGCCAGAGCATATTTCCTTGCTCCCTGATAGCTCTCGCTCGCGTGCAAGTGTCGAACGCCGTGTCATTACATGTTGTGCTCGCCCGAACCTGCGCCGGCACGCAAGGCTGCCGCCGTCGCCGTGACCTCCTCTGCCGCGCTCGCGCACGTAGTACAGAGACAGAAGCACAGGCGAGGCTGTTCGAGAGCCGCTGAAGAGACAGCGCGAGTAGCGCGCCCGCGAGTCGGCGCCGAAAGCAGAGCAGGCGCTCTGACCGCTCCACCTGGCCCAGCTCGAAGCCGACGGGAGCAGAGACTGGCGCTCCGCGACCCGACAAGGGTCACGGCAGTCCTGAGCGAAGCGAGAGCATCTCAACCGCCCGGCGAGAAGCAGGCTCCACCGGGTCGAGGGAAGGAGGAGGGCGGGGCAGCCAGCGAGCACACAGCCGTCGAGAGCGGCAGCGCCGCTGTCACAGAGCAAGTCCTGGTGGACGACGCAGGCCGTGCTGAGCTGGAGAGCGCGGCGAGGTGTTGTTGTCGTCGAGGATCGAGAGGCCGATCGCCATTGATGTGGCCGAGTGGGCGAGGGTGCTGGGCGGTCCTGGCGAGTTCGCGCAGTGCATGGCCTGGCGTGCAGTGGTAGCTGGGGCGTGCAGTTGCCGTGGCAGCAGCCCTCGACGAGCGCAGGCCGAGCCGTTCGAGTGTTGAGCGAGGGGGGGAGATGAGGAGGAGGCGGTCCGATGGGGGGCGAGGGGAAGAGGGTGACGCGACGGGGACGATGGACGGTGGTATGTGTGGCCCTGTCGAGCTGGCGAGCATGCGCAAGAGCTGGCAGAGCGACTTGTCGGGACGAGAGCGAGGTCCCGGTCGAGCCAGCCACCTCGCTCTCTCCCTCTCGTCCTCGTCCTCTACCACTCTCGACCTTGCTGTCGATCGAGCCACCTGTGCGGCACCTCCGTCCAGCACCGCTCCCTCTCGCCGCAGAGCGCCACCCGCACCGCCGCGCCGGTCCACACCTCCACCTCCCCCCTGGTTGTATCGAGCCACCAAGGCTCGCCTCTCGTCGCCCAACCTGGCCACCATCGACCAGAAGACGTTCGCGAGCACCTTCACTGGCCTCAAGAGCACCGCCATCACCGCCGGCTGCTTCATCGCCGGTGGCCTCATCCTCAAGGAGACCCTCAGCCGCCTCCGTCGCTACTCGGACGAGGATGCGCGCCGCGAAAAGGGAGAGCCGACGCGCGATCGAGGCGTAGAAGGCTACGCCATGGGTGCGTCCCCCCTGCCTTGGCCGCTCTCGTCCCTCTCGAAGCGCCCCGACCAGCCGTCGAGCACCCTCCCAGGCGCTCGAGGCACTCCCTGCACCTCCAGCAGCGCACACTAACTCTTCCCCCTCCCCGCAGGCTACATCTACCGCGCACGCTCGTACGTCGCCGGCCCCAAGACGCCCAACTACGGCCGCCCGCTCGCGTGGGCGCTCGATGCCTACAAGCTCCCCCAGTCGTGGTACGAGACGCACTGCGGCGCCGACGCGACCCTCTACGTCCGGTTCCTCGGCGGGTGCTTCATCTGGATGACGTGCCTCGCGTGGACCCTCTTCCCGATCCTCATGTCGATCAACTACCTGTACGCCAAGTCGTCGTTCGACAGCGACGCCATCGACCGCGCGTCGCTCACGGCCCTCGTCCAGGGCACTCGCGGCCTGCACCTCCTCCCGATCCACGTCGTCGCCGTGTGGATCGTCATCCTGTCGTGGATCGCCAACCTCACCTGGCTCGGTCACGGCGCGCTCCGGGTCCGCCGCAACGAGCTGCGCCGCCTCATCCGCGACGACGCCGAGCGCCACCAGCTGTCGACGATCGGCACCATCGACGCTGCGCGACCGCCGCAACCGCCGGCGCCGACCCTCGACCTCGACCCGTGCATCCCCGACAGCGAGATCGGCTGGCGGTACCGCACTTGCCTCGTGCGCAACATCCCGCCGCTCCTCCGGTCAGAGCAGAGCCTCCGCGAGTACTTTGAGCGGTACTTGCGCGACGTGCCTCCTACCGCCGGCGCCGGCGCCGCCGCCGTCGCTGCCCCGACCTCGTCCAGCTCGCCGCCCGACCCGGTCGAGAAGCACGAGTACCCGCCGACCAAGAACAGCGGCGGGTCGACGCCGACCTCGCCCGGCTCAGCCGAGATCGTCGAGATCGTCCTCGTGCGGCGCCACACCGAGCTCAACCAGCTGTACTTTGCGCGGTACCGCGAGGTGCTCCACCAGCTCGAGACGGCGCACGTCGAGCTCGCCCGGGCCGTCATGCGGTGGGTCCGCGAGCGGTTCGAGCGCGACGAGGCGCTGCGGGCGGGCAAGAAGCCCAAGGACCGCAAGCGCGCGTGGTGGAAGAAGCACGTCCGCCGGCAAGATGTCGAGCACGAGGCGAGGGAGGGCGACGACGTCCTCCTCGAGCGCCTCAAGCCGTTCCTCGACTCGAGCCGCAGTGCGCTCCCGTCGTCCATGACGACCGGCGCCACCGCCGAGACGCTGTGGGAGGCGCTGCACGACCTCCAGGCGCACCACCCGTCGATCCTCGACCGGTTCCAGCCCCTGTTCCGCCTGCGGTACTTCTCGGCCGCCGTACCCGCCATCGACTACTTCCTCCTCAAGCACAACCTCCTGTACTCGCTCATCGAGGACAAGCGCGCGCACCCCGAGGCCGTCGAAGCTCTCATGGCTAACGTACTAAGCTCTCATGTTTCACGTACTAAGCTCTCATGTTTGAACAATAAAATTAATATAAATCAGCAACTTAAATAGCCTCTAAGGTTTTAAGTTTTATAAGAAAAAAAAGAATATATAAGGCTTTTAAAGCTTTTAAGGTTTCACCTCGCTTTCGTCCGACTTGCTGCGAGGGACGCTCCTCCAGGCGCTCATCTGGGCCATCACGATCATCTGGGTGCGTCCCCTCGTCTCTCTTCCTCAGACGAGCGCGAGGTTACTGACGCTCGGCGGCGTCGGCGCAGGTCCTCCCCATCTCGATCCTTATCGGTCTTCTTTCGCTCAACTCGCTCCGCGATCACGTACCGAGTCGTGCGTCCTCTCTCTCCCTTCTCTCGACGTGCCCAACTGACTTGCGCTGCCCCCTGTCGCCGCAGTCGCCAACTTCCTCGTCGCCAACCCGGTCGCCCAGTCGATCGTCACCTCGTTGCTCCCGACGGCCCTCATCGCGCTCCTCAACATGTACACGCCGACCGTCATCGGCCTCATTCAGCGTCACGGTCGCACCATCATCACCGAGTCGAAATGGTCCCGCCTCACGCAGTCGTCGTACTGGTCCGTCCTCGCACCTCTTCCCTCGTCCCTTCTTCCCTCGTTCCTTCTCCCTCTCGTTCTCGATCTTCCTCTGACCTGCTCCGCCTCCTCACACGCAGGAAATTCGTCGTCATCAACCTCCTCGTCGTCTTCACGATCGGCACGACCGCCTTTACCGCCCTGCTCAACGCGTTTTCGTCGCCGACCTCGGTCCTCGACGTCGTCGCCGGTGCCTTTCCGCGCGCCGGGACCTTCTTCGTCTCGTACCTCCTCCTTCAAGTGGGCGTCCAGAACGGCGTCGAGACGTCCTTGCTCGGCATCTCGTGGATCAACCATGCATCGATTCGCAAGTACGTCGCGCCGCGCAAGCGGGCCCTCGAGAACATCCCGAGGTTCTTCGGTGCCCAGACGTGGTGCGTCCTCGTCCCCTCTGTCAGTCGTCGTTGCGGTTCGACGAGCTCACCTAGTCGCCTCGTCCGTCCGCAGGCTGCCTAACCACCTCTTCGTCATCTCGATCTGTCTCATCTTCGGTTCGTCCCCTTCTTCTCTGCCCGCCTTCCTGTCGACGTCGAGCGTACACGAGCTGAATTGCGCGCACCCGCAGCCGTCCTGAACCCGCTCGTCCTCGCCATCGGGTGGGTCTACTTCGGTTTCTCGACCATCGTCCTCAAGTCGCAGTTTGCGCACGTCTACTACCGCCGCAACTTCGAGATGAACGGCCGAGTGTGGTTCCGGCGCATCTTCCGGTACTCGCTCGACATCTGCATCCTTGCGTCGTTCATCATGGTCGCCTTCTTCTGGGTCTTGCGCGAGTTCGCCTGCGGCGGCGCCTGTATCCCTCTTGTGCGTCCCTCTCCCTACCTCAAGCTCTCGAGGATGATCCTGACGGTACGCCGAGCCTGCAGATCCCGATCGCCGTCGCCGTCAAGATTCTCGGCACGCGCTGGTTCGACCACCTCATGGACGAGGTCGACGAGGCGTGCATCGACGCCATCTGCGGCGAGGGTGACCCTCTCGCCGAGCTGTCGGTGCCGCTCGCCGACGACGGCGAGAGCGCCGCCGTCCGCTCTCGCCGGGCGGCATTGTCCGAGGCGTTCTCGACCGTCAAGACTTTCGCCATCGTCACCCTCCCCTCCCTCGCCCTGCACCCCTCCGACCCCCTCCCGCACCCCTATCCTCGTCCTACGTCGCAGCTCGCCGCGCATCGTCGAGCGCAGACGGACCGCGCCGCCTCGCTCGGCGCCGCGAGGGTCAAGCAGCGCCCGAGGGCGAGCACGGCGCCCGACGACTGGGGCCGCCACATCCTCGACCCGGTCGTCTCGGTCGACGGCTCGACGACCGACGAGAGCGCGCACGGCTCGCCGCAGATGACGTCGGTCGCCATGTCGGCGCAGGCGTCGCAGGTCGGCGGCGGCGACCCGGCGGTCCGAGCGGTCGACTATGCCGCCGCGCAAGCCGTCTCGGCGGAAAAGGTGCCCGGCGAGAAGCGTATTCCCGAGGACGAGCGCGACCGCAAGGGCGACGTCAAGGAGCACGGCGAGTCGGCGACCCGGGCCCTCGTCACGCCGCACCCGCCCATCGTGCGCGACGACCGCCCAGTGTCGCACCTGCGGTACCGCAACCCGGCCGAGGTCGAGCCGCTCGCCCGCACCCTATGGCTCCCTCGCGACCCGCTCAAGCCGGTCGACCTTGGCGACACGGTCGACTACCACGGTCGGGCGCTCGTCTCGAGCGCCGGTGGGCGCGGCATCGTCGGGCAGTGGGACGAGGCCGAGACGGACCTCGGCGACGACGACGACGAGGGCGAGGGCAGCCCGGAGAAGCTCGTCATGTCGCCCGCGTCGCTCATCTACGACGGCGACCGGTCGCCGGACGAGCTCAAGCGCGTCGGGAGCCGCCTGTCGAGCATGAGCGTCGGCGGCGCCGGCGTGTACACGCTCAAGGGCACCGAGCGAGTGCGCGTCGCCGCCGATGTCGCCGCCAAGGCGGAGCAGGAGGAGCCGGCGGCGGCGAACCTCGTGCGCGCCGCCAGCCGCAGGAGCTCGATCGGCCGTCGGTCGTCGGTCGCCGCGTCGCCTCGACACTCGCCCGTCCTCGTGCGCCACCCGGACGCTCCGCGACCGTCGCCGCCGGGCATCCCGTCGTTCACCGACGAGCCGTCGACCATGAGCAGCGCCGAGCAGGCTCAGTCCTCGTCCGCCTACCCGTTCCCTCCCCCCGTCCCGGGCCCGTCCTCGCCGCAACGCGACACGCACCTCTCGCCCAACCGCAGCCTGCGCCACCGCTCGCCGTCGGCCTCGTCCACCCCGGGCAGCGTCACGACGGGCGAGGGCCCGACCTCTCCTACCTCTCCCGCCTCGCCCATGACGACGCGTACGGCCCGCTCGGCCTCGGTCGCGACGTCGATGCGGTCGGCCCGCACGCTCGGGCACCTGCGCGTCGCGGCCCACGAGGCCGTCATCCTCGAGGACGCGGCGGGCGAGGACGCGGCGGGCGCCGTCAGCGTCTCGCAGAGCGCCGCCGTGCGCAGCGAGCTGCTCGAGGAGGAGCGCAGGAGCCACTTGGCGCACCGCAGGCAGGAGGAGCACCGGATCGCGCAGGAGCGGAAGGACAGGGAGGTCGCCGAGGGCACGGCCAAGGGGGGCGGGAGCTGGTTCAGGCGGCTCCTCGCCAAGCAGGAGGTCGAGGCGCAGGACGACGAGACTTGATGTTGTACCTCTCGTGTTGCACATGAAGCAGGTTGTGTCGAACGCCCAGCTGGGTCGAGGTTCGAGCTGCACGAGCACGAGTGCTCGGTTCGAGAGAGCAATGTCTACCGGCGGCGAGCGGCTCTGGCTTGTCGGCGGGTGAGTCTTTGCGAGCTTACGCCGACTTTTATCGCTGTACAACGTCGCCTGGACGCTGCGACGAGCAGGGAGAGAGCTCGTTGTGATTCAGACTGAGCAGCGCAACTTCCCCGCACTCAGCCGTGAGCGATCGAACGAGACGACGATGGAGCTGGCTTTCGCTCTCCTCTCACGCCTCGCCGAGCACAGCGCACAGCTGCGCAAGCATGCCGGCACCGCCTACAGAACCGCACCGCAAGGGCCACGCCAACGCGGTCGACGACGCCGTCCTTCGAGCCACCATTCAGCACACGCTCCACCGCCGCCTCGCCGTCCACCTCGCAGCCGAGGGATTGGTCCTGTGCCCGCCTGTCGCCGACAACAAGCAGCAGCACCTTGGCCAAGCCGTGCAGCTCCCCTGGGGCAGCGCCGAGCCTGTCGCGTGCGAGTGGGGCGGCGACCGCGGCGCGGAGGACGACAGCCTCACGCTCGTCGTCGACGGCATCGCAGGGCTGCTCGCGGGCTTCCACGACAAGTACCTGGTCGTCATCACCGAGTCGACCGCCGTCGCGACCCTCCCCGACCCTCACCAAACCTCGGTCCGCACGACCCGCTCCCTCCTCGCCATCCCGCTCAGCTCCATCGAGGCGGCCCGAGCCGTCGTCGCCAAGCACGTCGCCAAGCAGGCGTCGAGACGCAAGCGCAGCGCGTCCGTCGCGTCGACGCTGAGCGCCTTTGCCCGGCGCGCAGGCGTGTCGGCCACTGCTCCCGACAGCGACGGCGACGGCGACGGCGCCGGCGCCACGCCATCGGCCGAGTCGAGCGACCTGAGCGACCTCGACGACACGGCAGACGAGGCCGACGCTGCGCCGGTCGAGGTCCCGCCGCCGGACGAGCAGCAGCAGCAGCAGCAGAAGCGGCCGTTCTGGCAGCGAGCGCTCTCGCGCTCCAAGGTCGCGCCTGCCGCCGTGCCCGCCGTCGCCGACTTTGCCCAGGCCGAGGGCGCGACGTCGAGTGCACCTGTCGAGTCGAAGCAGTCGAGCGCTGCCGACCCGAACGAGGCGGCGCCGCCGGATTTTGCGGACGCTCCTGCACTCCCTGACCTCGCGGCGACCGCCACGTCTACGCCGTCGTCTAGGACGACCAAGGCGGGTGCGCCGGCCGACAAGGAGGTCCTCGCGTCGCAGCGTGAACTCGACCGCAAGCTCGTCGCCGAGGTCATCCGCACGTTCACGGGCCTGTACTTCTCGTTCTCGGGCGACATCACGCGCTCGCTCCAGGCGCGTCACGAGTCCGACGTCGACAAGGACCTGCCGCTGTGGCGACTCGCCGACCGCCGCTACTGGTTCAACCGCCACCTAATGACGCCGTTCGTCCAAGCCGGCGTGCGTCCTCCTCTCTCTTTCTCCCTTCCGGCACCCTCGAGCGTCACGGACGGCCCCTGACGTCGCCTCTCGGCCTTTTATGTAGCTGCACAGCTTCATTCTCGTCCTCATGCAGGGCTTCTGCGAGGAGATCACGGTTCCGCTCCCGATCCAGCCGTACCGCACGCTCTCGGGCCGCGAGCCCGACCCAGCGTCGCCGGCTTCCATCGACCTCGACCTCATCATTATCTCGCGTCGCTCGACTGAGCGCCCGGGTCTACGGTATCAGCGTCGCGGCATCGACGACGCCGGCCACGTCGCCAACTCTCGAGACCGGCAGCGACGCATGCGCACAAGATGCGCCAGGTCGCTCACTTGCGCCTCGCTCGCCGTCCCGGCTCTGCACCTCTTTTGGTCCCAGTCGCCGTACGCCCTCAAGCCGCCGCCTGTCCTCGAGCGCACGAAGGAGGAGAGCCGAGCGGCGATGCGGCGGCACTTCGACGACCTCGTCGAGCGCTACGGGCCTGTCACGGTCATCCAGCTCGCCGAGACGGACGGCAAGGAGGGCGTCGTCGTAAAGGCGTACAGGGAGGGTGTCGCGAGCCTGGGCCTCAAGGACGTTCGGTCCGTCCCTCTTCCTCCTCTCGCTCCTCCCTCGCCGCGCATCCTGACCCTCTCCTTTCGCACATCGTTAGCTACCTCGACTGGGACTTTCATAAGGCGACACGCGGCTTCCACTACGAGAACCTGAGCCAGCTCATCGACCTCGTCTCGGACGACCTCGAGAACTTCTCGACCTTCTGGGCAACGCCCTCCACCGTCTACTCGACGCAAAGGGGCATCAATCGCAACAATTGCGTGGATAATATAGATAGAACGGGCGTCAGCCAGGCCGCCGTGTCGCGTTGGGTCCTTCGCCGCCACCTCGTCCACCTCGGCCTGACGTCCGGCGAGGAGGCCGGCATGCACGACGACCTCGACCTCGCCTTCAACACCTTGTGGGCCGACAACGGTGACGCCATCAGTCGCGAGGTGCGCCCAGCCTCTCTCAGCCTCTCTCTCTGGACGAGGGCCGTGCGCCGGAACTGACCTTCTCAAACTGCAGTACACCGGCTCGAGCGCTCTCAAGGGCGACTTTACTCGAACAGGCGTGCGCAATTGGCGAGGCGCCGTCAACGACGCGAACAACTCGATGGTCAGGCTCGTGCAGGGCACCGTTGCCGGTGCGTCCTCGTCCCCCTTCTTTCCTTTTCCTCCACGCCCAACCTGACTCCTCTGTCCTCGTCTACAGACTTCTTCAAGCAGGCCGCTCTCGACTACATGCTCGGCGTCAACGTGCGCGCGTTCGAGGAGTTTTCGGCGCGCCTCGAGACGAGCGACCCGAGCGAGATCCTCCGCCTCGGCAAGATCCGCCAGGAGGCGATCGACACGTCGTGCCGCGAGGTCCTGCCCGAGGGCGAGGTCAAGGTCGACGCCTGGACGCTCCTCTCGCCGTCGCCGGGCGACAGCATCGTCCGCCCTCCCGCTCGTCGCGGCAAGTACGAGGAGAAGGTCGTCATCCTGTCGAGCCGGGCCGTCCACGTCGTCAGCTACGAGTACACGCTCCAGAAGGTCTCGTCGGCGGTCCGCATCCCGCTCGGCAGCATCAAGGGCGTCCAGACGGGCGCCTACATTCTGTCGTCGCTCGACGCCGCCGCTCGCGACCCGACCGAGAACTACGGGTTCCTCCTGCGGTTCGCCGACGAGGACGCGACTGAGCAGATGCGCACCTACTCGCTGCGCACGACGCCCACCCGCAAGTCGTCGTCTGCCTCGTCATCATCGTCCGGCGGCCGGTCGAACCTCAAGCCGCTCAAGCTCGCCGCCGCCGACAAGTCGTCGCCCTCTTCTGCCTCGTCCGCTTCCCCTCTCGAGACGCACTTCTTCGCCTTCAAGGCCCTGCGGCGCGACGCGATCCAGGTTCCCGGCGCCGGGCCCGACGGCGCGAGCCGGATCGTCGACTCGGCCGGCGACGACAAGACGGCGCGCGACATCGTCCGCAGCATCGTCCGGCGGATCAAGGACGAGTGCGAGCGCGTTGGGCCGGGCGTCGGCGACGAGGGAGCGTGGCAAGAGGAGGAGAAGGACATCATCAGCGTCGCCGAGAGTCGGGCGTCGACGAGCATCGTCGACAAGCTCACGCACTCGCTGGCGCGAACGATCTGGGCGTAGCTCTCTGTTGATCGATGCCGTTTTCTCTCGCTCAGCCGGCGTGCTTCGTGAGACTTCTCGAGAGCGCAAGCGAGCCTTCTTCGCCGCAGAATGAGCGAGAGCGAAAGCGCTCGAGCCGCTTCCTTCGTCGCACTCTAGCTCTCGCTCTCGTCTCTCGCCCAGCCTCGACGTCGTCGGACAGAGTCGACATGATCTAGTATTGACAACACGGTGGGTAAGGAAAGGAAAGACGAGGAGGAACAGGCGCCCTCAGCCGAGGAGCCGGTTCGACAATCTCGCGATACCGCCCCGCCAGTTGCGCATGCCGCCCATCTTGAGCGCACCCTGCGTATGCTGCACCGCGTGGTACCCCTGCGCGACGTCTTGCAGCTGGAGCTGGACTGGCGCTGGTGCTGCGGCGGCGGCGGTGGCCGTCGAGGAAGGATCGGCGGCGTCGCCTTCTGCGGCGGCTTTGCCGTCCTTGCCGGCGGCGGCAGAGGCGGCGAGGACGGGAACGACGACGTCGGCGGTCGGGAGAGGGGCGGAGAAGAGCGAGGTCGGGATCTCGAGCGTCTTGCGCGCCGGCGAGGGCGGCGAAGCGATGGTCGTCGGCGCCTCGAGGCCCTTCCTCGGCGGCGCAGCGGCGCCCTTGCCGCCGTCGCCGTCCTCCTTGACCTTCTTGGGCGACCCGGCCCCGTCCTCGTCGCCCTCCCTCCCCTGCCCGCCCTTCTCCCTCGCCTCGTCCTCCTCCTCCCTCCTGCGCTTCCGCTCCTCGCGCGCCTCCCTGCGCCGCTCGGCCTCGCGCTCGACGCGGCCGTGCGCAATGCCGGCGTCGCACAGGGCGCGCACGCACTCGTATGCGAGGAAGCCGAGGACATCCATGACCTCGTCCGAGAGGGGCGCGACCGTGTCGAGGAGCGAGGGGAGCGAGAGAAAGTCGCGGAACTTTTTGCCTGCGAGCGAGAGAAGGAGCGTCAGGAGATGAGGCACGGGCAAGGTGGCGAGCGAGGCAAGGGTGGTCTCGAGGAAGGGAAGAAGAGAGAGGGAGCGGGCGACGCACTTTTCTTGTACACGAACGAGGCCTGCCTCGCCTGGGCGTACACCTCGTACTCGTCCCTCGTCATGCACCTCGTCACCTCGTCGGCCTCGCGGAGGCGCTGCTTGTTGACCTCGTACGCGTCGGCCTCGTGGTCCTCGTGCGACTCGTGGTCATCGCCGCCGAGGTAGTCGACCCAGGCGTCGCTCAGCTCCCACGGGAGCCGCACCGTGTTCTTGACCACCTTGAGCGTCTTGTCTGCGCGCACAACGGACCGCATGAGCGCCGTTCGAGCGGAACGAGTGGATCGCTCGAGAGAGAGAGAGAGAGAGAGCGAGGGACGCACCCGAGACGGGTTCCTCCATGCCGTCGATCTCGTCGTCGGCCTCGTTGGGCTCCTTGAGCTTGCGGCGCACGTCGCGCCAGCTGAGGTAGCTGCGCAGGCGGTTGACCTTGGCGCGGTCGTGGCGCACGAGGAAGACGAGGTCCTCGACGGCGATGGTGCGTGTTGCGCGACGGGTCGCCTGGGCGCGAGCTTGAGTGACCTGTCGAGGACGAAGTGAGGTCAGTCGAGATGCACAGAGAGGAGCGAGGTGGGAGAGAAGGGGCGCACGAGTTCAGCCATCTCGGAGCGAACGACGTCCTCGAGGAACTGGGCGAGGTCGTCTTCGGCGTCCTTGATGCCGGTGCAGACGAAGACCATCGAGGCGATCTCCTGGGTGTAGACGTAGCGAGGTTTGGCTGCGAGTGCGGCCATGGTCGGCGCCAGCTGGGTGGGGGCGCGACGACGAGGTGAGGTCGCGGCGAGCCGAGGTTGCGGGCGGCCGAGGGCGTTGCTGAGGAGCGTCTGTGCAGGTCTAGCGTGCGACTGACTCGGCTAGAGGCGAGTGGAGCGAGCCTGTTGGCGGGAGAGATGAGGAGGAGAGCTCTCCATCCTCGCTGCTCTCCCTTCGACCCTGTCACCGCTGCCATGAGCCTGTTTGCCAGTGGCTCGCGCGCACTGTGGCGTGCTGCACCAGCGCACGCTGCCCGCACCCGCCCTTTCGCCACGGCCTCGACCACCACCACCACCACCGAGCAATCTTCCCCCGCCGCACCCTCGTCCCCCGCGCCCTTGCCAGGCAGCGCCGTCCTCCCCGAGGCCTTCCGTGCCCAGCAGCAGCAGCCTCCCGCGCCCGCCACGGCCCCCTCGCCCGCCGCCCCCGCGACCCGCTCGTCGCGCTCCCCGGCCGCGCCGTTCCAGGCGGGCGACTTCCTCCAGCAGAGCAACTCGCGCGCGAGGACCCACCGCCTCACCCAGCCCTACAAGCTCCACGTCTACTCGACCCGCAACAACACGATCCTCACCCTCTCGACCTCGCCCGCCTCGGCCCCGTCGTCGTCCTACTCGAGCTCCGGCTCCGAGGGCGCAGGGCCGCACCACCCGATCGCGTGGGTCTCGGCCGGCAACGCCGGGTACAAGGGCGCCGCGCGCGGCACGTACGACGCGGCCGTCGAGGTGGCCCTGCGCATGTTCCGCAAGATCCAGGACCTCGTCGAGCCGCCAGTGCTCGCCGGCGGCCAGCGCGTCAAGGCGGCCGGTCCGCCCCCGACCGAGCTCGAGGTCGTGTGGAAGGGCTTCGGGCAGGGGAGGGACGCCGTCTTCAGGACGCTCATGGGCGCAGAGGGGGACAACGTGCGCGGGCTCGTGAGAAGGGTCACGGACGCGGTGCGCCCCCTCTCCCTCTCTCTCTCCTCTCGCAGTCGACACAGGACTGACTCGTGCACTCGCTCGCAGACGCCGTTGAAGGTCGGCGGTACGCGTCCCAAGAAGCGGCGAGTGTGCGTCGACGCCTTTCTCTCTGTCGCCCCGAGCGCGCGCGACCTCGTCCTCACCCGTCTCTCGTCGCCCGCAGTATCTAGAGCGGCTCTCGGTCAAGCAGGAGGACATGTACGATGAGTGTGCAACAGGGAACGTGCACGAGCGAGCGCGTGGTCGAGCCTCTCGAGAGAGTACCGAGAGCAGGGCGAGGATCTGTCTCGTCGTTCCAGCTCGGCTTGGCTACTTGTCCCCTCGCGCGACCCGCAAGCACTCGTCACCGAGGTCCGGGTCCTCTGGGTCGACGACGACCCACACGTCCCTGCCGGCCTCCCTGAGCAACCGGATCCCCTCGCACTCGACGAAATCGCTCGGCTCGAGGACGCCGACAAAGACGCGCTGGATGGGCGAGTCGAGGACGCGCTGGACGCAGGGGACGTTGCCGCTTAGGCGGGTCGAGCAGGGCTCCATGGTGGTGTAGATGCTCGCGCCGTCGAGGAGAGAGTCGAGCGAGGAGGACGAGGACGGGTTCGAGGTCGAGGGAGGGGACGAGGCGGCAGGGGCGGCGGCCTGGGCGAGCTTGTCGAGTGCGCACTGCTCTGCGTGCGTGTTGCCCGGCAGCTCGCGCGAGTAGCCGGTCGCGAGGACGTCGTGTGGTCGGGTCGGGTGGTGCGGGGCCGAGACGACGACGGCGCCGACGCAGAAGGCCGTGTCGACGTGGACCGACTTGCGGGCCTCGGTGAGGGCGAGGCGAATGAAGCGGACGTGGTCTGGGTCTGCGGCGAGGGGCTGGCGAGGTGAGCGAGGCGGTGCTGTGGGGGGGAGGAGGGGAGAGAGGACGGACCGCTCGTGGTCGGAGTTGGCTGGGGCGACATGGTGGCTGGTGGAGAGTGTGGGAGTGCTGGAAAGAGCGCAGCTCAACCGAGAGAGAGTGGACGGAGAGCGTGAGGCTTGCCCGACCTCGTTCTCGGACTTGTTCTCGTCGTCGACCCAGCCGCCTGTTGCCAGAGAGCACACGCGCACCCTGTCTAGCTTGCCAACAGCAATGACACCCGCCACGCACTAGCCACACCCCGCCCTTCCTCGACTCGCCGTCGCCGTCCTCCCCGCCCCGCCGCACATGGCCATCGCCGCCCGCAGGCTGCGCACACCGCGCCTCGCCCCGGCGCGCAACCACTGCCGCCATGCCGCCACCTATGCCGACAGCCTCGCCGCCACCCTCGCCCACCTCCTGTCGGCCTTTGGCGCCTTCCTCGCGACCCACCAGACCCTGTCGCTCATGTCGACCGCGCTCGTCATCTGCAGCCTCCTGTCGCCCGCCATCATCCTCACCTTCTCGCCCTCGGGCTCCATCTTTGACCTCAGCGCCTCGGCCATCACCCGTCGCGGCCGCGGCGAACTCGTGTGGGAGCTCGACGGCCTGCGCCGCCAGGGCCTCATCTCGACAGAGGAGGACGTGTGCTGGGACCGCGTGCGCACCTACTACGACAAGACGGGCCGCGAGGGCGGCGGCAGACGCATCCGCGTCGAGCAGGTCCTCGTCCCCGTCGTCGGCGTCGGCGCGACCGCGCACCGTGGCACCATCACCAAGGGCGTCCTCCACCGCACCATGCGCGTCCAGCACGAGCTCGAGCGCCGCCTCGTCGACGGCCAAGTCGAGGGCAACGCGTGCCTGCGCGTCGGTGGCCCGTCGGCGGGCGAGGAACGGTGCGCGGCCCTGAGCCCCGTCGGGTGGTGGGCCGACGAGCAGGCCCTGTTGCGCGACGACGACGTGCACCGCACCCTGAGCAAGGTCCCCCTCGTCGAGCCGACCTTGGCCCGCGTCGGCCTCCCGTTGACCCTGTCCGAGACGTTCGTCGGCGTCGGGCGCGACCGACACGTGCGTCCCCCTCTCCCTCTCTCTGTCTCTCTACCCCTCGACCCCGTACTCACGTCGGCCTTTACCCTCGCAACAGGGCACGGTCAAGTCGGCGCAACAACTCGTCCTCACCTTCTTCCTCGACGACGGCCCGTTCCCGCAGTCGCCGTCGCTCCCGTCCCCGACCAACCTGACGCGGTACGAGGACTCGGCGCGCGACGTCGCCGCCCGAGCGTGGCGCCAAGCCGTACACGACGTCGTTGACCACCGCGGGTGGACCTCGCCCGTCTCGGTCGACCCGATGGGCCTCACGACGAGCGCTCGCGCCCCGACCCGCCACGTCCTCCTCAAGTTCCTGCCGCACCTCACGGTCGCCGCGCACCCGCGCCGGCTCGAGAACGTCATCTATGGCGTCGGCTACCTCCTCGTCACGCTGTACGTGTGGCGGTACATCGGCAAGCTGCGCGCCCACTCCAAGATGGGCCTGCTCGTCACGGGCGTCGTCGAGTTGACGGCGTCGGGCATCATGAGCGTCAGCATCTGCTGGCTCATGGGGTGGGACCTCGGCCTCGTTCCCTGGTGCGCTCGCGTTTCCCTGCCTCTCTCTCTCGTCGCCCCACCTCGACGAAAATTGAACCCGTCTTCCCTCGCGCAGGAACCTCCTCGCGTTCCTCGTCCTCACGTCGGGCCTCGACAACATGATCCTCGTCCTGCGCGCCATCGCCAGCACCGACGTCAACCTGCCCGTGCCGCAGCGCATGTCGGTCGGCCTGCGCGCCGTCGGCGTCGAGATGACGGTCCTGCTCGCCGTCGAGGAGGTCATGGCGCTCGGGCTCCTGTGGTGGGTCGAGATCAGCGTGCGTCCTTCGTCCTCTTTTCTCTCTATCTCTCCCCCTCTTCGTCCTCGTGCCCCGGTCCCTGACGAGCTTTGCGCTCGCCCGCAGGTCATGCGCGAGTGGATCCGCTTCGGCGCCGTCGTCCTCGTCGTCGACTACTTTCTCGAGCTCACGTTCTTCTCGACGGTCCTCTCGATCGACATTCAGCGTCTCGAGGTGCGTCGCAAACCTCTCTCTCTGCCTCACAACCCGGACTCAGACCCACTCACCTGTTCATCCGCTCGCAGCTCGCCGACCTCCTCGTCCAGAACCCGGCGTCGCAGTACCAGCCCGTGGCGCCGGCCGAGACGTCGAGCAAGTCGGTCACGGCGGCCTCACCGGCGTCGGGCTCGTTCCGCCGGTCGGCAAGGTCGGCGTGGAAGGTCCTGCGGCAGCGTCCGGCCAAGACGGCGACCGTCGCGTTCCTGTGGTTCATCAACGTCATCCTCTGGGCCTTGTGCGTCCCCTTTCGCAATTCTGTCCGGTCCTCGTCGATACTGACAGCGTCGCTCGTCGTCCTGCAGCTACGGCAGCGAACACTACCTCCCCGCCGCCTGCTCCCACACCGCCCTCTCGTCCGACCGCCCGTTCCTCGCGCCATCCCTGTCGCCGGCCGTCTCGCGCTCGCTCCGCCTCGGCCGCTCGGCCGTCGATCCGGCGTCGTCGTCGTACCTCGACGTTCCCGCCGACGCCGGCTCGGCCTTCTGGCACCTCGTCAACCCGGGCAACGCGACGAGCGTCCAGGTCTACCTCGAGCCGCCCGTGTCGGTCCAGTTCTTCACCGACGACGCGCTCGCCGCGCCCGAGAGCCTCGACCTCCTGTCGCACACGGGCACGGGCGCGCACGAGTCGTCGCTCGTCACCAAGGCGGCGCTCGTCGTCCTCCCGATTGCCGTCGTCATGGCGCTCCTGTACCTCCTCCTCATGTACCTCCTCAAGGACGCCGAGCTCCTCCAGGCCCACTGGGGCAGCGAGGAGCGCCTCGGCGGGCCCGAGCGCCGCAGGCGCCAGGCCCAGGTCAAGCAGCAGGGCCCCGGCGCGGGCGTCGTGCGCGACGAGGCGCTCGCGACGCGCCACACGGGCGACGTCGAGCTCGTCGCGAGCGGCGGTGACGCGCTCGTCAGCTGGGCGGCGCTCGAGGCGACGCTGCAGGTGCGCAAGGGCGGCGCGAGCGGCGCGCACGACGAGCCGGTGACGGCGTTCGCGCTCGATGTCGCGAGCCACGTCGAGCTCGTGTCTCTCGTCGCGCTCGCCGTCGATCCCGAGGCCCGCTTCGTCGCCGCTGCGACCTCGACGGGCCGGGTCCTCGTCTGGCCGCTCGAGCGCGGCGCGTCGCCCCTCTCGTTCGACGCCGCCTCGACCACCACCGCGCCCGTCGTCGCCCTCGTTCCCGAGACCGATGCCGCCCCTCGCTCGCCGGCTCGCTCTCTCGACGAGCCGTCGCAGGGCGCGCCCGCCCCGCCGACGATCAGCATCAGCCGCAGCCGCACGCCCGAGCAGCTCTCGCCCGCCGCCTTCTACAGCCTCCACCGCGACGGCCATGTCGTGCGGTGGGACTGCGGCGCGAGCCTCGCGACGGTCGTCGTCGCCGCGCCGTCGGCCGAGGCGCTCGACGCGCCCGTCAAGCGGTGGCTCGTCCCGGCGCCGTCGGCGACCGCGCCCGGGCCCCACGCGCCGCTCCTCGCGCTCGCACTGCCCGGCAGCAGGCTGCAGCTCGTGTCGCTCGCGAGCGAGTCGGCGGGCGAGGTCGTGTTCGACGAGACGGTCGCCGACGCGCAGGGCGCGGCGCTCACGGCGCTCGCGCTCGGCAGCTTCGCCATCGGCGGCGGCGACGGCAACGGTCAAGCAGGGCTCGGACCGCTGCAGCAGGTCGTCGCCGTCGGCACCTCGACGGGCGCCGTCGCGTTCTTTACGCTCGCGTCGCCGTCCACCCGCCTCGGCGAGTCGATCGAGGTGGGCTCGCCCGTGCGGCAGATCCGCCTCGTCGAGGCGCCGCACGACCAGACGTGCTCGACCTGCGGCGAGGCGCTCGTCGACGGCTTCACGGCCCTCGTCTCGACCCGCACGACCCTGCGCGTCCTGCGCATCTTCATCCCGCCGACGCCTGCCGCCCTCGAGCCGTGCGCGTGCAACTCGGCCGACGTCGCCGCCGTCGGACGCAGTCGCTCGTCGTCGACCGGGCCCACCCTCGCCCTCGGCGGCAGCCCTCTCGCGTCGCGCACCCTCGGCTCGAGCATGTCGTCGGCCCTCACGGCCTCGGGCGGCCGACGCTTCTCGCCGCGCAAGAAGCCTCTCACGCCTACTCGCCTGACACCCTTCAACCTCGGCGACGGCTCGCCGCTGCGCCCGAGGCTGCCGCCGCCGGCCCCGAGCGGCGACAGCGTGTCGAGCTCGAGCTCCGGGTCGCCTGTCCAGGAGCGCACGGCGCCGCCGCTCGCGACGCCCGGCACCCTCGCGCCCCCGCCACTCGCGACGAGCCCGCAGGCGTCGCCGTCGCTCGAGCTGGGCCCCGTCGATGCGGCACCAGGACCTTCCTCCTCGCCGCCGCCGCCGATGCTGCCGCTTCGTGCGGCCGAGGTCGCGAGCGCGCCCCTCGACGAGCGCAGCGGGTGGGACGTGCTCGGCTCCGGGCGAGGCGCCCAGGTCGTCGGCCTGCGCAGGCGCCGGCTCGCCGAGGCGGACGGCGATGCGCTCGTCGTGGGCGGCGGCGGTGAGCGAGGGTGGGAGGTGTGGTCCCTCGCGCTCGGCCGGGTCGGGGCATCGTTCGACGAGGGCTTCGAACGAGGGTCGAGCCCGCTCGGGCGCGTGCTCGAGCCGAGGACGCCCAAGCGGCAGGAGGGCAGGGCGGTGGACGCGCACGAGCCGCTCGACGAGGGCGGCGCCGCGCAAAGCAGCCGGCGGACGAGCCTGACTCTTCGTCGCCGCCTCCCGTCGACCTTGACGCCCTCGTCGTCCTCGAACCCGGCGACGGCCACCTCGAGGCGCGTCTCGGCCGCGCCGTCGATCCGATTCTCGCCCTCGACCGCCTCGAGCGCGCCCGACCTGCCCTTCTCTCACGCGCGCCCGGTCACGCCTGCGCTCGGCGGCGAGGCGTTGACGGTCGGACTCGGGAACCAGCTCGTCGTGCTCAAAGCGGTCGAGGAGCAGCAGCAGGACGCTGGGTTGAACGGCTTCCTAGGGTGGTCCTGAGTCTCTCGACTTCCTCCTCGTCAGTAGATTTGTTGTTTGTACCGTGCTTATTGCAAACCTGTCAGTCTCTACTTCTCGAGTCCAGAGAGAGTCAAGGTTTCGTCTCCGCCGCCGAGTCCGCCAAGTCGAGGGAGGAGGGGAGGCTCTGCTCGCTACCCCCGCTGTTGCATGCACCGCGTTGGACTGCGCTCTCTCGTGTCGCCGCCGGTCCGCCTCGCCCTACTCGCCCGTCCAGCCCTTCAGCCGCAGCGGTCGTCCGCCTCGCCCTCGCGCACCTTTCCTCGCCCGCTCTCGTCCTCGTCCACCCTCGCCCGCCACGCCCCGCGGTCCAAGATGAGCCAGCCCACCGACAGCTCGGTCAACAAGACGGCCCACGCCTTTGAGCGCGCCTCGCTCGAGAGCCTCCTCATCCGCCGCTTCTTCTTCGCCCCCGCCTTCGAGATCTACGGCGGTCCGTCCCCTCTCTCTTGTCCCTCCTGAGTCACCTGTGGGGCTGCGCAGAGTACTGACGAGTCCGGCGAACCCACTCACGCAGGCGTCAAGGGCCTGTACGACTATGTGCGCTCCCCCTCCTTTCTCATCACCTCCCGGGCCCCGCTCCTTCCGCACGAGCTGACCGGGGCTCTGCCGCACACACAGGGTCCTCCCGGCTCGTCGCTCCAGGCCAACATCCTCGACACGTGGCGCAAGCACTTCATCATCGAGGAAGAGATGCTCGAGCTCGACACGACCATCATGACCCTGTCGGACGTTCTCAAGACGTCGGGCCACGTCGACAAGTTCACCGACTGGATGGTCAAGGACTCGAAGACCAACGAGGTCTACCGCGCCGACCACCTCGTCGAGGGCGTCCTCGAGGCCCGCCTCAAGGGCGACAAGGAGGCGCGCGGCGTCGCCGAGGTCCAGGAGGTTGAGGACCCGACCCAGAAGAAGAAGAAGAAGAAGGTCAAGTCGGTCGCCGTCAAGCTCGACGACAAGGTGGTCGCCGAGTACGAGTCGACGCTCGCCAAGATCGACAACTACACCGGCGCCGAGCTGGGCCAGCTCATCCGCGACTTCAAGATTGTCGCGCCCGAGACGGGCAACGAGGTGACCGAGCCTGTCGAGTTCAACCTCATGTTCGACTCGAGCATTGGCCCTACCGGCCAGATCAAGGGGTCCGTCCTCCTCTCGCACCCTCTCACCCTTCGAATCGAGCCTGACTTTCGTTCCCCCCCCCTTGTACAGCTACCTGCGCCCCGAGACTGCCCAGGGCCACTTCGTCAACTTCAACCGCCTCCTCGACTTCAACAACGGCCGGGTGCCGTTCGCGTCGGCCCAGATTGGCCGCTCGTTCCGCAACGAGATCTCGCCGCGGTCGGGCCTCCTCCGTGTCCGGTACGTCCTCTCTCGCCCGTCTCGTCGCTCTCCCTGTCGCACCATCCACTCACGCAGGACCTCCCGCCTCGCAGCGAGTTCACCATGGCCGAGATTGAGCACTTCGTCGACCCGCTCGACAAGTCGCACGAGCGCTTCGAGGCCGTCAAGGACATCAAGCTCCGCCTCCTGCCCAAGGACGTCCAGTCGGCGGGCAAGACCGACATCTCCGAGGTGGCGGTCGGCGAGGCCGTGTCGTCGGGCATGGTCGACAACGAGACGCTCGGCTTCTTCATCGCGCGCATCTACCTGTTCCTCACCAAGATCGGCATCAACCCGCAGCGCCTGCGCTTCCGCCAGCACATGGCCAACGAGATGGCTCACTACGCCGCCGACTGCTGGGACGCCGAGATCGAGACGTCGTACGGCTGGATCGAATGCGTCGGTTGCGCCGACCGGTCGGCGTACGACCTCACGGTCCACAGCGTCAAGACGGGCAACAAGCTCGTCGTGCGCCAGCCGCTCAAGGAGCCGCGCATCGTCGACAAGATCGTCGCCACCATCGACAAGAAGGCGTTCGGCCCCATGTTCAAGCGCGAGGCCAAGGCCATCGAGGACGCCATCCTCTCGCTCTCGGACGAGTGCCTCAAGAAGGCTATGGACGAGCTCAACGACAAGCAGTACGTCCCTCGCTCGGTCCTCGTCACCCTATCCCTCTCGCCGTCGCGCTCGTCCTCGTCCATCTCGGCGCTCGGACCCTCTCCCTCCCTTGTGTTCCCCACCTTGCCGTACTGACTCTCTGCCTCTCCTCTCCCTCTTGCAGGGCCGCGACGATCGAGGCCAACGGCCAGAAGTACGAGGTGCCCGTCTCGGTCCTCCAGATCAAGCCGACGCAGATCAAGGAGATGGGTCCGTCCCTTTCTCTCTCTCCCTCGTCGCGCCGTCCGACTCTGTGACTCACCGCCCCACCCTGACTTCCACAGTTCGCGAGTTTGTGCCCAACGTTATCGAGCCGTCGTTCGGTATCGGCCGCATCCTGTACTCGCTCCTCGAGCACTCGTACTGGAACCGCGCCGACGACGTCAACCGCGCCGTCCTCTCGCTGCCGCCGACCGTCGCGCCCATCAAGTGCCTCATCGTCCCCTTGTCGAGCAACGCCGAGTTCAAGCCGCTCGTGACCAAGGTCTCGGGCAAGTTGAGGGCGCTCGGCATCGCGTCCAGGGTCGACGACTCGAACGCGTCGATCGGCAAGCGCTACGCCCGCAACGACGAGCTCGGTACCCCGTTCGGCGTCACGCTCGACTTTGCCTGTGCGTCGACGAGTTCCTCCTCTGACGATTAAGCACGCCGACGTCGAGAAACTGACCGATCTGCCCTTCTCTCCTCCTTCCCTCCTCTCGTTCGCCTCCCCGCAGCCGTGTCCAAGGGCACTATGACGCTGCGCGAGCGCGACACGACTCTGCAGCTCATCGGCACCATCGACGAGGTCGTCCAGGTCGTGTACGAGCTGTGCCGTGGCGACCTCTCCTGGACGGAGGCGCAGCAGCGGCTCCCGGCGTACTCGGGCGAGCAGGACGCGTCGGCATGAGCGAGGAGGGTCATTCCGAGGCTGTACGTAGACTGGAGACGAGGGTGACGGGGAAAGAACCGCATCGTGTCTTCGACCTGCCGAAAGCGAGAGAGAGAGATCTCGAAGGAGAGCTTCCCCAGACCTTGCGCTCGAGCCTCTTTTTCTCGCCGAGCGCTCTCAGACGGCGCGAGAGACGCGGAACAAGCCCTGGTGCATGGACGGAACGACCGAGAGAGTACCAAAATGTAGATGATGCGCGCGCAAAGCGACTCGAGACGAACCCTCTCCATTGAAGACCGCCGACCTCCCTCTCTCATACTCACGAGGCCGCCTCCTCATGGCCGCCTCGACCCCGGCGCCGGGCTCCTGCCTCGCAGTATCGGGTCCGGGCTCCCCGGCGCGCTCATCCTGCCGCTCGCAAAGCCCTCGCTGCCGCCGTCCGGCGTGCCCGTCCTCGCCATGAACGGCAGCTGCTGCGCCGAGTCCTGCTGGCCGTGCCCTCCCGCTCCCGCTCCTGCTCCTCCGTCCTCGCTCGCAGCCCGCATGGCCGCGAGCGGGAACGCGCCGTCGACGACGCGGTGGTCGGGCGTCTTTGCGCCGGGCGGCACCGACTGCGGGTTCGGGCGCCTGTGCGGCGCGCCCGCGCCCGTCGCCGACGACGCCGAGGTCGACGCGCTCGAGGTCGAGCCCATGCGCATCGCGGGATGCGAAAAAGGCGCAGACGGGTGGTGGAGCGTCGCTGGGGACGACGCGCTGCCGTTCGAGTCGGTGCGGCCGTGCGACGAGTAGAGCGGCGGGGTGAACGCGCCTTTCGAGGCGAGGGAAGGAGAGGGAAGAGATGTCGGAAGGGAGCTCTCGGGCGGACCGCGGCGAGGAGCGTCGGGGAGGTTGTAGAGGTACGTGGCGGCGACGACCATGCTCGTGCCGAGGAGGAACGACGTCGTGACCCGGAAGTCGAACAAGATGATGCCGGCGCAGAACGACAGGACGATGGCGAGCGACGTCGCAAAGCCCTTCATGATGTTGTCGCTGCGTGAGAGAGAGAGATGAGGGACTGGTTCTGGTCGAGAGAAGCCGAAACGAGGCGAAACGCACCTGTAGCGGATGACGAGCGCCGTGATGAGGCCGCCGAACACCTGCAGGAGGGCAAACAGAGTCAGTACGAGAGTGTGGAAGGAGAGGGCGGACGGCGACGCACCTGAATGAGGACGACGGCCCACGCCCACGCGCCGAAGTTGGCAAAGACGGGCTGCCCCGCCGTCGGGTTCGGCTTGGCCGGGCCACCGACGAGCGACAGGCCCGGCGCAAAGACGGCGCACACGGCGGGGAGGAGCGAGAAGAGCGACAGCTGGACGTTGCGGATCCATAGGTCGGCCTTGCTGCCTTTGAGGACCATCTCGAAGTAGACGCCGGCGAGCCCGGACGTCATGCACGCGCAGAAGACGGCGAGGAGGCCCTTGGTCTTGTCCATCTCGTGCGCGCCGTGCGACGACGACGACGAGCCGGCGGCGGCCGACGACTGGAGCTGAACGACGCCGACGCCGGCGGCGAGGAACAGGAGCGCAAACCACTTCTTGGCCGACAGGCGACGCCGCAAGAGGATGACAGAAAAGAGGGCGGTCGTGAGGATCTTGAGGTTGTAGGTGACCTGGAAAGTCGGCACGTCGAGGTTGGACGCGGCGACGAATTGAAGCTGTCCGCGCGCACGAGGTCAGGGACTGCGCGCGCAAGGTGCATGAGAGAGAACGAGAGTAGGACGCACGTTGTTCTGGATGACGTAGAGGCAGGCCGGGATGGACAGCTTCCAGCAGTCGCTGCTGAACACCTCGCCGAGCATCTTAGTCGCGGCGAACTTGGCCCTCGCGAGGTCGATCCCGCCGCCACCGCCGGGCCCGCTGCGTCTCCTGCCCTCAAACTCGTCGTCGGTCGGGATGCGCGAGTAGTCGCCGCCGCGAGTGCTCGACGCTGCGAGGACGGCGTTGCGGTAGGCGATCGAGAGCGAGATGGCGCCCTTGAGGAGCTCGTTGAGGAGGACGGCGGCCGCCGCGTTGTACATGCGGTCTGCAGGGACCGAGATGCGGCTCTGCGAAGGGGCATGCGAGGCGCAGGAGGACAGGGTTGGGCGAGAGCGGGGCGGGAGGGGGAGGAGAAGGGTCAGCCAACTCTCGCCCGCTCGTTCTGCGGCGGCCGCTTGGCAAGGGAGAGTGGGACGCACATAGTGCAAGACGATGGTGAGAGCCGAGTTCTGGACCGTGAGGGTGACAAGCGAGATGAGGCCCAGCGGGACACCCAGGAACGTTGCCGACATGCTCCTCGGCCGCGCGCTTGGCGGGGGCTGGCGCGTGTGCGTGGTGCGCAGGTATGCGCGTGCGTCGGCGAGAGCTCGGCGAGCTGTGTGGTGAGCGGCGAGAGGGAGAGCCGAGGCGAACACGCTCGCTCGCTCTCCGGCTCTGATCGCGCTCTGTCTCGCAGATTGCGCGCAGGCTTCTCTCGCTCTCACAGCTGCAGATAACTCGCACAGACATCCACTCGCTGCTCTCGCAGACCCGGGACACGGTCGAGAGAGAACGGAACGGACAACTTCGATACAGCGTGGCAGCCACAGAGGCGCCTCGAGGACGCCCTGCGCGTGCGTACAACAAGGGGGACATGCTCGAGGGACAATCAAGAGAAGGGGAGGAAGGTGAGGCGCGCTCAGCGCCATGCCGAGGCCTGCGCCGCCGCGAGCGCGTTCTCGAGCCGCTCGACGACGTCGACGTCGAGCATGGCTGCGTCGCCGCCCGACGTGTGCAGGTCCTCGTACAGGGCCATGCGCGTCGCCGGCTCGAACTGGACGAAGGCCCGCAGGTCGCGCAGGGTCGAGATGCCGGCCGAGTGGAGCGGTTGGGCGAGAGGCGCGAGCGAGGGGTCGAGCGCCGAGAGGAAGGAGGTCAAGTCGGCAAGGAAGGCGGCAGGGTCGGGTGCGGGTAGGTGGAAGCTCGGCGTGACGCCTGAGCGCCGGGCGGGAGCGGGCGGGGCGGGAGAGGCCGTCGACGGCGCAGGTGGTGGAGGGGGAGGAACGGGAGGAGCGGAAGGAGGGACGGCGGGCTCGACTGACGGCGCGGTCGACGTTGAGGTTGACGTGGGGGCGAAGCCGGCGTGCTGCGGGGCTGTAAGGGCTGCGGCTGTTGCCGACTTGGCAGGACTTGAGGGCGGAAAGACGGGTCGTTCAGGGAGGGAGGTGCTGGGTGGAGCTCGCGCCTGCTTCTTGGGCGCGGGCGGGTCGGGTCCAGGGTTGTCGTCGCGCTTCTTCGGGTTGACGGTCGTGGTGCGGATGCCGGCCTGTGCGCGGGAAAGAGCGTCAGGGCGCATGCGAGGCAGGGAACGAGAGAGGGGGAGAAGGTGGCGCACAGCCACGTCGCGCTTCTCGACGGCCTCCCTCACCGTCGAGTTGCGGATGACGGGCCGCCAGGCCGGGTCCTTGACAATCCTCGAGTCGCGCTCGTGGTTGTGGAAGAAGTTGCTCGACTCGAGGACGCGCCATCGCCCGCCGCCGCCGCCGAGGTGGATGCACATCGGGCAGCCGGTGCCATGGCGGTTGCACATGATCTTGGACGGGCGGCCGATGTCGAGGCCGTTGCCGTAGACGGGGATCATGGCCGCGGCGATCTGCTCGTGCGCCGCGAGGCTCGAGGGAAAAGTGGCGCCGACGGCGGGCAGGCCGGGGCAAAAGTATTGAGGGATCGTGCGGCCGCGCTTTCCTCGCGGGATCTCGGCCTGCAGGACACGATGAGAGTAAGTCCGGGCCTGTGGGAGGGGTCGAGACGAGAAGAGGTGCTCACCGGGGCTGCAGCCGAGCCGTCCTTGCCGTTGTCGCCCTCGGCTTGAGCTGGTTCTTGAGCTTGGCGAGCGGGCGAGCCACTTGTGGGCGTAGTAGCTGCTCGAGTGCATGCGTCAGGGACGTCCGAGGAGAGAACCGGGAGACGAGGGACGTACGAGACTGCTTCTTCCACTCGAGGACGGCGGCTTGAGCGCCGGGCCACTCGAGGAGCTCCTTGAACGCCGGGAGCGGGCCCCACAGGTCGCGGCACACCTTGTGGATCATGTTGAACGCCTCGATGAGGACGCCTCGGGAGCTTGTCGCGTAGTAGCTGACCTGGTGGGCGAACAGGGCCAACACGGGCGGTGTGGCGGGCCAGGGCGGGATGTCGACGGCGCGGCAGAACGAGCAGTACGCCGAGACCTTGTACGCAAAGGTGCTGTACGAGCCCGAGCGGGCGTAGGTGGCGAGCTTGGCCGCGATGAGGTCCTGCGACTTGCGCTGCAGCTCGGCTGGAGGAAAGAGGAAGGGGGGACGGCGACGACGTTAGTTCTGCGCCTCGGTCAAGGGCGGAAAAGTGGACGAGGGACGCACGGTCGTTGAAGGTGCGCTGTTTGGTGAAGATCTCCTCGCGCCGGGCGACGATGGCGGCGAGAGACGGGATCGGGCCCGGCTGCGCCCATTCGTACGGAGCTTGTTCTTGAAGCGGCGGCACCTCGGCGTCTGTCGCAGGCACGGGCATGTCAGACAACCGAGTCGAGTGCGAGAGGAAGGAGGAAGACGCACCCCAAGTCGGCGCGCTGGTCGTGCGAGGCCTTGTCGTGGTCCGAGGCTCAACCTGCTCGAAGACGAGGGTCAGTCGAGTTCTCGAGCGAGATGAGGGGCGACAGGCGACGCACCTCATCGTCCTCGTCCATGACGCGGTCGCCATCCTCAGAGTCCGACAGCGCCACAGCGTCCACCACCTCGACCTGGCTCGCCGGGTCGCGCGCCCTTGCCGCCGACCTCGCCCTCCTGCCCCGCTCCGCCACCAATCGGCGCAGCTCGGTCTCGCGCGCCAGCCCCTCGGCCGTCGTCTCCCTCGTACGGTCCCCCCTGCGCGCCCGCCGCCGCCGACGACCCGCCCTGCGCGCCCTCGGCCGAGGCCCGAGCGCGCTCCTTGCTCGCTCGCCGAGCAGCTGCGCGCGCCTCTGCCTCGCGCAGCTCCGCTTCCGCCGCACGCAGCTCAGCGAAAGCGCGCTCCTCCGCCATGCGCAGTGCCCTGCTGCGCTGGTCCTCCGCCGCTGCCGCCTCGACCGCCGCTCGTTCCTCCGCAGCGACCCGCTCAGCCTCGCGCTTCTCCTCGAGCGCGCGCTGCTGCGCTTCTGCCGCCGCGCGCTCCTCAGCGACGCGCCGTGCCGCCTCGACCATCTCGTTCGTCCTGCGCCGCTCCATCTCGAGCAGCTCCCTCTCGAGCCGCTCCATCTCGATCCGCTCCTTCTCCCGCCGCTTCTCCTTCTCGCGCTCGGCCGCCTCGCGCCGCTCCTTCTCCTGACGCTCCTCCTCGTCACGCTCCTCCTTCTCGCGCCGTGCGTCCGCCTCGCGACGCTCCTTCTCGCGGCGCTCGCGCTCGGCCCGCTCCTCGCGCTCCTTGGCCTCGGCCGCCTCAGCCGCCTCGAGCCTCCTCAGCTCGGCTGCCCTCGCCTCGGCGGCGCGCAACTCGTCGGCGCGCTCCTTGAACGTGCGCAGCTCGTCCGCCGACGGCGACGCGCGTGCGCCGCCGTCGCCGGCCGCCGTGGCGTGCGGGAGCGGGCCGAGCCGTCCAACGAGGGGCTTGATGTCGACAGGTGGTGCAGGTAGGGCCGAGGAAGGTGTGGGTGCGAGCGAAGGACAAGGGATGGAGGGCGAGGAGGGCGGCTCGGGCTTGATGCGCGACGCGAGAGGCGGCGGCGGGGCCCGAGCGGCGAGTACGCCCGCCGGCTGCGTTGGCGCGACGGCTTGCGTCGGTCTCGGCTGCTGCGGAGCGTGCTGCGCCGGCGGCGGGCGCTGCTCGGGGCCCGGCTGCGGCTGCGGCGGAGCGGGCGGTCGAAGCTGCGGCTGAGCCTGCTGAGCCTGACGAGCCCGCTCCTGCACCGGCTGCTGCTGCGTCCCGGTCGTCGCCGGCTGAGCGAGCCGCATCGCCAAAGTCGGCCGCGCGGCGTGCCGGCTGGCGGCGAGCTCGGCGGCGTGCCAGCTTC